GAGGTCAAAGGATATGCATAAAAACAAAACATAAATTGTAAATAATAAAAAATAAATAAAAAAAACATATTGTGATAGGTCTTTCCAACTGTAAAATAATAGAAAAAAATTGGTATGTGTTTAATAGTAAAAAATAATAATAATTTGTAAAAATGTACTAAAGCAGACCCATTATCCAAAAGTTCTGAATCCCCGAAGGATGTACAAAAATATGACAAGATTCTGTTTGGTACCTATTCTGGACCGCGTTTAAGTGGGATATTTTTAGGGTACAGCCCAAGTAAGCGCGCGTCCATAACGGCGCAAAGCCATAACTAGCTGAAAATTTTCTGGCACTTATCAATTTTGGTACCAATCTCTTTAACTCGATGAGTGGAATCTTTTACTACTAAATTTGTTAAGATTTGGAAATTATGAAGCAAGTTATGGCTTTGCGTTGTTATGGCCGTGCGTTGTTCTGGGAGTGTCCAGTTTTTTTATTTCCACGCATTAAAATTTTTTTCAGTTTGCACATTTTAATCAAAACTTTTCAGATCGTTTTGTTCATAGATTTTTATAATTAGAATTTTAAATTTAATTTTTTTTTAAAGATTTTATTAAATTTAATTAAAAGAAAATGACTTCAAATTTACCAACAGAGGATGATTCAAAGCTTAAACAACTTTGTTTTAATCTTACACACTTTCAACGAACAGATTTTGATTCTGTTCGTTTTGTTAATTTTTCTCGTAAAAGGGCTACATTAGCACAACTACACTCTGATTTACGTATTTATTTGAGATATTTGCAAAATTCGATGATTGAATTAATTAATGATGATTATGCGGATTTTGTTAATTTATCTTCTGGTTTGGCGGCTTTGAGAGATTCTGTTGATAAAGTTAAAAATAATATACAGGTTTATCTTTAACTTGTTTAAAATTTGTTTGGTAATATTGAACCTGATAGACCCCATTTTATTCTTCCCTAAGATTTTTTATAAATGTCTACAGAATGGTCAGACTTTTTTTTCCATCCTAATTACCTTAAGTTGTTCTATTTTTTAATCGTGAATCTATTTTTTAAGTGATTGTCCTTTTTGATTGATTGTAGGCAGAATATAAAAAGTGTGATGGAGGAAAGGAAAAAGTTTGCCCATTCTCTACATAAATAAGGAAAAATTTGAGGAGGGAAAAATGAGGTCTTTCAGTGCTCACAAGGAGAGTTCGCGAGGTGTCCGATCTAAAAACGGTCGAGACCAGGCTCATTCGATAGAGAATGTGCCCTTTCTAGTAAGGATTTTTTGCCGTTTTTGCCCAAGACTCTCCTTGTCAGTATTACCTGACAGACCCGTAGTGTAGCCTCCCTGTACTATATTTTTAATTTTTTAAAGGGTACTTGGTACAATTTTGAATCAACAATTTCTGATTTAGAAAGATGTGCTCAATTGGTTAATAATTATTTAATCCAATTAAATAAGGCAAGAAAAGAACAAATAATAGCAAAAAATAAACTTTCTTTATTACAATCAATTCAAAGACTTTATGAATTCTTGGAGAATAGACCTAAAGAATTTGGCAATATTTGGTAAGAGATTTTATTGAGAGCTTTTGATATTCATTTTATCTCCCTTCCCTTTCAATTTTATAAGATGTCAAATTCTACTAAAAATTGAGAATGCATTCAAGTAGAGAGCGAGGTTTTCAATAACCTTGATCCTTGACCTCGATTTCGTTTGGTTATCTTGACCAGATTCTTGACCTTAAGTCAAGGAACAATCAAGAACTTTGAAAATGCCTTGATCTGGACTCTGGATCCAAGAAAAATCAAGGTCTGGGATCCAGATCCAGCTCGCTCTCTACATTTCAGTATTTACAATTTATTTTTGTCGTTTCTTTGCAAACTAAATACTTTTTCTGTGTAGCCTCATTAAAACATTACCCTGATTTAACAACTCTTTGACATTTTTTAAAATTTTTGGCAAAGTTGTATAATTTTTTTCAGGTTTTCAAAATTATTTTTATTAATTTCTTCAATCGAATATTGGTTGGAATGTCTTAAATCTTTTGAAACATTTATTTTACAATTAAAAATTCCAAAAGAAAAATGTTATCAAAAAGCCACAGATTTAATTATTGGTCAATTATGCGAAGAACTTAAATTTATTATTAACCAAGAAGATAAAAATATAACCTCAAAAGTTTGGTTCTTTTTTTATATTTTCTTAAAAATATTTTTAGAAATCTAATTTGGCTACTTTACTTGCCTCTTTAAAATTATTACATGAAAAGGAACGTGCAGAATTGCGTGTTGTTAATTTAGTCATTCAATATTTGAGAAATGATTCAAGGAAAAAAATAAAAATGGATGTTCTATTGCAAGAAATTTTGAATAAAGTGATTAATGTAAACATTTAAAAATTTAAAAAATTAAAACAAAATTTTCTTTAGATACGTCAAAGTTGGATTATTTACGCTCAAAATTGTAATAATTTATCTGAAGAGGTTGAAACATTTTTTGATGTTTGTCTTCTCAATTCAGTTATTTCTGTTTTGGATGAGGTTGTCAAAAAATATTTTTTAAATTTAAATTTTTATTTTTTAGAAATTTTCTACAATTCTTGTTCCAACGGATGCTCGCCTTTTCCATTCTTGTTTTAAATTTTTGATTGAAAAATTTATTTCTTGTTGGCCTACAAAAAATGAGATTCTTCAAATAGGATTACTTCGAACTATTCGAGACAAATTTAATTTAATAATTTATTTCAAATTAGCTTCACAGCCTTTGGTTATCTCAATTAAGGAACAAATTAAGCCAGAAGATTTTAAATTTAAAGTAAATTTTTAAACAATTTTTTTTGACATTTGCAAGAGCGTATCCTGGGGTGAGGCTAGACCGCCCCCCCCCCTCCCCGAAATAGGGGAAGGAGTGAAAAATAGGAAGAATTATGGCCGAAAAGTGAAATTTGCCCTCCCCCTCCGAAATCGACCCCCTGGATACGCCCTTGGGTTCTTGGTACTTTTCTTTTATTTGTTGACTGTTTTTGGGCATAATTTTTTGGGCAGATTTATGCTAATGTAAAAATGTTAGTGTATCGAGTTGGGGACTGAAGAAGTTATTTTTATCCAAACATTCTTTTTGTCATAAATTTGTCTACAAGATTTTGTTGGTCAAAGTGAAAATACATAACAAAAAAATATTTTTCAAATTTTTTTTTAATTTCCAAATTCTTTTAGTTGCCTATTGATGGAGATTCCAATCCTTGTTTATGTTCCTACTCAAATTCTATACTTTCCTCGTTGCATATTCTTTATTCTTCTGATTATTTTCTTCCTTCTTTGGCAAATAAATTTTGGGAATTTACACTTCAACGGATGCAAGATTATTTGGGATGGGCACAATCAATAATAGAGTTTGTAAATTTAATTTTTAAAATAACTTTTAAAATTCTTATTTTTAGTCATCTTACTTCTACAACAAAAAAACAACAACTAGACACTAGTAAATCAGCACAATCAACAATATCTTCAGAACGAAAGTCTGTCTCTCCTGTTTCTTTTAAAGGTATTTAATTTGTACTTAAGAGTAAATTACTCAGAATTGTTAACATTAGTTTCTAATAAAAATGTAATTTTTGTTAGAAAGTGAAGCAATATCTCAAGTTTCTTCTATTTTTCTAGACAAAAAATGCCAAAAACTACCGAACATTTTTTCATTTTATCTTTCTTTTATTAAATAATTACTAACAAAAAATATTTTTTAAGAATCCTCTAATCAAATAACTTCTAATAATATTACTTCTCTATCAATACCAACATGGCTTGGTCTTGCTGCATTATCTCGTGATTTGCAACTTTTTGATACCAATCTTTTTCAATTTTGTCTCTCCACCATGTTTGCTATATTATTTTTTTTTATAAATAGTAAAATAATTTTTAGTTGGGATTATCTTCGGCAATTGAAAATTGACCCAACACCTTTTGGCCAATGTCTTTCACTATTTTCTGGTCAATTATCAGAAAAAAGGAAGGAAATTGAACAAAAACTTTTGGAAATACTTGGAGGGGAATTAGCTAAGGTTGTTAAATTTATCAAAATAATTTGAATAATTTCATTTTTTGACAGAATCTTTCTGCCGTTAGCGACATTCCACGTCAATATCGTTGGACAAAACGTCCTCAACCTGTTGGATTCTCTACTTATTTGTCCTTCTCTTTTGAAATATTTGAACAATTTGCGGAAGAAACTGTAAATAAATTGGGATTTGATGAAATGGAACTTAATCAAATTAGAAGCCAAGCAATGATAATTGCTTCTAATGATTTTTGTGAACGAGCTGAAAAGGTTTTTTGGTGTTTTTAAGTTTACTTTTTGTTATTTCTATTTTTATTAGGTTCTCGATAGCGTTGAACAAACTGGATCATCTCTTTTGAGATTTAAACAAAGAAAAGCTTTAGCTTCTGGACAATCGACTGCTGAGGCTGCAAGTGAATCTGATGAGTCGAAAATACGTACTCAACTTTGTTTTGATGTTAATTTGGTTAAACAAAGAGCTAGGGTAATTTTTTGGTAAAAGATACTTTTATCTTATTTTTTGTAGGAATATGGCTTGGCAACTGAATATATGGATAGATTGGAACGGATAGAACAACGAACAGCAACTTCTGAAATTTCAACAAAAATAACGGGCTCAACAACTGAATGTGCCGATTAATATTTGTTTGGTTTTCTAATTTATTTTGTTTTTCTTGAATTTTAAAGAAAAATTATATTTTTTAAATTAAGTAAGATTTTATCCAATTTTTGACCTTTTAAGCCTTGTGATAGATTACAAATCAATAAAATTGTCGATTCACTTAATAAATATTTAAAAATAAATTATTGTTTATCTTAATAATTTTAATTGATTAAATATCTTCTACTATTTGATTTTTATTTTTATAAATATTAAAATTTTATTTGATATATTTTAAAATTATTTAGAAATCATAGTTTAATTTGGAAGTTAAAATTAAATTAAAATGACTTCCACTACAAGTTGGGCTGATATTCAACGACTTGCTGCAGATTTGCAACGTGTTCAACTTGCTGAGAGCAATAAACAAAGGTTTTAAGTTTTATTTATTTTTAGTTGGATGTGCTGCTTTTAAACTGAAATTATAGTTGTTGACGACTGGTTTTAACACTGAAAACCTGAAAATAACTGGTTTTGTTAAGGAAATTCCCCCAAAATTAAACCGTTATTTTACTAAAACCGAAAACTGCGTTTTTAAAATTTGGATTAACCGAAAACCGGGGGTACCGGTTAATAACATGTAGGTAACAACCCTAACTGAAATATTTTTTAAGGTTAACTGAAGCTAATTGTGTAGAAGTGATCAGCATGCTTATTTCGATGGGATCTGTTGATTTGGTTATTAGCTCCGATGGAAAGGTATATCGAATTTCTAAATTAATTAAATATTTTTTAGGAGTATGTTACTCGAAAACATTTACAAACAGAATGTGCAAATGAATGCCTTGCTGCGGGAGGCAGAATTTCTCTTACCGATTTGGCCTCACAATTAAATGTAAATCTTGACCATATCTCTGGAGCTGTTAACCAATTGGTCAGACAAATCGATCACGAAGAAGATGATGTAAATGTATCTACTTCAAATGATTTTGTTATTTGTGCAGGAGAACTTATTCATCGGTTTGATTTTTCTTTTTAATTTTTAGGGTTAGGGTGTTTGCTTGGTTTCATAATGTTTGAATTTATCCTTTATATTCCTTATTTAGTGATTTTATTAATGGTTTATGTACAAAATTGAATGAACAGCTTGAAGAACTTGGAACTATCTCTATGCTTCAACTTACTCGACAATGGGAGGTTTATAATTAAATTTTATTTAAAAGATTTTTTTCATAGCTTCCAACTGAACTTCTTAATCAACATATTTTAACGGAATTGGGCACTGGGAGAATATCGGCAATTCGTTTTGAAGATTATTTATGCACAAATCGTTATATTAATACATTGAAAGGCAAATTCCGTGCTATACTTATTGGACTTACTAAGCCTTGTCCTCTAACAGAAATTTATTCATATTTGGCTGTTAGCGAGTCTTTTTTCTTTCTTTTATTGAATGAATTAAATGATCAAGGTTTTTTTAAATAAAATTTAAATAAAAATATTAATTTAAAGGTAAATTACCTGGAAGGCTTTTAGGAACAAAAAATTCAATTAAATCGTTATATGTGCCTTTTATCCATGAAAGAATGGCTAAACAGTTTATTTTACAGCGTTTGTCTGAAGAACATTTTATTGGTAAATTGAATATTTTCTTTTAATTTTAGTTAGGATTATTAAGTTCCAAACAGGCCCGTAGCCAGGATTTGTCGGGGCAGAAAAATTCCTCCCTCGCCCTTGCCCCCCTCCCTCGGAAAAAAACCTGTCTGCGGGCCAGGTTCCAAAGATTTTTGATGACAGGTAAAACGATATGATTACAATTCCATTTTTTTGTATATTTGTTTAAATCATATTCTTTTTTAGAATGTTCTATTATGAAACGCTTGAGTATATCTGGTGAACCAATATCATTTTTTCGTGAATTGCTTCCATCTACTGAATTTAATGATTTGCTCTTTTGGCCTTCTGCTGTACTTTCTGAATCACTTTTATGGAAGGAATGTGACTTGCTAGCAAAAAATCTTCTTCATTCTATTCATTTTTGTTTAATTGATGATATTCTTCCAGCAAAGCTTATTCCTGTTCTAAATGATTCTGATTATTTAAAAATTGTTGAAATTTTGCAGAAAAGTTGGAATGAAGGATATTTGAGGTAAAAAATAAATTTTTGATTTAAATTATTTTTTAGAACAACAAATGATCGTCGTGTTATTTTTGATCATTCAAAATTAATTTCAACTTGGTTAAAATCAATCGAAGAATTTATTCATGAAAGAGCAATTAAAGATGCACCAGAATTACGTAAAGCACAATTAAATGCTGCAATATCAATCCAAAAACAATTAAATAAAGAGGAGAAAAAACAAAAAGATGATGATTGGGAAATAGAAAAGCCATCAAAAGGAGGGAAAGGGGCTAATAAAAAGAGTCGTTCAGGTGGAGGATCTTCTCATCAGACTTCGAGTAAAAATTAGAAACCTATTTGTTAGAAATTCGTACCTATTTTGCCACTTTTCGACATTTTTTGAACCTATTTTAGCCTTTTTTCGAACCTATTTAGGTTCCTATTATCGGTTTTTGGACCTAAAACTCTGATAATGATAAACAAGGGTCATGTAAACACATAATTATTACCCAATTTCTCTTCAGATTTTGTTTAAATAATTTATAGGCCGTTCTAGCAAACAAAAAGCAGCAACAGACAGCAATATTTCTAACAAAGATTTACTTTCTTGTGCTTCACCATTTACTTCTGATGAATTATTTACCGAATTAGAACGTTGTCATTCTTCAAGTGATTTTCAAATACCTGATACTCTTCGTGAAGAAATAGCTGATGATTTTATTGCTGAAGTTAATAATTTATATAGGCGTTTTGTTACTGAAATATGGGAACAACAATTACATCAAACAACAGCTGAAGAACAGCAAGCACAACGTCAAGCATTTGAACAACGTTTAAATAAAATTTCTGATGAATATGCAGCTATTTGCCTTTTTGAAAAAGGAGCTGATTATTTTGAAGAGGGTAAAAAATTTAATTAAATCAGGCTCTCTTAAATATATTTATAAAATTTGTACTTATTTCGGGTTCCATAACTGATTTTGAATGTGGGCTACAGGTTTCCACACGATCTCTATGAGTCTTAGAAATTTTGGAATATAATTTTTGAAAATAATTTTGGTTCTGCGTTTGGGGAGTTTTTTATTGGTGTTTTTTTATTAACGTTTGGAGCTAAAAATATAAAAATACCTTTTCGGAATTTTTATTTTTTAGTAATTGTATAATTTTTAAAGTTGATCAGAAAACATGCTAAATATATTGAATAAAATTATGTGTTAAACTGGGGAATTTAACTAAAAATATTAATTTTTCTCATATTTTATTAGAGAGCCCTAAATTGAATAATATAAAATACTTTCAATTTTAAGATCAATTAGCTAACGATTTACGAATTTATTTGCTTCGTTCTCTCTGTACAGAATTATCACATTCTCTCCTCTATACTATCTCAGACCTAAATTTATCCCAACAATCTTCTCCACAACCAACAATTTTAAATAATAAACAACGTGATCATTTAATAGATTCATTAGAATCTGTAGAAATGCAAAAATGTTCTCGTCAACTTTTTACCTCCCTTGATACTTTAGAACATTTTCATGAAGCATTTCAACGTTTAACAGCAATGAATGGCTTAAAGTTAAAACAGCCCGATAGAAAAGAGCGAACCCAGAAATTGGATTTATTTGGTAAAGAATTACACAAACAAATGTTGGAGTGTACAGATCCCCCAACAACTCTTCTTTTAACTGTTATTTTATGTTTTCAATTATATTATAGAATTGCTATTCATGCATCCGGTTTTTTTAATTAAAATTATTTTTAAAAATAATTTTTAAGGTAAATTTGTCTCCCCATTAATTCATTTTCTTTCAACGGGAACATCTGCCATTCCTCCCGATTTGGTTAATTTATTAAATGAAATACAACATTTAGTAGTGGCAAGTATTAAACATAAAGGTGATTCATCAGAGAAAATAAAAAATGATTTGATGGAGAAATTAGTTAATTTGAAGACATTCTTTTCTTATTCTGATCGAGAGGAAAAACAAGAAGAAAAGGAAGAGGAATAATCAAAAAAATACGGGGTAGATGAATTTTGTACATTTCTAAATTATTTAAAGAATGTCATCTTTTGTAATATTTTTAAGTCTTACCTAGAGTTTGGGGTTTTGGTAGCTCAGATATTTTAGAAAAAATTCTAATCAAGTCAATAATGTTAGCAGAATATGTAAATAAAAAATACATACTCCCTTATCTTTAAAATTAGATTGTTTGTGTTAGTAGAATGTATAACTGAATATTTTTCTCAAATAAATTTTGAAAATCTTCCTTAGATAAATTTCATATCTATTGAGATATCAATTCGAATTTTTAAAATTTTAATTTCGAAATTAAAAGTGTTTATAAAAATGTTTTTATTTTATTTAAAATTTACAAAAAAATAACTTTCTTTTAACAATCGCCGCATGGAAAGCAGAACGGAATCGGTATACAAAAAGGAAAGCAACAACAACACGGAACACAATTACCTCTGTCCTCTACATAACGTCGCTGTTCATAACTTAATTTATTTTTAAGAAAATTTTTTTTCTTCGAGAAAAAATTAATAAATTATTATTTTAAGACTTACACAACAGGCTGTGGTGCATTTGGATAGTAGGGGCGATAATTCTTTAAAATTAAATGCAATAAAATATTTCATAAATTATTTACCTGCGAGTAAGGTTGTTCTGTGTACATTGAAGTTTAGAAAATTAAAGATTAAAAATTTAAAATTTTTGTTTGCGAAAAGAATTTATGAGTTGGCTTTGAATTAATAAAAATTAATAAAATAAAAAAATATTTAATATGCCTAACTATATTTAGATTTATTAAAATGAATTGAGGAGATATTTAATTCCCTAAATCTTTTTTGCATTAAATTATTTATGTACATTAATAATTATGATAAAAGGAATTTTTTATAAAAAATTTTTTTTAAACTAAGGAGACTTTTAAATAAATAAAATTAACTTTCAAATGAATAATTAAATTAAAAAAAATTTATTTTTAAAAGAAAGACAACCTCTTAAAATTTAAACAATAAACAGGTTTTTCATGGCCATATTTGTACATATGACTAATCGAGAAAATGAAAATAAAGAAAATGATCGATAATTTTTATTTTAAAATGAATCAATTTTTGGGTGGAATTGAAAGTTTTGATTAAAAAAATTTTTAATTCGAGAATTAAAAATGGAAATTAAAAAATTATCAAAGCGTTGTTAAAGGAAAAAAACTTTAATAAAAAGGAAAAACTAAAGGAAAAGCTTTGAGAGAAAATGATGTTGGTTGTGTTAATGATGTTGGCTGTGATTGTTTGCTGTGTTATAATTTAAATATTTTGATGAATATTATATTGTAAAAAATTTAAATAAAAATTAATTCATTTCTTAAAATGAATGTTTGGTTACAAATATAATAATAAATATAAATATACCGTATTTGCTCTAATTGAATAACAGTCATTCGATTTTTCAATACCCCAGAAATTTGTCATTCAATTAGAGAGGTCATTCAAATAGAGGAGTTATTCAATTAGAGCAAATACGGTAATTGTAAATATAATTACAAATACATGTAATTACTTCTACCTTCCATCTTCGATGTATCTCATGCTTCCGTTCTTGCCTCTTTCCTCTCGTCTCTTGGATTTTTTGCACATTCATGATTCTACCGGGCAGGGGCAAAATCACCGTTAGGAAATGAAGAAAGTGCCGGAAATAATTTTAAACTTTCGGAATTCAGACCGACCTCTGCTACCGACTTATGTACATATACATATTTGTTAGAGAGTTTATTTTATTTTTTATAGTTTATTTTCCGTGCTTTTAATTTTTTAGTTTAAACCCATTTAAAGTTTCATTGAAAACGTTTTAAAATATTTTATTCGGAAATAAATATAACCAAAATATACATTATTTATGAATTAAATAATTTCAAAAAATTTATTATTTAATTTCAAAAATATTTTTTTCTTAATTTTTAATTTATTTTAAATATAAAGTTTCAATTTTCGGACGTGAAGTTTCTTTTTAAATAATAAATTAGCTATTCAAATAATTAATTAGAAGCTACCAACTACCTAATCCTGTGGTTTAAAAAATTATTCCCTCTCTATAAATCTGAAATTATTTAACTAAAAATTTTGAATTCTCGTAAATTTAAATATATTTGTACAGCAATATAAATTTTTCTTTCTCGAATTCCTTCATTCTCTTTTTATTTTAATCAAAATTATTGGTTAAACGAATTTTAAAGTCAAAATTATTTCCTCACTCCTCTTATTTCTTCAATTTTTGAGTAAAATAAAATTAGCAATTTCTAAAGTTATTTATTTTTAAAGACGTGGAAAGTTAACATAAAGTATTTAAATAAATTTTTACTTAAAGTAAACCAATAAATTTATTTTTGTTGGATTTATACAAGATTTTATAGTCTTTACTTCCTTATTTACAAATATTTTTATTTTATTCTCATACAGTATATTTTAAAATATTCTCGTGAATCTTTATTTTTTTAAAATAATTTTGAAAAAATATACATTACACCTAATTAATTAATTTTCTATTTATTGCTTCCGTATCTTTTATTTCATAATTAAAAAAATTATTTTAATTATTCTATTAATTTTAAGTTTTGTCTAATTTTAAAAAATTATTTTGAATGTTATTAATTGCTAAGGGCTTTGCCCTTTTATTATTAATATTTTTAAATGTTAACTTAGTTGAATCCAAATGTTCTTGGGATGTTAGTTTAATAATTTAAAAATTAATTTTATAATTTAAAATTAAGAGTCGAAGACGGGGGGGGAGGGTGTTCTCGTATGAATCCTATGTAAGACCTCGTATCCTCTACTCTCACTAAACAAATTTTATTTCGCAATTTTTCTTAGAATTTTGACCGAAGCTAATCTCCACTTAAAAGCCACATACAATAGTCGTATTTAGTTGAATTAAAAAAATTATTGTAACAAAATTTTTATTTTAATTAATTAAGAATTGCCCTAAATGGTCAACTAATTCATCTGTAATTAATGTACATTTAATTTGTCATTCGTAAGGAATAAAATTAAATTTAAACTTAAAAATATATATTTATAAAATAGACATGATGATATGGGTTGGCTAAAAACTGTTGATGATTATTATACTGGAGGTATTTTTAGAAAAAATTTAAACAAAATAAAATAATTTAAAAGCAAATCCTTCAATATTTAATGTCGGTGTTCAATATATATTAAGTACTGTAGTAGCAGCTTTAAATAAAAGCCCCTCTCGTCGATTTTCTTATGCCGAAACTGGGTTTTTAACAATGTGGTTAGAAGATAAATATTCGGAGGAAATTGAAAATATGAGAAAATTAATTGTTGAAAAAGGTAATTTTATAAATTCTTTTAAACTTTCAAGACAATTTCAATTATTTATAAGCTTCTCATCTAAAATTATTTTTTGATTTTAATTTATTACAAATTTAGTGTCGTTAAAATATATCCAAGCTTGATTAAATTGGGATAATTCAAAAATTTTTTTTAATACTTGTGACTAATTTTGACATTTATTTTCCATTGTTTTTATGCAATGAAAGTGTCAAAATTATTTACAGTTATTGTGAGGATTTTTTAGAAAAATTAAAAATATTTCAGACATTAATATGTTTATTAATGATTTTTTTAATTAATTTAAACATTATATTATAATTTTTAGGTCAACTAGAATTAATTGGAGGTATTTTAAATAAAATATAATCACTAAAATAAAGTCCCGTATGTTTAATTTTTCAAAGATTATCAAAAATTATTAATAAAAAATATTTTCTTAGTTCTTAACTTTATTTTACTGTTAACAAAAATTTTAGAAATCCATTGTAGCTTTATTTTGTAGTGTGGGGAACTTTATTTTACAATTATTAAAAAAAATTTTTTAATTAAAAAAGGTGGTTGGACACAGCCAGACGAGGCATGTACTCATTACTATGAATTAATTGATCAATATAGTTTGGGATTGAGAAAATTAGCAAATAAATATGGTTATTTAAACACTTTAAAAAATATATAAATTTTAAGGAAATTGTGGAGTCCCAAAAGTTGCCTGGCAAATAGACCCTTTTGGGCATAGTAGTGAACATGGAAATATGTTAATTAATGTAAATATAAATATTTAATTTAAATTAAATTAATTAAAAAAAAGATTGGTTATGAAGCCCTTTTCTTTTCTCGAATGCATTATTTGGAATTAGAAAATAGAATAAAAAATAAAAGTTTGGAAATGTTATGGCAGACAGATGAAAATGGTAATGTCTTTCTAAATTATTGTTTAAAAAACAGACAATCATTTTTTAATAATAATTTATACTGGGTGATCAGCAGAGAGAGTTTTTTTAGGTTTTTCTCTATTTTTTGTGAACTAGTTTTGATGAGATATGCACAAAAAACACTGTTTTGGGTCGAAATAATGAGTCTATATTGGACCTATTCGAACCTAAAAAACCTATTTCGGCCTTTTCGGACCTAAAACCTATTTGCAACCTATTTTGGACTTTTTTGAACCTATTTTAGGTTTTTTGATAAAAATCTCAAAAATTGCCTTTATTTTCGCAAATATTTGAGAATTTAAGTCATTTTTTCACTAAATCACTGGTTTTTTATAAAAAAATTTCAATTTTGATATTTGATTATTTTTTTAACCAATTATCGGTAAAAATTGCTTTGAGGACAAAGACTCCGATTTATATCGATATTTTATGTTATTCCAGGGCTCGGATTCGTACTTTATTTGAAAGTACAGTACTTTAAAATCGACCTCCGTACTTACGAAATTGAATTTGTACTTTATTGAAAGTATGTACTTTAAGATCAACATTTTGAAAAAAATGGAAGAAATCTGGCTTAAGGACCTCTAAAATTCTCAAAATTTTCGCCTGCGGCGCAAAAAATGGAAGAAAACTGGCTTAAGGACCTCCAAAATTCTCAAAATTTTCGCCTGCGGCGCAAAAAATGGAAGAAAACTGGCTTAAGGACCTCCAAAATTCTCAAAATTTTCGCCTGCGGCGCAAAAAATGGAAGAAAACTGGCTTAAGGACCTCCAAAATTCTCAAAATTTTCGCCTGCGGCGCAAAAAATGGAAGAAAACTGGCTTAAGGACCTCCAAAATTCTCAAAATTTTCGCCTGCGGCGCAAAAAAATAGATTTTTTGGCGCCTTCGGCTCCACAAAAAAGTGCATTGAAATTCACAAAATGCTAAGTTGAAACAAGAAATTATTAGAAAAGATTAATTTAAGAGAGAAATATAAAAGATTTGAGCACGAATAAATATTTTCTAATTTAATTTTAAGTGTACTTTAAATGTGGAAATTTTGCCCCTATGTACTTTAAAATCAAGATTTTTGTACTTTTTATTGGCATTTTGTCGATCCGAGCCCTGTGTTATTCAAAATAGCTTTCAATTGTGTGACTAGTTAGAAAGAGCTCGCCGAGCTGAGTCGAATAACACCAAAATCAAAGCGATCTGACTTCATAGGGCCGAGTTACATGGACCCAAACATCGAACAACCATACGGGGGGGGGGGGGGGGGGGGAAGACAATTTTGAGGTAAAAATTCGATTTTTTGAATGATAGCTCATTTGAAAGAGCTTCTCAATCTGAGTTGATTGACACCAAAATCATTTTTTTCAACCTATTCAAGCCTTTTTTTCGAACCTTTTAGGTACCTATTATCAGGTTTTTTGAACCTAAAAAAACTCTCTCTGGTGATCAGAAAGTAACCGCAAACTTTTCATTTCATCATAACTTTTTCCCCTCATACATTTTTTAATATTTTCTACTCATTTTATACCCAAACAATTCTCCTTCATATACCTTCATCATTTAGGCATTATTTGATCTCATTATCTTTAATTTGAATAAAGTTATGTCATAAATAAGGTGTGCAGTCAATTAAGTATTTAGATTACCTATCTCAAAAATTAATAAAATATAAATAAACATTTAAATTAAAGGAGATGCTACAAGGTCTTTATTTACAAGTACCTTCTCCAGAGGAACATATACACAACCTAAAGGATTTTGTTTTGACCCAACTTGTCCTTATCCAGATTTTATAATAGACAATCCAGAATTGGAAGGATACAATATTGACCAGAAATTAAATGATTTTCTAAATATTGTTAATGAACAAGTTAAAGTCCAAAGACATAATCATGTTTTAATTGCAATGGGTGGAGATTTTACATATTCAAATGCTGAACTTTGGTTTAATAATCTCGACAAATTAATTTTGGCTGGGAATAAAAACGTAAATATTTGATTTAAAAATTATTTTGGCTCGCGGAATAATTTATGAAATTTTTTACTTATATGAACAGACAAAAGGTAAAACTTTGGTAAATAGGGGCTGATAGCCCTGCGTTGAGTTGGGATAGTTGTTGGACCTGATAGGTTGCATACGGTGGCAAGGGTCCCTAAAGGCGATGCAAGGCAAGTATGAGTGCGGAATGAAGATATGATCATTCTCCTCCCTTCTCCAATCTTTGCCTAGCAAGAGATAAAGGAAAAATATTAAAATTATACGAGTTAAAAAAACAATATTAACAATATTTTTTCTAATAATTTTATTTATTTAAAAGAAAAACATAACAAATGTAAATATATTTTATTCAACCCCAACTTGTTACATAAAAGCTTTAGAACAAACAACAAAACCAAACTTTCCAAAAAGGGATGGAGATTTCTTTCCATATGCAGATCAACCTGATAGGTATTGGACTGGTTATTTTACTAGTAAACCGTCATTAAAAGGATTAACTAGAAAGTCATCTTCTTTACTTCAAGTAATTCTACTATAATTAATATAAATGATTAATATAAGTACTATAATTAATCTTTAAAAAAATTTTTCAATTTAAATATTTTTAAACATTTTTAAGGTAACGAGAGCATTATATACACTAATGAAAGCTAAAACTAAATTAAATTCTGATAACTTAAGAATGGAATTATTTGAACGTTCTATAGCTTTAACAACACATCATGATGCTATAACGTTAATAATTTTAAATTAAAAAAATTTAATTTAAAATTTTTTTAGAGGGACATCAAAAGAATTAGTAACTAAAAATTATATGAAACGTCTTTTACAGGGTTGGGATGCTGCTGAAGTAAAAAATAAATTTTAAAAAAAATTAAAAAAATATTTTAATTTAAAGATAATATTAACTAATACTTTGGCTTTTTTAACGAAAAAAGAAGAAAATAAAATTAATAAAAATAAAACTTTAAATGTTTTTCCAACACAAAAATTATGTAGACGATTAAATGAAAGTTATTGCCCAGAAAGCATGTAAGTGTGGAACAGGGAAGAGCCGGATTACCCTCCGCGATCCAAAGAAAATTTTGTAACACCAAATCAAACCCGACTTTTTTTCTCAACCTAGCCGTTCATGAAATGGAAATAAAATTCATAAACTATTTAATTATATGTTTTTTTAACTGGTGAATAATAATAATTCAAAAATATTGCTCTTTCGAATAATTTATTAAATTTTGTTTAATTTCTCATAGAAATATTCCCAATATAGTTTAAAAACCCCACAAAAGTATATTCTTAATTTTCTATCAAAAAATCCAATTTTAGGGGAACAGACAGCTTTACAGTAACAATTTTAAATGGAAATTCAAAACAATTTTCTGGCTATATCCGTATTCCAGTAAATAATCAAAATATTCAAATTTTATTAAATAATGGACAACAAATTGATTTTAGAGTATTTTCTAATTTTTAAAAATATTTTACTTTAAATTTTTAAGTTAATTCCTTTATTTATATCACCACAATCTCAAAAAATAAATCAATCCAAATATGAATTAATATTTAAAGCAAATGTTGGGCCTGTTGGATTTACTACTTTTTTTGTTATTATAAACGAGTAAAGAAAAATAAATTTTAAAAAAATAAAAATAATTCCTTTTTAAAAGTCCTTTATTACCTTCAAATCAAACACAAAATCAACCAAATATTGTAAAAAGTATTCCCGATTTGCCTCAAAATTCACAAAAATCTACAACAAATAAACAATTATTTACTACAAAATTACCAAATACTCCTTCTATTTCACCAATTCAATTAAATAAAACAAACGGATTAATTGAAAATAAAGTAATGTAGATATATAAATTAACGAGACATGAAATCCTGGTTATGATTATAAGAGGATGGAAATGACCAGATCGCTTAATGGCATCGTCATTTAACCAGCAGTTTTATTGTTTAGGCCCTGGCTCCTCCTGTTTTTGCGGCCCTATTTTAAACATTTGTCTGAGTTTATGTCCCGATATTTTCGATCCAAGGATATAATTTCCGGTGGAATTATTGTTAAGGTTCAAGACTTTGGTGATTGGCATTGGGCTTGTCCTCTTTTTATCAGAGCTTTAATAATTAAAAAAATATTTTTTAAAGTACATTCGTCTTAATTTTAATGAAAATGGCCTAATAGAATCCTTAGAAGATTTAACTAGAGAAAATGCTAAATTTAAATTTACACGAGAATTTTTTTATTATGAAGGGTTATCATCTGGAGCTTATATTTTTGGGTGATTTTTAATTTGAAAATATTTTTATATTGAAAGTATTTAGGGCAAATTCGGATTTAGAACCAACACCATTTAACGAAACTACAAAAACTGAATTTATTAGAGTAAATTTAAAAATTATTTTTTTGTTAAATTACTAGAACTGGCTTTATTTAGAAAAATTTTTAGAAATTATATTTATAGGATTTCATTTTATGTGTTTGAAACTAAAGCGCGGAGAACTCGCAATTCCGGACCCCGTAAAGGGATTTTTCCTTGTATTGGCCTGGATTCAGCGGTATTAATCCGGTAATCCCGTATGTCTTTCAAAACCCCATCCCATAGAATCCCGTCAGGATCCCGACTTGTGCCGTACTCTATTTAAAACTTCTAAAAAGTCATCCTCTCTTTAACATTTCTATTTAAATATGTACAGGGTGCGCCATAAGTAATTGCACACTTGTTTTCTCTCATAACTTTATTAAAACACGATCAAATAAAATCGAAATACAATCAAATGATAGAGAATTAAATAAGGAACAATAATAATCAAGAAGATTCGAGATACACACCCTTGGCTTTGATCCAGAGGCGAAGGCGTGAAGAAAAATTTTCACTAATAGCACGCACCTCTTTAAGTGTAATTAAGTCCCACACTCGGGTGAGAGAGTGGCGCAGAGACTCCAAACTTTTGTGAGGCATAGCACAAACCCTGGACTCCAAAATAGACCAAAAAGAATAATCCATAGGATTCAAATTCGGGGAGTAGGGTGGCTATTCCTGAGCGCTAATGAACCCATGGAAATTGGCCTTGCACCAGTCCTGAACTTCTTTCGCTTTGTGTACCGGAGCAGTGTCCTGTTGGAAAATCCAGACTCTGCGACCGAAATGGCTCTTGAACCGAGGTTTCAGAATACGCTGAAAAATTTCTGCAAGTAATAGTCTTTCTTGACTTTTACACCAAAATCACGAAAATAAGGGGTTTTTTGACTGACGCGCAAATACCGGCCCAAACCATGACAGATTGGGGATGTTGGGAATGTGTGATAAGCTTATCGGAAAGAGGAGATTCTGTAGTCCAAATTCTATAATTTTGATGGTTGTGTACGATTTTTATTGTAAAAATTTTTTCGTTTGTGAAAAGAATGTCCGGACATGCGTGCCACAATCAAAAGAGATGAAATTTTGCGGACTGAATTTTTTTTCAAAAAAAGTGAGATTATAGAATCACGTTGACTATCCATAATAGAGAATTGAATGAGCTAAAAAATAAGCCTAAAATCAATTAAAAATATTGACAACAAAAAAAGTTATAAGAATTTAAAAGTGTGCAATTACTTATGGCGCACCCTGTATAATTAATTAACTATTTAGAACGATTTTGTACAAGAAGCAAGACAAATTATCAGCCCTTGGGTTAGTCAAATAATTCGATTATTCGAAGATAAAAAATATATTGAATTTGAATTTCTTGTTGGACCAATTCCAATAACGTTAACATTTCTTCTTTTTTAATTAAAAAATATTTAAATTTAAAGAGAATTTAAATCAAAAGAAATAATTACAAGATATTCAATGCCAGAAATTAATTCAAGCGGTATTTTTTGGACAGATTCTAACGGACGTAGAAATATTCAAAGAAAGTGACTGAATATTTTAATTACCTAAAATTTTTTTTCTCTTTTTAAAGAAGAAATTTCAATAAATATTTTAATTTGGGAGAAAATATAAAATATCCATCAAGTGCCAATTATTACCCAATTACTAGCCGAATAGGTTTATCTGACAATTTAAATCAAATGAGTATATTAACTGATCGTTCACAAGGAGGGACTAGTTTAAATGATGGACAGATTGAAATTATGGTTTTTATGAAATAATAATTAAAGGGAAATTCTAAATTAAAGGTACATCGTCGTTGTGTTATGGATGATAGGTTGGGTGTTGAGGAAGTTTTGAATGAACCGGTGAGTAAGTATTAGAGATCGAGCTGGATCTGGATTGAGACTTTGATTTTTCTATTTAGATCCAGAGTATAGATCAGAGAGATATATTTAGTAAATATATAGTAAATTCTCTCTATTAATAGCCTTTCTCTAGAACCATTCTCTAGTCTTCTTTTGAGAGGTCATTAACTATTAGTACTAGGGAGAATATATACATTAAAATAGGGTAGTACCCGAAACCCCGACTCCCGACGACCCGAATCTCGAAGACTATACCCCGACAAACCCCGATCTCCGACGATCCGGCCACGAAGGCTCGGGGGTGCTACTCTACATTAAAAATAAATTAATAACCACTATTTTAGGGCGAAGATGGAAATGGTTTAATTATTCGTGCCAAACATTGGCTACATTTTGGACCTAAAACAGAAGAACCTTCTTTAAATAGAATATTAGGCCTTCAACTCTTCCACGAACCAACACTCCTTTTTTCTAAATTTTCTGGAGAATTTAATGATTACAATAATAAATATTTAACTAATGTTTTTACTAAAATATTTAACAAAAAATATTTTTGTTTTTAATTTCAGTTTTCAGCTCTCAATTTTGATTTACCTCCAAATATTAATTTACTTACATTTAAACATATTGGGAATAAACAAATATTAATTCGTTTAGAGCATATATTCCAAACAGGAGAAGATGCTAATTTAAGTAATCCAATTTATTTAAATTTACAGGTTAATTTTGAAATATTTTAAAGAAAAAATATTTTTAAAGACAATTTTTAAAAATCTTCGATTTCAAAAAATAAAAGAATTAATGCTTGCTGGAAATATAGTATTTAATGAAGTTGTTGATGCCGAGAATGTTAAGTTAAAACCTATGGAAATTAGAACCTTTATGCTTACTACATAAGAATTGGAATTGTATGGGAATTACTATGTTTAAAAAAATAAATTTTTTCAAAATTTTGGAATTTTTATGAAAATAGAGATTGGCTTAGTTTAAGTATATTAAGTTTAAGTTTTGTATCAAGTTGCTATACTCTATTTTCATTTATTATTAACTTTTTATTTCTTCCAATTCGATGGTGATTTTATCAAATCATAGAATTTTTTTCTAATTTTTCTGCTTTATTTAAATTTTTCTTTATCTAATAATAACTAACTGATTTATTTTCAATCGGCAGTATTTCTTCAAAAAATAAATTTATACATATTTTTTGGTAAGATTTTATTGAGAAAGATGAATGACCACTAATTTATTCTCTTATTATTTTTACTCATCGATACTATTAACTTGCGGAGACGAAGAAAATATGCACTGGGGAGGCTAAAATTACCTATATAATATTTATTTTAAGTTGTTCTTAGTTTTACTATTTTTTCTAATATATTCTTGCAAAATGACAATTAATTAGTCAATATTTATTAATAACGTTTATCTGCTTTAAAATACATAAGATAATATTATTTGGGTATTCCATTAAAATTTTTCTTCAATTTTAAGATAAAATTTAAAAATAATTTAATGATTACAGTGTGTAACAAAACTATAAGCCACCTCAAATTTTTTAATTTTTTAGGGTTCTAATGAATGAAAATTTTTGAAATTTTAGCCCAATATTGAAAATGTAATTTCAAGTAAAAATTTAAAAAAATTTAATTAAAAAATCTTACAAAAAATTTTTTTCGAACTTTTTCTGAAATTTAGGTGTAACATAACTATAAGCCATCTTGGAAAAATTTTATTTTTCATATTAGAAATGTCTGAAAAATTTTGCAAAAATTTCTGTGATCATTTCCATCGATATAGTGTAGAAAAGTAAAAAGAACGAAGTCATTAACTGCTTTCTTCATTGAGATCTAAAATCTCAAAAATCAACTGAAAACGAGGGTACAGTACTTCAAAAAATATTTTAACCCCCTTAAGGCTTATATAAAAATTTTCTTTTAGGCCTATCTGAAAGCCCATAAAATTTGCTACAAAATAGCTCGGGACATAATTTTTCAAATATATATATATATATTTGAGGTATGTCCACTTAACTTTAAAAATACTAAAAACTCTCAAAATACCCCATAAATGATCACTTAAAAATTCCTCGATGATTAAGTCCATGTGTTCTTTATTTTGAAAAATCAATGAAGAAAGCAGTTAATGACTTCGTTCTTTTTACTTTTCTACACTATATCGATGGAAATGATCACAGAAATTTTTGCAAAATTTTTCAGACATTTCTAATATGAAAAATAAAATTTTTCCAAGATGGCTTATAGTTATGTTACACCTAAATTTCAGAAAAAGTTCGAAAAAAATTTTTTGTAAGATTTTTTAATTAAATTTTTTTTAATTTTTACTTGAAATTACATTTTCAATATTGGGCTAAAATTTCAAAAATTTTCATTCATTAGAACCCTAAAAAATTAAAAAATTTGAGGTGGCTTATAGTTTTGTTACACACTGTAAGATTCAGAATAAACTTATAACTTTCCATTTTCCTTAAATACTTAATTGAGTAAATTATATGAAAATCAGTGAAATTAATTAATCGAATAGGCCCCTTCTGTATTTTCTCCACGTAAAGTTTTGTACAATTTAGTAAATCATGGGCATTTCGAGTAAAGCGATTAAGTACCTAATCAAAACTTTGTTCAAACCCATTTAATTATCCAGATCGATTTAGCTCGCCGAGATGAATCAAAATAAGTTTAATTATTAATTTTTATTGCCTACAGTTTTTCCAAAACATTTTTAAATAATGTTTAATCTACCAATTGAAATAAAACTAGATTTATTAAAATGTCTCAATTTTGATCAATTATTTAATTTCCGTCTATCAAATTTTTATTTTAATGAATTTGTAAATAAAAATGAGGAAATTTTGGCACGAAAAGAATTTTATTCAATTAGAATTGTAATTTTTATAATAATTTTTTTTGGTTTATTTACCAAATTTTTATTTTTTAGGAAAGGTATTGGGATGGAAGAGAATATACTCCAATAGGGGATAAAGTTATTGAATTGGATTTTAAATTTGGTTATTTTTTGGATTATAAATTGGATGATCAACTTATTGGGAAGGTAAACTATAATGAATTATTAAACTTTTTAATGAGAGGTGAGTTTAATGAAATCATTTAGAAGGAGAAACAAATTAGACACAAAAACACGGTCCCCAAGCATTAAAAAATTCTTTTAAATAATTAAAAAACGAATTGTTTTGATAAAAGATTTTTCTTTAAAAATTATTTTTTAGTGGCAATCTTCACTTAATCAACGTCAACATCTTTATTTTGGTGAACTAATATCTAGACCACAATTTAAAGATAATTTAGTTATTACAATACATCAACGTAAGGAAATTTAGTATCTTAATATTTTTTCAAATTTTAATCTTTTCAGGGACAAAGGATAAAAAATATTTTTTTCGTTATTTAAAATTCCCTTTATGCCCTAAAAATATGGAGGAAATGAAAATTGCTCGTTATTTTTTGGAACAAATTTTTCGTTGTTATTTTCATTTTATTGACTTTGGACTCTATATATTTTTTCCGGAAATGATTAAATTACTTTTTGAAAATGATAAGACAACAAAATTAAAATTTAATGGACAAAAAGCTACTTTATATTATTATGATCAAATTAATCCTCTGGATTTTGCTTTGAATCATTTAGTAATTAATGAACTTTTCATTAGTTTTCTTAAATATAAAGAAGCTAAAAATGAAGATTATAATAAAAGTTTAATAAATTTTTTAATGAATGAAGGTGCTAGATTTAAAAAAATTAAATGGGATTTCTATAAAATTCATCGACTTTTCTATTCACTTATTAAAGTAAGTTTGGAAATAGGCTATAACATTCGTAGATGGATGGAATTTCATTACGATCAGATCGCCCTCGCTATTTCCTCCCATCCAAAAGTGGGTCGGAAAAGCCAGAGGTGTCGGAAATCGGAACTGGCTCAAATGTCGGAAATCGGAAATCAAAATTTTTTTCGGAAATCGGAAGGAAAAAACGTCGGAAATCGGAATTCCGACCCACCTTCGCTCCCATCTCTGGTATTTTTGTTTCACCATAATCCTCTTTGGATCCCTTATTTGTAAACCGGATCTTGACCCTTTAACTCGTATCAGTCAATTAATATTTAAATTTAGCAAATAGAAACTTCAACAAATTGTTTAAATATCGTGGCCAACATTGAAGTTTACGCATCTGAATCGTTTGATATTGATTTGAATGTCAGAGCAAAAAATAAAAACAAAAATGGAGAAATTACGAGTTTTGAACTTGACAATATTTACAATCCACAAGTTACTTTCCTTGTTAAACATTGGGAACGAGAAGAAGGAAAAGTTTATAAGATTCAAATCGAGCGAATAAATGAATAATTAACTAAAACTTTGAGGATATATGCTTTGAGGGGAGCTCTTAAATAATTACTCCACTCCTTAAACCTCTCCATTACACATTAAAAATTACCCAGGTTAATTAATTTAGCATACATTGCCTATTAATTACAGTCGGATCCCTCTTATGTATAAAGGTGTTAAAATCTAATATAAAGGTGGTAAAATCTAATACCGAAACAAATTTTAAAAAGTGAAACATGAGAGGCGAAAGATCAAAAAAGTTGAAAAGCGAAAGTTAGACGGGTACATCACCGGTATACATATTCGCATTTGAATATGTACGAACTCACTTGAATTTACTATATTTTCTAATTTGATTCGGCACTGGGATCCGACAGATTTTAATTAATTTATTTATATTATTAAGCTTTTTGTATTAATTTCTCTATCGATAAAAAATTTAATTTAAATAAAGGAATTTAAAAAATTTTTAAGATTGCAGAGAATTAATAAAGTATAAATTGGATAATATGTTTTATAGAGTTCGTATTTTCGAAAATTTGTTTAAAAACAATTTTTTGCTTGAATAACAATTTTGTATCAAAATTACCACAAATTTAATTATTTAAAAAATTAATTATCTTCTCCTTTTTGTTTATCAATTTCTTTTTCTTTTATTATATTCATCATATTATTATTATTTATTTCTAGAGCCCATTTTCGTGGATTAGATTTGGCAAATAAAATAAAAACAGTTATTGCAGTAAATACAAGTATAGAAATTGTTGAAAATATATATGTCCACTTTTTAAATTTTAATTTAAATTTATTAAAATTACCTAATTATCAAAGGTGGGTCGGAACAGTCAGAGGTGTTCGGAAATCGGAAGAGCCGGAAATCGGAACTGGCTCAAAAGTCGGAACTCGGAAATTGGAAATCAGAATTTTTTCGGAAATCGTAATTCCGACCCCCACCTCTGCTATTTATTTACTTGTTTAATTGTATCGTCTGGTGCTGCTGCAGCAACAATTCCTGGGAGTATAAGGGGGACAATGCTTATTACCATATTAGTCCAAGAAATAAGAACTTCTGAATGTTTAAGAGCTATCTAGAAATTAATTAAAAATACCTATATTTTTATTTTGGAGGTTAGTGGAAATTGTCCACATTGTTTTGAAAAATATTATTATAAATGTTTTAATCTTTTGAAATCGTTAATTATGTAGCTGTTATATTTACCCGTGTTAATACATTATTCACAACTCATATTTAACAAATTATTTTTACTATATCTAAAAAGCATCTCGCTAAGGGAGTACTTTTAAGTGAGGGTTATTATGAAATTTAAATTACTATTTGTGAATATCGAAATATTCCAAGAAAATCAAGTCCAGTGAACATATTAATTGTTGAATAAAATGGCAAAATAAACAAAATTGAAGAAGTTAAATAAGGAATAAATGCTAAACCAAGCAGTGAAATACAAATACCATACTTTAAATTATTTTTAATTAAATAATGATTTTTAATAGGGTTGGACATGACCGAGTTTAAAAAGAAAATTTTGCTAAAATTTTTTGATTTTTTGACAAAAATTATCCGTTTTTATGGAAATTTTAAAAATCGGAAGTTTATGAAAATGAGTGATTTTTTAAAAGTCCCCCCCAAAATAAAATCGGAGTTTAACTGAAACTCGAAACCGTAAACCGGGAGTTTTTAAATAAACCGTTAGTAATAGTTAACCGTTTGTGTCCAACCATAATTTTTTATTTAAAAATTACTTGAGCTACTCCAGAAAATAATTTAACTTTTGATTGTTCACTTAATATTTTTGAAATTAATTTATCATCAAGAGGACCAACTAATAATTTTGAAAACATTCCAACTAACGGAGGAAGTGCAGAAACTAAGCCTGTTTCAGTAACTGATATTCTGAGAACCTTTTTTAAATCATTAAAATATATTCTTATAAGATGTGCATTATAAGATACACCTTGGGGTTTTCTGTCATTAAGTATATATTAAATTGGGAATCACATAGATAGCCCCTCCCACACATTAACAAAGGTGGTGGATCTTCCAAAACTTCCGGATATCCAGACCATTTTCGGATCCGGATCCACTAACTCTCTCTCTCCCTGGACCCAGCGGCCAATCGAATTAAAAATAATATCAAATTGAGGTGTATCTAGTAATGAGCATACTATCATATAGTATTTATTTTACTTTATTTAAATAATATGGCCCCATTTCTAATAAAAATTGAAAGGCTATTTCACTGCAAAAAAATGTTACAAATAACAGCCAAGTTGTCCAGTCAGTTAACATTTTATAATATGGAGCTTTTTGTTTTTTGTTGTTTTCTTTATTTTCTTTTTCAGCTTTACCAAATTCAATTTCTTTTAATTCAATCTCAGATATCCATCTAGAAAAATTAATTTCTTTTTTTAATTTTTAAAAATAAAATTTACGGATGTTCAGAAGGACAATCACGAAAAATAAAAAAGAAAATAATTGTAAATATTAAGGTTAATGTAAACATTGTATAATATACTCCTTCCCATCCAAAATTACTTTCACAAAAATATCCAGCTGTAGGCATTGTAAATAATTGACCAAACTATTTTTTAAAAATAATTTATCAAGATCAAAAATTAAGATAAATTGTAAGACTTGGATTGCGTTGACAAAAAAATTTTCTGAAGCCGAGGACAACCCTATATACCAAGGGAGTATTCAAATAACCTTTTAACCCAGATAAGGTTTAGGGTAGGGTTGTTCTCCGACGTGGGGAGGGCCACGGGCAGTGATCGGAAAGTTCCAAATTTCTCTGAAACCGGTTCCAGTTCTGTAACTGCTTTTTGAAAAAAATGTCTCAAATTCCCCGACTTTCGGGTACGGGGACAAACTCTGGTTTAAGGGAGTATCAGGGGTTATTTGAAGCTTTGCAAAAATAACAACTTTTCCCCCAGTGAAATTTAAAATATTTTATAAATTCACTTGAAAATGTATAGAAGTTAAAATTAAAAAAGTAGCCGTAGATGTAACAGGTGCCCATTTACGTGAAACTATTGAAACAACAACATATTGAGCTGCAAAACATGTACCCTAATTTTTTTAATTAAATTTAAATTTAAAACTTGTTATTTTACTTGAATTATTCGCATAAGATAGATTGACCAAAAACCAAAAATCTTGTCTCCAATAGGAATACCTAAAGTGGACAATGCGGACATTATACAAAAGCCAGTTATTGTATGTCTAGAAAAAAAAAAGATTTTTCGAAAAAAAAGATTTTTTTTTCGAACCTAACAGAAAATAGTTCAATTAAAGGAGAGATGATTAAACTTCCAATAATTGACCCTATAGCAGGTCCAGAAAATAAAAGAGAACGCTCAATTGCTGAAAATTCATTTTCATCATTTGCTTCTTGGCTGCCTGAAAATTAAAAAAGAATTTCGTCGCTGGAGCTAAAAATTTTCTTCTGACTCTTCAAAATTTTCTAACAAATCTTCCGAAAAATTTCCCGATCTCCAACACACCCCCCGGGTCAGATGTCATTTATATAACTAACTCAGAAAGGGACTATTCTAGTGTAAATATATATTTATTACCATATTTATTTAAAGAAATATTAAAATCATTTATTAATTCATTTTTTACTGGATTCATACAAATTATTGTAAAATTTAATAATAAACAATTTGAAAATATTAGTGCCATACAAATAATTGAAATAGTTAAAATTAAATAACGAATTTTTAAAATATTAGAGAATTTGACTTGAATAGACATATTGATGTATGTATTAAATATTTTTCTTAAAAATTTTAAATAATTTTATGAATATGCATGAATTTTTTGGTTTTACTTATCAGTCTTAATAATAATGTTCAATGAATAATTATTAATAATATCCGAACCAAAATTATTAATTAAAAATTTATAATAATTCAATTAAAGGAGAGATGATAAGACTACCAATAATTGCCCCTATAGCTGTTTTTTTATAAATAAAAAAATACTTTGATAATTAGTGCCTGGATTTTTAAAAATTGTTGTCTATTGGTTAATAGATTTTATACCTAGAATTTTTTTATTTGAAATATGTCATCAGAAAATGAAATTTTTAAAAATATTATTTAAATATATAAGTATGTAATAATATTTAAATAGTAAATATAATATTAAAAAAAATTTTTAGTATAATTTTTGAAGGAAGATTTACATATTTTTGTTAAATTACAATTTTTAACAATATTGTTAAAAATTATATATTTAGTCAAAAATTATTTTTGCAAAAATAAAAGATCATAAAATGTACCTATTTGTATTATAACAATAAAATAAACAAATATTGATAGGCAAGTAGGGCCTAGGTTTTTAAAAATTATTATCACTACTTAAATAAGAAGTCTGCTTATGATACTAAATGAAAACAGACTTCGGCTATAACAGAAATAAATTAGCCAAAATATGTATTAACGAGAAATCCCCAAAACTAGTAACGAGAAATGTCCTTTTGGGTAGAACTTATCTTAACTATCAATTTTTCAATATTTTAATAAAAAATGCAAATCAAAAGCATGCCCATGTGCCAGGTATCACGCACGGTTTTCGGCTAAAATGCATACATTTGTAACCTCGTCTAAAATACATTCGAAACGAAAATATGGAGATTCGATAGAATAAATACAAGAATCAACCTCGAATCCCGACCTTTTTTTACTAAAACTCCGATGCCGATGAATCAACATAGAAAAACTTCGACACCGATAATTTTAGCCAGAAATTTCAGAAAAGTTAGAGATTTATAATTTCTTTAATATCCCTCAAAATAACTGGGTGGTTATGTGGTAAGTCCCTAGTTAAAATTATTTTTTAATGCTTTAATCTTCTGTGCAAACTAATATAAAAACAAGACTAACACTAATAAACCTTCAATTCTGGTTTCGTAATTTTTAAATATGTATCTAACAACCGTGAATTTACCCGTTTGTTTTAGAGTTAAAAAAATTATTAAACTTAAAATAAAAATGAGATTTTTTTATTTTTCTTAGATATTAAACAAAAACAAAACAAAGATTTTGAATTAATAAAATTTAAAAAAAATTTGGGGAAAAGGTTTATTAAAATCAGAAATTCTTCGGTTTTAGACCCACGTTTTTTCTTGTTTCCCTTTGTGGCATCAATTTTCTTTTTATGGTAATATAACATCAGAAGAGCTCTTTGAGCCGAGTCGAATCAAAATAAAATCTATGAAATCTAAAACCGAAGAATTAACTTAAATTCGATTAATATGAAAACTTGTAATATAATCTGTATCTAAAGGATGGCAATGAAGTATTACAAATTTAATTTTAGAATTTAAAATATTTTCAATTTCATATTTTACAAAATTACAATTCCTTCCTTCTACTTTTAACAATTCCTTTTCTATATTTTTGGCTCTCTTTGGCAAATCAGTACGAAACCATTTAATATAAGGAAAACTAATATTAGAGACCATATTTGAGCAATTTGAAGTTTCTACATTCTAAAAAGTTAAATTTAAAAATATAAATGTCTAACAAGGGAACATTCCGAACTACCACCAAAAATTTTGTAACGAAACATATACCATTGTGTAGAGCAGGGTCGATTATAACTTTTCGAAATGGGGGTCAGGGCCAAAAAAGAAAAAATAGGTAATCGGTTTTCGACCATGCTCTAACGATGGTATAATTTTTATTTGAAAATTTTTGGTGGTAGTTCGGTATGGTTCCTTGTAAGCTAAATTTGATACCAGAAGATCGGAAATAATAGACAAATATTTAATTAACTCTTCTCTTTCCTTCAATATTTAACAAGATCGTTATAATCCTTACAACTAGGGTACCCAACAGATCGATCGGAATTCCGACGTTTTTTCCTTACGATTTCCGAAATTTTGGAAAAAGTTCCGATAATTTTTGAAGTAAATTTCCGACTAAAGATTTTCCAAAATTCTCAAAATTTGCGCAAAAATGGACCCTTCGTCATTTCCGATCGATCTCTGGTACCCAACAATGAGGGAAAATATCTCATTGAGCCACGATGTTACACTATTTTAACGAATCAAGATTTTATACGAACTGATCTAGTACTCAACCTTAATTTGGAATAGCTTGGAATTTAGATATTCTCTGAGGAAAAATTTTAATTTTGAGGAAATGGCCGTCCTTGTGGGGGAAACTTTTTCCCCCATTCCATTTTTTGTCCTTTATTCATAATTATATAAAAATTTTCAATTTAATTTACTTACCCTAATTATTAAATCAAAAATTTCCGAATCAATAGAAGAATTTTGAGGAGCCCCAGAAAACATTGGTTCCAAAAAAGAAGTACCAAAAAATAATTTTTTCTGTGTTGTTTTAAATCCATTGATCAAAATCCTATTAAATTTCCTTCCTTCATTTAAAATTAAATTTAAAATAATTTCTTTATATTGAGCAAAATTGTTTGTTCCGTCAAATTCAATTTTTAAAAATTCATTAATTGACAAATTATTTAAAATAAAATTTAAAGCCTCATTTTCGTAATTTGGATTGGAATAGCAAATTAGAGCTTTGTTGATATTTAGGAGATTATTTAAATTTTTTTCTTCTTTTTTAAAAAATAATAATTCAATTAATTTTGGATTAAATATAACACAATTAAATTCGGCATTTTCAAAGGAACACAAAAATAATTTTTCTAACCAAAAACGACAAATTTTCATTTCTTTGATGTTTTTGGGGTATAAAGGCAGTTTTAGAAGTAAAAATGAAAAAGAATCTGAAAAATAAAAAAAATTAAAATTAAAAAAAAATTTCTTTACCTTCTCCCATTAAACGAATAACTATATTCTGTTTACAATGTTTCAACCTTTCAGTACACAAATACAAAGGGATTTGCTTGTCTTCTATAGATTGCCACTAAAAATTTTTTGAATTATTTGTTTTGATTTTTAGAGTTACAGTAATATTTTGGTTGGAATTAGAGCCCGGCACGGGACCCCGTACGGGATTTTACGGGATCCCGTCCCGGAATCCCGGGTTTTTAGTGACAAACGGGATTACCGGGATTTAAGGGATTAATCCCGCGGGATCCCGTCCCGTAAAATTTTGAAAAAAATCCCGTTAAGGAATCCCGGGAATGCGATTTTGCCGACCTCTAGTTGGAATCCCCCTCCGTTTTTACTTACTGTTTCCCTGACCATTTTGGGCTTTTTTGCTTAAATGGAGTAATTAATTAAACAAAAAAAATTTCGTGAAATAGGTGATTTTTAGCAGAGAAAATAGGTGATTTTCATTTCACTTGCGTTTGTCCCTATCTTTTTGTCGATTACTGTATTACAAAATTTACTTTTTCCAAAATTTCTTCATCCAATTTAATTTCACTCGAACCTATCTCAATTCTTTTACACAATTTTGAACATTCGTTGAGATTAATCTAAAAATAAAAAATTTTTGAAAAATTTTTTATTTAAAAAAACTAGAGATATATGGCTAAATTTTTGTTTTGCCAATATTCCAATATATCGATCAATCAAAGCCTTAAAATGGATATTTGTTTGTTGAAAAGATATTAATTGTTTAAAATTTAGGAATTTTAAAATATCAAGTTTTTCTTCAACAAGAAGATTGTACATTAATTTTATTTTCCTAAAATATTAGAAAAAATTGACTTCGATCTTAAATATGTAAATAAAACGAAAAAATAAAAAAAAATTTTTAGTTTATGGGGCACAGCAGACTAGCACAGGCAAAAGAGGGAAATAGAGCGGAATTGAAATTTTGGCTAAGTGGGTAAGAGCGCTGACTACAAAATCGTCTAGAAAGGGGTCTCGGGTTCGAACCTTTTTGTCGTTAATTAATATTTTCCAATTAAATAAATAAAATAAAACATCAAAAAAGCATTTTAAATCTTTTTTGTTATTCTAAAAAAAGGGATAGACTAAAAACAGGGACAAGACTGAAATGGTCAGACTTGAATGCTCCTCTACCTTGGAATTTTTTAATTGTCGAATTTATTGAAAGGGCTTAAGGGTTTCCGCTTCTTTTTACATTTTTCCATATTTTAAAATTAATTCTACAATATTTTTAGCAAAAATTAGGAAAGAAATCCTTCAAAAACAAATAAAATGCCTTACCCAGCAATTTGGACAAGATCGCAACGGGGTCAATTGTCAGCAGATTATGAAAGTGTTGCTTTTCCTGGCAACACGTTTATTTTCCTTCATAAGCGTAGAACTCAACATTGTTCCTATTTTCGATGCGCATATTGTGCTAAGGCGTTAAAGGTGTGTAGAAAAGATTTATTCAACACTATTTTCAACAATTTTTTAAGCTTCGAATCAAACGTAAGGCAACAAGATTAACAATACCTATAGTTCGGGCTTCTCTTGAGGAAGGATTTTTGGATGATCCAGATAATCCATTTCACCGGCATTTTTGTATTGATGAAGAAGAAGTTGATACAACAACATATGCAGCTAAAGCTAGATATATTTACAAGTTGGGGATTTTGTTAAAAAATAATCTTTTCTGTTTTTTAAGTAAAGTAAAATTAGAATTGTTGGATATGCCAATGACGCCTCGTCAGGCTTGGCTTCAAATGGAAGCTGAAGTTATTGCCAATTTTCCTGATACTCTGACACAACAAGAAATCATTCGGCGTTTACCAACGTAAGTACAAAAAATTATGAAACAGATCATTAAATCTTGATCTAATCAAAATGGCTGGTTAATTCATAGTGAATTTTAAGTCACGTAATTAACCTTTTTTGGTCTAAAATTCTAAATACTTATTTACTGTTTAAGTTTGAATTATTTATTTTTCTATTTTTAACAGGGGATTGAACGAAGGGAGCAGGCCAAGGTATCGCAGAGCTATAACTTCGTTCAAAATTGCCGAATCCGGGACGCCCTGGTATGGTTCGATTCAGCTTGTCAAGGCGCATCGAACCGTACCAGAACGCCCCGGATTCGACAATTCTGAACATAGTTACAGCTCTGCGGTATCTTGGGGTGTACCCTTGAACGAATATATTTCTAGTGCCAAATTGATAATATAATTTTGTCAAATTATTTTTTGGCTTTCTTTCCCTTCTCTTTCGTTATCTAAATACTTTTATTTAAAAATAAATTTTATTTAGTGATAAATCAGCAAAAAGAAGTTTTGCTAGGCGTAGCTCTATTGGGAAACGGAATTTGGTCGAAGACCTGGCTATTTTCGGAAAAGATTATAAGGAACCTGTAGTTGAAATTGAAGCAAAAAATGAATTTGAAGCAGATGATCTTTCTCTTCTTTTGGATGCTGGTTTGGTGGAAGACAACAAAAGTTCTGATTTTTTAAAAGCTGATTCTTCAAAAGTTCCTTTAGATTTATTGGTATATTTTTTGAATAAATTTACAAAAATTTTGCGGATTTTTTGCCTAATTTTTTATTTTAATTCTCCTTATCCAGGCCTGTAGCAGGATTTTTTTTTGAGGGGCAATGGGGAATTTTTTTGCGCCGCAGGCTAAAATTTTGAGAATTTTAGAAGGCCGTCAGCCTCGAATTTTTTCCCCATTTCGGAGGGGGAGGGGTGGAATTCCCCCTTGCCCCTTCTCCCCGCCTGGATACAGGCCTGCCCTTATCTCTATGTTTATGATTAAATTGCTGATTAAATAAAATATGTAAAAATCCGCAAAATTTGTCCGCAAATCCCTCAAAAAAATTTTATTTTAAATAGAAATCAAGATCTCCACGCCCTCCATGGATTTGTTCTCCTGGACGAGAAAAACTCGCAAATTTTTTCCTTATTCATCGTGAATGCCGTCCAGATTCTCCTCATTTTATGGTCTTTTCTGATATGATGGGAATTAATTTAATTCATAAAGTTTTTTAAAAATTTTTATAATTTTTCTAAAATTATTTTTTAAAGTGTGCAGATATTGTTTGTGATGGAAATTCAAGTTTTTACCCCTATGGATTCGCACAATTATATACATTCCATGCTGTCCATCATTCAATTCCAGAAGAGGCTCATCTTTGCGCTTTTGCTCTTTTACCGAAGTTTTTTTTAATTTTTGAGAAAAGAATCTTGACCAAAAATTCCATAATTATTTTTATACCATCGGGTAGAGCATGATCGATAGCCTATTTTTCTTATTAGGAAGACAAATAATAAGGAAAGTGGGGCGACTTAACCACTCCAAAAGTCAGAAGCTTTGAGGCTCTATAACTTTCTGCTTTGGGGAGTAGGGCCGAAAAAGAAAAAATGGGAATAGGAAATCGACCCTGCTCTACACGATGGTATAAAAATAATTAAGGAATTTTTGGTCACAGTTCGATATGGTTCCTTGTTAGGAATTTTTTTATTTTAGTACTTCATCTGTTGCTTATATTAAATTATTTGATATTATTTCTCAAAAATTGTTTACTGAATTTGGAGATCATGGAATTCAAAAGGTTACCTGTTTTTAGAATTTGTATTTAATAGTTTATTTTTAATTTTTAGAATTGGCATTTTGATAATCAGGTTTTGTTTATTTATGAAAAAATGATTATTCGAAACATTTTAGAGGGGATTTTTCATAAAAATATTTTTTTCAGGAAATCCCTTTATTTGAAAAGAAAAAACGGACTTATTTAATATCCCACCCCCCCCCCCTCCCCCCTTTAGGTATTTGAGTCTCGAACTAATTTTTTTACTGTCAATCACTTATGTTTCCTCCTTTTTTAATGCCAATCATTTTTTCCTTCAAATATGGGACACCCAAAAGGACGCGCGGCCATAGGCATAAAGCCATAACTTGCCTCAAGCTTTTTGAACCTTAACAAAATAAATATTAAAGGAAAGGATTCCTCTCATCGAGATAAAGAGATTAAACAGAAAATTTTTGTTTTAAGCCGTTATGGCTGCGCGCCCTTTTGGGCTGTACTCCTCACATGTCACGTTTTTAACTTGCCTTTTTACTTATAATATTCGAGGAAGAATATTATAAGTAAAAAATTAATTTGAGGCTCAAACCGGGGGAGGGGGTTGGGATATTAATAAAGTACCGAAAAAATAAATCTTTTAACAATTCGGCCCTTCAGAAAAATTTTTGAAAAAATTTTTAATAAAATTTAATATTTAATTTAATATTTAGTTAGCAGCAATAAATGGTTGTAAAACAATTTTTATTGAAGATATTGTTGAAGGATCAGAACAAAAAACTTCAAATTTTGCAAAATTGTGGCATGAACATTTAAATTCCTTATTTTTTGGAAAACATCCAGGATTAAATAGATTTATTAGAACAATGAGGGAAGAATTGTCTAGAGCTGGGTTACAAGTAAATTTTAAGTTAAATTAAAATATTATTTTAATTCTAAGGCTGAAAGAATTTTTCGTCCACCAGATTTTATTTCTTCAATTAATTTGGATAATATTGAGGTTTTTTATAGATTATTTTTAAAATATTGAATGGCTAAAAATAAATTCGGGGTCTTTTACATCAGGGATCCTGCCGACAAAAAATCAAAATTACCGATTTCGGGAATCGGGTCGGCAGGATCCCTGCTATACATAAGAGAGTATGTTTGTCGGTTCGGTTTCGGATATCCGAAGAATTTCCAGAAACCGACAACCTTATAAGAGAGATTATCTTTGTTTTTTGCCTAAATTTTTGTGAATTTTTCGATATTTGTTTTTTACATTAATCGAAAATATTTCCGTGAGGGAATCATTTAGGAAGATTATTTTATTTTTAATTAATATTGCTGCAAAAATTTCACATGTTTATAATTTTAATTAAAAAATTTTTGATTCCTTTCTCTTTATTATTAAAATAAAAAAATTTTTTAAGGCTGTTAATAATGTAAGTTATATAAAAGAGGAAGAAAATATTTTTGATTATCCTTCAAATAATTATGATAATTACAAAACTTTAAATAAAGGAATGAAAATTACCAATACTGAAATAAATAATAAATTAGATTGTAATAGAAGAAGTGATAAAAATGTTGATGATGATTATTCGTGTAAGTCTTTTAAATTAAAAAAGAATATTATTCCTCAATTTATTTTAAGCTTTACATTCTTGTAAATTTCCTATTCATCAAAAATCAAGAAAAAGACAAAATGAAAGTTCTGATAGAAATTAGAAAATTTAAAAATATTTTTCGCAAAAAGTCATTTAATTTTTATTTATTTTTTTTATTAAAAATAATTAGATGTAAATAATTTTATTGTTTTTAAAGAAAATTAAAAATGGCATAAAATTATGGGATTTTTAATAGCCCTAGAGATGTTTAGAAAAATAAAAAATTTTAATCTGTCCCAGAATCCCTCAAAAATTAAAAATATTAAGGTTATTAAAATGGAGTTAAACAAGATTTTTTATTACATAAATATAAATTATACATATTTTTACAGTTATAAAAATAAAAAGATAATATTTTCAAAAAAAGGCTTTTAATTTTGTGATTAATTGAAATAATTTCCTTTATTTAAATTCCACAATTTGTGTCAGTACTTTTCCACCAACATTCCACCTTTGCATCTTCCCAAACTTTTGGCGCTTGATCAACAACTTTGTGTCCTTTACCATCTCTAACATAATGTTTCACTTCGTCTTTAACTAAATTTACTTTAAGTCCACGAATCTCAGCGACTTGGAACTGAATTTTAAAAAATAAATTATTGTGCTATTAAAGGAGAAAATTTGATTGTAAAAAATTGGGGGGAGTTTGTCAAAAGAATTTTATATTATTGTAAGGAAGAGAAAGATCCAGCAGGCTAGCATTTAAAACGTCACTAGACGTGGGTTTAAGATCTATTAAAGGAGCAGGTGAAAGCAGCGTCAAGGTAGCGCAGTCGGTAGAGCACCTGTACGTGGTGAACGAAAGCGCCTAGCGATAACTGCCAGGGGTTAAACTTGCCCGGGATTAAATTTACTTTGCTTCTAATAATTAATTTTTTAAATTAAATTTTACTTTAAATTTTTTGTCATCCAAATTAATATCAGGGAGCAAAACTTTCTTAACACTTTCTTTCCCTCCACAACTAAATTTGAAATTTATTTTTAATAATTTAATTTCTAATAACTTGTGCGTTATATGAAGATAAATGTTTGTGTATGTATTGTCAGGAACTGTACTACTGAATATTTGGCCGCAAATTCGATGTGTCAAAATCACAGGAAGAGAAAATGAAGAACTTCCCAAATTTATATTTTCACCTAATTTTACTCCAATATTCAAATCTTTAACACTTAAAGCTTCAAATTCAGATTCGTCATCGCAATGAGATAACCAATTTCCTCCTTTCTCAAAATGAGTGACTTTTAAACCAGTTATTTTAGCAGCAGCACTAGGGCAAATGGCACATCCATCGAGAAGAATGAGGAACTCTATAAATATTTAATCAGTAATAACCTCGCCCTTTAACCATTCCCGAGCGAAGCATCCACCTACTCCCCCCTCTCTCTCCCCAAACCTCCAAGGGGAGAAGGATACCCAGTAGAGTTGGGCGGTATCGGATGCCCTATACCGGTCGGGATCCCGATACCGCCCAACTCTATTACCCACAACGATAGCACTTCTACCTATTTGCTGGATATAATGATATAATGAAAGTCATTCTTCCCTACTTTTATTTCTATCCTTGGCAAAGTTTGATTCAGCAAATAATTTGTCTTCAAAAAAGTTTATCTTAAATTTTAAGGATTATTAATCTTCAATAAATTTTCTTTAAAAAATTACCAAAGCACAATTTTTAATATTATCAAACCAAACATTTCCGCACATTGGCATCTTAAAATTAATTTCAGATAAATTAAAATCATTTTTTTATTTACCAAAGCAATCTTAAGGAAATGTTCATCACAACTCGGTAACGCAGTAGGGAGAAGGAAATTGTTAGATTTCTTTCCTTTTACCTGTTAATTAAACAAATAATTTTTTATTTAAATTATTTTTTTATACCAAACAACTACAATACTCAATTCCACTTGATTTTTCACAAATATAACCATCCTTGCCTTTATTTGTCTCAAAAAATTTCTTCTCGCGAAATTCTCCATCAGACTTTAAATTTAAAAGATTTTTAAAAATAAATTTTATTAACCTTATCGACAAATTTAATTAATATTAAAATAATAACAAAAATAAAATAAAATTTTAAGGTTATCATAATTGAAAAAAAGTTAATTTTGATAAACTAAAAATTTAATTTTGAAAGGTAAGAATCAAGACAAAATTAAAAATCCAATGTTTGAGGTGTTTAAGTTTTATGCTTTAATAAAATAAAAATAAGCCGATTGATTCGGTATAAGTCAAGAAATTCGAAAATCTAGGGTGAGGTTATAGTTGTGGAGCAGTGTATTAATAAAAGCCCTTCAGTTGTTTAATTTAACTACTATTTTAATTAATTTTAGAACCATAAAAATATTTTATAAAATTAGAAAATTTAGAATAAAATTAATAAATTATGTGAATAAGCAATTACTATCAGATAAATATCAGGAAGAGGATAAGTAAATTAAATTTTAAAAAATAATTGGGGGAAAATTACTACTATATTACTCATTTAATTAATCACTTAATTTAATTAAAATTCAGCAAAAATAATTAAAAACCAACAAAAATTTACCAAATAAATAACAACAAAAAATAAAAATTTTGATAAAATCAACAGAAAAATCAACAAAAATTTAATGTTTAATATCACGGGGATGTGCAATAGATAATTGTATCTTTACATTAACAGCACTAAGTTCGGCACAAAGGTAGCGAAAAACACGCGGTATTTGAACTTGAAAAACTTGATCATCTTTTTTACAAAGTGAGCAATGAATTTGAGTAAATTTTTGAAAATCATCTTCGATAGCGCCATATTTAAGCATCTAAAAATAATTTTAATTTTGTCTAGAAATTATTTAAACTCACAGCCATGTGTGGTTTAAGTTGACTAACAGAAACTATTGAACCACATCTTCCACAGACATGAGCTTCTTCTTTGTCCGAACAATTTAAAAGACGATCCTATAAAAATAAAAATAAATTTTCGGCTCTAGTTTAGGACATGCGTCCTATGAACTTTTAAGCGTCACATGAAAAAGTAAAAGCGTCAGAAAATAGTATATGCGTCCCATGAGAGAATACATATGAGTCCCAAAAATTGTATAAGCAAACAATAGAGTTTTCTGCACGGGCAGGAATCCCTTACGGAATTTTTAATTATTCCCATAAATTGCCATCGCCGTTGAAAATAAAATGAATCTGGGTCCTAAGCCTTCCAAAATCTCAAAATTTTCTAAGAAAAAATAATTATTAAAATTACTTGTAGACAAAAAGCTGTTCCGTGGGCTATTAATGAATCTCTTTCCATTTCCCCAAATCTAACACCCCCACCACGTTTACGACCTTTTACAGGTTGAAGAGTAACTTAAATTAAAAAAAATATTTTTAGAAAATAATTTAAAATAATTGCCTGGATCCACAGGCCCAGTTGAACGACATTGGAACTTATCAGAAATCATATGACGTAAACGTTGATAATAAACAATACCAAAGAAAATTTGAACCTAAAAATTATTTTAGGTAAAAATGAGAATGATTTTTAAGTTTCGTTAGTTTATTTCCATAATCAGATTTTCTAGCAATAATTCAAAAAAAACGAATTGTCAAGAGTGATATTAGGAATAACTAAACTGTTTTAGGCTAGGATCAGACCCGTAGCCAGGGGGTGGTAGGGGGCGCCAAAAATTCGACGCAGAAAAAATTTCCACCCTTGCCCCACCCCTCCCCAAAAAAATCCTGGCTAAGGACCTGGCTAGGCTACAAAACATGCAAAAAATTGGAAGTCTGAGTTGCTTTCCTTTTTCATATTGTTCCTTAAAAATATAAGAAAATAAAAAAATAAATTCCTGTGGAAAGGAACCGAAAAAAGAAAAGGAAACTCAAACACAATTTTTGCTTTTTGACAATCCGTTTTAGTATGACAAAATGCCCCTTCAATATAAAATATTTGAAAAAATTCCCACTTTCATTTCACGTCCATCCACGCCTGAATACATAGTTTCCTCTCCATAATGATTATAACCAGCTCTTGATAACATTTTCCCAAAATGTTCTATAGCCGTATTTTGTTCACTTAAAAAATTATAAATAGAGGAATAAATTTAAAAAATACTTAAAAACAAAAGGAGAAGCATCAAAAGTATCTCCATGTGTTGCTGCCGCTTTTCCAGCCATACTCTCAATCATCATTCCAATTGTCATTCGAGAAGGAAACCCGTGAGGATTAAAAAGAATATCTGGAACCATTCCAAATTCAGAAAATGGCATCGATTCTGGAGGCCAAAGAAACGAATTAATTCCTTTTTGTCCATGCCTTGATGCAAATTTATCTCCAATAATTGGATTCCTTTGAATTCTCCATTGAATTAATGCATGCTTTTAAAATTTTAAAAATAAATATAAAAAACTAGACAATTTTGAGGGAGTGATAAAAATCAAAGCTTTTAATTTTAAATTGTTTTTATTTTTTAAATTTGACAAATGAAAGGTCTAAAAAAATGTGGTAAGATCCAGGCCTTCCAGGAATCCGACAGAAAAAAACACACTACAGCAAACCAATCCCAACTTAAGAATTAAAAAAAAATCGAGTACCACTTTAGCATCAGGAACATTTTCATCTTTTACAATTCGAACAATTCCACAATAACCAGGTTCACTAGAAGTATATTTAAATTTTCTAAATTCTCCACTAATCAAATTAAAAGTACTAAAATGAAAAAATATTTTTTTTCCAAAAATTTAACTAAAAACCAATAATAAAAATCTCCATATTGATAACAACGCCCTTGAATGGGAAGTCCATCAGCATCCAAACTGGCAGGTCTAACATCATTTGGTTCACCACAAAATACAACTTCACAATCAGATTTTCTCCCAAAACGTGCATTTGAATGCTCTGCTAAATTTATTCTTTCAACTTTAATTACAGTTCCGTGGGCAAATCCTCTTTGGTATGATCCTTTATTTATTACCATTGCATCTTCCATATCATAACCTTTGAATTTGAAGGGAAAATAAAGTTTTTTTTAAATTAAAATTAACCAGTATAAGAAATTACGGCAACACAAGCATTTGTTCCCAAAGGATACTCATCCATTTCATATTTGTCATGAGCCTCTAATTTAAGTAAAGGTTTTTGTGGAGTTTGAAGTAAATACATTTTGCCATCAGCGCGGTGCCTCCAAGCATGAACTGGGACCTAAAATATAATTTATAGGGAAACGGTCTGATTCAGGATTTGAACTAAATAACTAGCAGTTTTTTGTTAGTAAAAAAGTCAGAAACAGGGAAATACCTCGAAACTGAAAATGGGTGAAAAATCAACATAAAAATCAATTATTACTCAAATCTATTTTAAAACTATAGTTGTTCACAATCGGTTAATCTAGATTTTAAAAACCCGGTTTTCGGTTTTGGACAAATACCGGTTTTATTTTGGGGGAATTTTTTTAATCACTTATTTTTATTAATTTCCGGTTTTTAAAATTTCATAAAAATCGTTTAATTTTTAGCAAAAAATCTCAAAAATTCTGGTTTAAAAACCGGACGTGAACAACCCTATTTAAACCCTAAAATAAGTTTTTATTTCACTGACCCCCATTGTTTGTTTTCCCATTTGGCATTGATAAACATTTCTTGGCGATTGGTTGTGATCAGGAAATGGAATTAAATTCCCCGCAAAGGAGAAAAGTGCAGATGGATGCAATTCTTGATGCATAGTTACACCAGGTTCTGCTTCATCAGGATCAATAACGATTGATAAATAAACTTGTTCAAACATACCTTCACAAAAACAATTAAAATTTAAATAAAAATTCCAAAAATACCGATATATTCTGTTTGTCCATTCAATAATAAATTCTTAACTGGACGGTAAAGCCGGCCAGGAAGTGTGTAGATATATAAACCAGGATATTGAGTTTGGATATTTTCAGGATCAGGGGAATTTCTAATTAAAGTTATTTCAGCAAATTTTGTTATCTTAAAAAATTTTTTTAGAAAATTTGAAAACTATTCTAATTTACTCTGTCATCGAATTCGCTAACTTTAATTGCTCTGAGTTGTCTTTCAACAAATGCCGCTTTTCTACACGATAAATAACCAACAAAATTTCCATCAACAACAACAGGATAAAGCTGAAAATTAAAATATGAAGTTTACCCTGTCATCAAATTCGGGTAACTAAAAAAAAATAAATGGGTAACTAATAAACTAAAAACATTTATATCATATGTAGTCGGAGAAAAAGTTAGTAAACTCTAAATCAGCATTAACAAAATTACTAAATTAGTAAATAGGTATATCAAAAATCTAACCAATTTAAGATAATTACTTTCGGCAAATTTGTTTGTAATATTCTAAAATGCTATGGGGAAGTACTTCTAGTATGCCTGTAACCAGAAAATAATAGGTATGAATTCTACATATGTAAAGTATAATTTAAAAATAATAAAATTATCCTTAGAAAAAAATACAAAAAAATTTTACAGGTTCATCCGGAAGTATTGCCAAAGAACTGTGCGGAATAATACCCAAAGACGAAAGTGTTTCTTGTAATTTTCTAGGACTTTGAGTAAAATGAGTAACAATATTAGTTGATGCAGTAACATGATTTAAAAGGCCACAGGGAGCACCGTCAGGTGTATGGACCTTTAAAATGAATTTTAAAAATTTTTTTTATTTCAAAAAAAAGTACTGGACAAATAAATCCCCAAGCTTCAGGTCTCAATTTTCTAACATCTGTTGTACGCATTTCCATAAAAAATGCACCACGATGAATTGCACTTGAGAAAAAATTAATTTTTTTAAATAAATTTGAAAAAAACCGAAAATGCGAAACAAATCTTAATTGATTAATTCTTTCAGCAATAACAGCAAAACCAGTTAACTGCATCAATCCAACACCCGTTCTTGTAATTAAATTTCCAGTGGCTAGAAAATATTCTAAACCACGAGAAAGTTCATTGTTTTTATGTGAAGAAAATGCTTTTATAAATTCCTTGCTATTAAAAAAATAAATAAAATTAAATAATTAATTTAAAAAAACCTTGTAAAATTAAAAGTATCAGGCCTTTTCTTTGCAACAATTTCTAATTTTTTCCTAACGATTAACAAAATATTTTCCATTCTTTCTCTAGAAATTAAAGCCAAAATATGTCCAGAAACTGAAGCTTCCTATTATATAAAAAATTTTATTTTCGTCAACAATAGAGATCGAAAATTTTGAAAAGCCTGGACCCGTTCCTGGACTCTGTGTTAGATTTCTTGACCCGGACTGATACTGGGCCTGTAGTCCAGGAAAAACCAGGCCCAGGAAAAACACAGAAAGAGCAAAAAATGATTGGACCTGGACTCTGGGAGAAAATCCAGACCCAGGCCTATCTCTAGTCAACAATTCAACAGTTTTGTTTGCAAGAATTGCCCACAAAAAACTTTGAGACAACCCAATAAAAAAATTTAATTAAGAAAAAATTTTTAACCTGAAATTGTGGGTTATCAAGAGATTCTGGCTGAATTTCATTTTTAACCAAAGCGACTAATTTTTGTGCCATCATAGCCAAACAATAAAATTTTTGTTCATCAGTTTTTAGGTGAACAGCCAAACAATGAGTTAATAAAAATTGGCAAGCCTAAAAAGTATATTAAAAATATTCTTCGGCCCTATCCCAAAAGAAGGGTGGAATCGTTTTTTTTCATTACCTGTAAGGAAAAGAAAAATGAAAAGGAAAATGGAGAAATGGAAAGAAAAAATGAGACGTATGGACACGGACAAAGAAAACACGGGCAGACAAAACACGGACGGACTAGGGTCATACCAAATATAGACGTCTGTCCGAGTCCATCCGGGTTTTGTCTGTCCGAGTCCGCTCGTCTCCATCTTTCCTTTCCATTTTTCTTCATTTTTCCTTTCCTTGCAGGTAATGAAAAATGATTCCGCCCTTCTTTTGGTATAGGGTCAATTCTTCCTCAAATTTAAAAACCGTTTCATCGTCCTCCCATGGTGCAAGTCTTTCTCCTAGAGCAACTCGAAATTTGCTTCCAAGCATAGCAAAAGCTGATTTTTTGGAAACAATGCCTTCTCCCCAAAATAAAAATTTCTTTTAAAAAATTAAATTAAAAAAAACCTGTGCAACAGTTAACATATTTCGAACACATTTAGCCCAAAATTGATCATTAGGTCTTCCAGCAATTAATTGACTATAAATTTGTGCGTCATTCCAATCGACCAAACATTTAATTACATAAATTAAAGGAACATAGAAAATTTCACGGCGATACTTTAAAATGATTTTTTCCGAAATTTGGTTAAAAAAGAATGGTACTTTATTAATATCCCGCCCCCACCCCTATTTGAGGCTCAGATTAATTTTCAGTTTTTTACTGTCAATCATTTTTCCTTCACATTACAAGTAAAAGGCAAGGATTAGGAAGGAAAAAATAGTGTCTAGCGGCATTTATAAAGAATTAAATTTGACCGTTCCGAGGCAGGAAAAATAAAAAAGAAAAATTAATCTGAGACTCAAATAAGGGGTGGGAGGGGGATATTAATAAAGTACCAAAAGAATAAAAAATACTTGAATAAGAAGTGTCATTGAAAGACTTTCAAGATAATGTAGAGTAATTAATGAACAATAATGATTTCCTCTAAAACATCTCATCATTACAGCAAATTCAGAATAAAGTTTTCCTTTAAAATAAATTTTAAAATATTTTTTTAAATTAAATAAAACCTTTTTCTCTGAAAGTTTTCCTTTTAACCGCTAAGGGATAATTACGTTTATTTGCAATAAGAAGGCGCATTATCTTTTCTGAACCATTTACAATAAAATAACCTCCTCTAGAAATTTGAAAATTTTTTTGAGTAAAAAATTTAGAATCTAAGTTAAGGGATTTAAAAAATTTTCAACAAAACTATTAATATAAAAAGAGAATGAGGGAGAAAGATTCCAGTCTAACAGTTAGGATTGAACAAAATCAAGCAGGCCCGTAGCCAGGATTTTTTTTCAGGGGGGGGGGGGCAAGTGGAGAAAATTTTTCTGCGTCAAATTTTTGGCGCCGAAGGCGGCAAAAATTTTGATTTTTAGCGCCGCAGGCGAAAATTCTGAAAATTTTAGAAGGCCGTAGGACAAAAAATTCACTTTATTTGCCCAATCCCTTCCCCAAATTTTTCCCTTTTCCCCATTTCTGGGGGGGGGGGATTCCCCTGGCTACGGGCCTGAAATCAGGTATTAAGCAACCCAATTATCAAATATACCTATTCTGCCCATAGAGAAATTTTAAAAAAAAGGACTACCACTAACAATAAAAAAATTAAAACCTTTCCAAAGCTTCCTCCCCTTTAGCAATTAATTCTTTTCTTTTTAATCCATATAAATTACATCTATTAGAACAAAGCATTACAGGTATTTCTGCCAAAAGTAAATCAACTGTATCAATCTTTCTTCCATTTAACTTTAAAAAATAAAAATAATTTTGGTACTTTTCCGTTATACGACCGCAACCTGAGTGCCAACATAATTTTGATCGGCTATAACTTTTTAATGCTTGATCCAATACAAATGAATTTTATGTCATTCGAAAGCCCTCGATAAGAGGTATCTTTTTTCAAACTTGATGGATCATGTCTGATCACACATTAAAAAGTTATAAACCGTTAAATCCAGTTATTTTATGTTTTTCACATTTGTTGGGCTATAACTTTTTAATGAGTGGTCAGTCATGACCTATCCTATTAGAAAAAATACACAGCTTATCGAGGGCTTTCGAATGACATAAAATTCATTTATATTGGATCAAGCATTAAAAAGTTATAACCGATCAAAATTCTGCTGGCACTCAGTTTGCGGTCGTATAACGGAAAAGTACCCAAACTTTTTAATTAAAAAACTACCTGTAAATCAATACAAACGTTGAGAGGTGCTCGATAAGTTAATCTTCTTTGTCTACATTCTGCTGGATAAATAGGGCAATTGCCTATATCACCACCCATTTTTGAATTATCCAAATGAGGCTTGCCTAACCGAGCATTTGTATACCAAAATTCAACAGCATCCCCATTTGGTAATTTTAATTTGACAGGGGGAATGTCTTCAGCAATTGCTTGAAATCCTTCATCGGCCAAAAAATTATATGATTCGACGTGATAACTATAGAAAAAAATTTTTTAAATAAAAATACTTAATATTATGTAAATTTTACCCAGAAATATCACAATCCATTGATGAATTTTTTGAATTTAAGACGATAAAAAATTTAGTTATCAGGAAATAACAAATATTTTAAATACTAAAAGAAAATGTAAAAATGGAATTAAAATTAATTTTACAAAAAAAATTGCCGAAAATAAAAATTTATAATGATAGGCCCACTTGGACGCGGGCACCCAAGCGCAAGGACACTTATAAAGGGAACATTTCAAGTTGCATGTGGGCCTGTGAGTCTATATTTTATAAACCCAATAGAGATTTTGGTATTTTGTATGTCAATCGACTTTGGTATGTATCTCGACAAGAAGAATATTATTCCTAAATACCGTAAATGCTCGAATAATTACTCTCTCTCTAATAATTACCCCCTCCTTTTCCTACACAAATTTTAAAAATATTGAAAAAGTCATTGTTATTTTTAATTATTGAAACATTTTAAGATATTGTATGAAAAAATGAATCGACTTTCTCCTCGTCTATTAAGATATACCCCAAATTTAGCACCTCATCTCAATTAATTACGCCCTCCAGCGAAAGGTCGAAACAATAATTACCCAGGGTAATTATTCGAGCATTTACGGTAGTCAGGATTTACAATGGATTAATTTCTTTACAAACTAAAAATAATCAAATGTAATATTTACACATTTTATTTAAAATGCAAAAAAAAATTAATTAAAAATCTTTCTTTTATTTATCATAAAAATGTTTATTTATTAGTGTTTATTTACATATTCCAAGCTTTTCTAAGCATATCAAAATGGCTATCAATTGATTGTTTTGCTTTTAAATCCTTTCCATTTAAAGATTTAAAGGATATATTTGTTTGATTGTTTGTCAAATTTTTTGAGAAAAATACTGAATTTTTTGTTAATGTTCCTTTAGTGTTATTAGTACAATCCTCAATTTTGTTTTTACAACAAAATAATATTTTATTTTTCAGTTTTTGAGCGAGTAATTTAACTTCTCTGCTAAGATATGGATGAAAACTTAAAATTAAATTTTTATAAATTATTCTCTGTAAAAGTAAATCGGTGATAAAAAGTCTGTAATAAAACTCTCATCATTTTTGCAAGCTGAACTAGGTTAAAATTATTCACAAATACATACTCTTTCCATTATTTTTCTAAAAATTATCTCATATCTTACCTTATTTTCTAGCTTAAGGAGGTGTAGTATTTCTTCGAATTAAGGTAGCACCCTGAGCCTTCGGGGCGGGATCGTTGGGGATCGGGGTTTGCCGGGGTAGAGCCTTCGGGGTTCAGGGAGGGATTTTGCCAAAAAAAATAGTTGGGGGTCGGAGTTTAAGGGGATCGGGGTCAGGGCTGCACGCAATCGAAAAAAAGAAAAAACAATCGAAAAAAATCCGCAACTCGCAATTTTTTTTAAAATCCGCACCCGCAATCCGCAACTCGCAATTGCGTGCAGCCTTGATCGGGGTGCTACCCTAGTTTGAATGACATAGACTTTAATTTTCTTATCATTTATCACCGTTATATTAAAAAAAATAATTTTCCTTACATAATTATTGTAATTTCAACAATAAACAAATTCAAAGTAACCGCAATACTTAAAGATTCTGTAATTATATCCTCATTAAATTCATTAATAAAAAAATTAAAATAAATAAATGTTTGGCATCCAAAAGTTAACAAAACATTTATAAAATAAAAAATTAAAGCAGGAATTAATTGTTTTATTGTTCGAATATTTTCGGCTAACTTAAAAATAAAATGAAATTATAAAAAATTTTTTATTTTTTACTTGATATCTTTCTGATAAACTTGTAAAAGTAATTTGCTTTTTTTCATAAATATTTTTATTTTTATTAAATATTATAAAGAAAATCTGAAAAAAAAATAATTTTTTTGGCAAATAAAAATAAAAGTTACCAAAATTTCAATAAAAGCAATCAAAATAATTATTAAATAAGTTATTAAATTGGCTAAAGTAGCTGGATTGTCTTCTGTTATTTTTTGATCGGAATGATCAGAATATGAATTGTAGGCAGATGATAGGGACTAAATTAAAGATAAATGATTATTTTGAATTTAAATAAAATTAAATTTCTGTTTAAACTATTGTTTGGGGCAATAACTCGAGAAGATTCATTTAGAATTTAAATCTCTCTTTTTTACTAAAATTTAGTAGAATTTCGATATAGTAGAAAAATATAAAGTTAACTCAAATCACTCTCGGAATTTGGCATACAAACCAAATTTTTATGTTTATTTAAACGGGCCTTATTTTGGAATTTAATTATCTTTTACTTTTTTAGACTCAAAATAAATTAAAAAATTTATAGAAGATTGGCAAAATTTTGTTTTGGTAGAAGAAGGGGTGTGCTGAATATCTTATTATTCACTGAAAGTATGTAAATTTGTTTATTATTGTCAAATCTCGTTTGATTTATGAGAGACAATATTCAATATTTTTTGAATCCGGTACATTCTGGTCTAGCTACTAATCCTTTTTTAAGTTTAATTTCTAATAAAAATTACCAAAATTAAAAACCAAATAATTCCAAAATATTTTCTCTTCTTAACTTCATAATTACAAACAAATATTGTTGCAATTAATCGTTCAAGTACAATTACATGCCCAATCAAAATAAGAAAATAATTACAAAAAAGACCAGAATGATGTAAAATCTCAGAGTCGTCCCAAGTAAAATTATTTGACGAAAAACGAAAAATAATTGTTGTAATTCTTAAATTAATTAATTGAATCAAAATAAGCGAAAATAATTACCATATAACCTGTATTAATTGCCCTCCCTCAAATAATTTCCCCATCCAGTGATAGATTGAAACAATAATTACCCCCAAACAAATGCCCTAAATCACATTCGAATTTCAAACCACGTATATTACCCTCCCTTAATTAATTACTCCCTCCAGCGGAAGGTCAAAACAATAATCACTAATTTGTAAGGATAGGCATTAAATGATATAGTAAGATATTTATTTTTGTCGGCTCTTATAAATTTTTTTAATATAAAAATAAATTAAAATTTTTATTTTAATTTAAAAAACTAAAGATAAAAAATACTACAAAACTTAAATTATAATTACCTTAAAATAGCTCTTTGAATAATAAAAAAGCTTTGACACAACAAAATTAATTTTAGATTGAAATGAATAACTGATATTTTTAAAATTAAACGAAAATTAATTAAAGATAAAAATAAAACTAAAAATTGAATAAATAATTCAGAAATATTTAATATTAAAAGTATTGTTGGAAGACCATTTAAAAAAATTGATGATGTTACATTATTATTATTTAAAGTAATATTAGAAGAATTTGTAATATTTGCTGACATTTATGTGAATAATTTTTGAATTTTTGTGCTTCTGAAAAAATTTAAAATTATCCAGCCCTTTATCGACGTGGGTGTCATTAACGGACACTTTTTCTTTTTCAGTGACTTATTGCCAAGCGGAATGGAAACTTGTAATAGAGATTTTACGCTTTTATTTAACTTCAATTTGTAATTATGTTAATTTATTTGTTTCGAAAAAGTAAATTAGATATAATTACAAATTTGGGTTTAGTACAAAATATTTTAACCTTGTAAAAAATATTTTTATATTTTAATCCATTAAGTTAAATATAAATGAAATGATAAATTTAACAAAAATTGTATTTTTTTAATTTTTTATTTTTATTAAATATTACAGCAATCTGGTGAGGGCGGGGGATATTAAGTCGGACAAATGCTAAACTAGGTACAATAAAAAATAAAAAAATATTGATAAATGGTAAATGAATACTGATCAACCTTTGATATTGTTTCGCATTCAAAAAAAAAAAATTGGTGAAAAAAAAAATTGGTGAATACTGATCAACCTTTGATATTGTTTCGCATTCAAAAAAAAAAAATTGGTCACCAAAATTATTTTGAAGATTTAAGTTGCAAAAAATTGTTTAGGGAGGGCTGTTTATAAAACTACTATAATTTAACTATGATTTCGATAGAATTTAGTATTTGTGTTTACATAAAATCGAAAATCTGTGAGGGATTTCAAATGCTTGAATTTTGAAAAATGCGCATGTGTTAGATGTGTGTAAAATGACTAATTAAATAGCCATATTAAAACAACCTTTACTTCTCTAACAAATAATTCCCCATTTACTATAAATAAATAATGGCAAAAAATAATTAAATAACACAATCTTTATCTATTAAATACTTTAGAGAAAATTATGAGTGGGATTATTAAATAAAAATAAATATAATTATATAGTATTTATAAACTAAAAATAATTTATTTAATTATAAATATCATTTATAAATTAATTATTTTAAGTGTAACAAAAATAATTTATTTTAACTGACACACCTTAATTAATTTAAATTATTATTTAATATTAAAAAATATTTTTGTTTCTTTAGTTATTTAATTATTTTTAATTTAATTATTTAGTTTTAAAATTTAATGTACACAGTCTAAACTATAGATTAAAACTTGGGACGGGCAAAGGAAAGGGATTTAGAATTGGGTTTTCTTGAGTTTTAAAAACCTTTACCCCATACTTTAAAATATTCCAAAATAATTTATTTAAAGTTTTTTTATATTTAGGAATACATTAGACATTATAAGCCACTTTGGAAGAAAATTTTTTAGTTTAAAAATTAAAACTTTAGCTAAGACATTAAATATAATTTCTCTAAATAGAAAAATAAAAGATTAATTTTGCTTTAACACCTGTAATTATATTTAAAATAAATTAATATAAAAATTAAAAATCAAAGGTGGCAGAAAAAATATTTAAAATTGCCACTTTTATATTTAAAAATAAAAACACAAATTAGGTAGATAAAATTTTTGCAAGAAAAGAGGATAATATTTTATTTATTTTTTTATAATTAAAATAAAATAATTATATATTATTGTAATTGAATGTCAGGCATTTTATGATTCCTTCCAAAGTATTAGAGGGGAGAGTGGAGGAGGGGGGGAGTGTAATTGAATACCCTCTCCCCTCTATTAGAGGGGGAGACCGTAAATGCTCGAATAATTACCCTCTCTCAAATAATTGCCCCCTCTCAATTAATTACCCCATGTAGCGAGAGGTTGAAAAAATAATTACCCCTCCTAAAAATAGTTATAAGTAGCCTGTTTAAAAAAAGCTCAAATAATCACCCCCTCTCAAATAATTACCCCGCCTAGATAGAAGTTGAAACAATAATTACCCAGGGTAATTATTCGAGCATATACGGTAGTAGGGTATTCAATTAGAGGGAATACTGTATATATATTTGTTTATTTTTTGAATGATATCCAATTAATCTCTAGAATTTTAAATTTATTTTATAATAATTTTAATTATTATTTCAAAATTTTAAAAATCCCCCAATAATTTTTAAAAACTGTATCCATTTAAAAACGATAGTTTAATTAAATTGTAAATTTGTTAAAATTAGATTTCATATTTTATTTATAAATATAAATTTATTTTTTATATATTCCCTAATAATTTATTTAAAAAATTATTTCAGACATCATCAGAAATATTTTAAAAAATGTAAGAAAAAGAAAAAAATTTATTCCAATTAAAGAAGTCTGTAAATAATTTAATTAAAATTTTTGTGAAAAATTATTTGAGGTAATTAATTATTAATAAAGAAAAATTTAAAAAAATATAAAATTGTATTAATGTGGAAAATTGACAGAAAAAAATAATTTTTAGAGAAAAATTTTGGAAGAAAAAATTATTTTTGGTATTTTGCTAGATAAGGTTGAGGGAATATTATTTAGAAAAAATTAAAAAAATATTTTAAAGGTAAATGACAAGAAAGGAGTTTTTATTTAGTTTTATTAATAATTCTTTGACTTTTTAAAAAGAATTTTTCAATTTTAATATTTTCATAAAAAAAGATTTTTCTAGAAATAATTAATTTTTGAGTTGGAATGTACATAGATAGAAAGGCTTAGAAAGGTATTGAAAAAAGATTTAAATTAATTAATATTAGTAATCGTAATTCCATATAGTAACGTATTTCGTACAGTAATACCGAAGAAGACCGATACAAAGTTTTGTCGTACCGTAATGCCGACACGGAATACCAAAAAATATTGTAGGGAGTACAGTACGGGAACTTATAAATATGGTGTGTAACATAATTATAAAGGAACCCATATTTTCGGTCATATCTCGAGTTTTTCTTGATGAATTTATAATTATGTTACACACCATATGTATGTATACCCGAAAAAATACAAAAAAATTTCTTTTCCTTCTTCCCAAAAATTTATTTAAATTTCTTTTAACTATAATTGCTTTGTGGATTAATTACTTCTGGAACATTGCTGAATGTTAATTTACTACATTGAGCAAATTTAAAAGGAGGATCTCCACCAATGTTTTCAGTTTCGAGTGTATCAAAAACGCTTAATTTTAATTGACTGATTTTTGCTTGAAGAGAATTTTTGATTTTTATATTCTTGAATTCCTGAAAATAAAAAAATAATATTTAAATTATTAGAATGTTCGGGGGGGGGGAGGTTTATTAATCAAAAATATATTTTTAAGACTTTTGTTTTTCTTTAATATACACTCTGTCATAAAAGTTTAAGCATCCCCAAATTTTTGTAAAAAATTTGAAGAAAAAATGTTTTTGAAAAATATTTTAGATTTTAAAAATTTTACATTAAAAAAATTTTTTTTTGAACAAATTTTTTGTTTTTATTAAAATACCTAAATTATATTTCAAACAAAAAAACTCACAAAATTAGTATGCATATAATTTGGAGTTCCATCAATCAAAATACAACCAGAAGCGTGGTTTGTGTCTATTTGATCAATACTCAGATCTTTTAATGTTATATTAAGATATTGTGTGGAGATATCTGCTGGAGGGAATTGACCTTTGCCATCACTGTATTTTAATGTAAATATTAGTGGATATCCATTAATTGTATTTCCAGACAAAGTTTTGCCATTATATGGAAATGAATTTGTTGTCCCAACTCCTTTCATTCCAATATTTCTAATACAAACTTTTCTAACACCTCCACCAATTTCTTTTGTTGCCTTCATTCGAATACCATTATCAGACATAAGGAAAATGTTATCCTTAATTTTAATTTTATTCAAAATCGGAACAAAAAAGTCAAGTTCACTAGGGTTATCCACTACAGGTTATTCAGATTTTAAAAACTCGGGTTTCGGTTTAATTTTTAGTTAAAATTAAACCGAAACTGTTTTGTTTGGGGAAATTTTTTTAAGAAATCATTTCCAAAAATCTTAGAAAATTTCATAAAAACAGTTAATCTTTGCCAAGAATTATCAAAATTTTCGATTTTAAAATCGGACGTAAATAATTTTGGGGACATTCATTATTAAGGAAATGAATGTCTGCTAAATAAGAACATCGTTCTTTTCCTTTCTGCATTCGAAATTCTGGCAGTTTTTCCGCAAATGCCCAGATTTCCTCTTTCCGTTTATTAAGGAAATGAATTAGATCAAAAAAGTTAGTCCCCAAGTAGACACTCTAAATATAACTCTAGTTATTTTTACCTCAATTTGGACATCTTGTACCCAATCTCCAAGATTACCACCAAAGGAGCATCCATGTGAATGCCGGAAATAATTATTTCTAATAACAACAAATTCTACAGGCGGAGAATTAGATTTTTTTCCTTGTCCAGTACCCATTGCTACAGAATCATCTCCAGTTTCAAAAAGATTACTTAAGATTTGAACATTACTAGCATCGCCTATATTCATTCCATCGCCATTATTTATATCAAAGGTAGTAAATCGAGTATTAACCACAGACTGTAAAAAGATGATTTTATGAAATATTTGACTCAGTTCAGTTATCCAATGAAAAATAAAGTGGGTCCACGGTACCCCGTAGCGAAAATGGTGCAAATTTCATAACTAAAGTAGGGTATGATCTATCTGTCTGCCAAATTTCATCCCGAAGTTCCACGGACACCTGACAGCCTCTCCTTTGTTAGAAATTTCTAATAATTCTTTATTATTATGCACCTTTAACCATTTTGTAATATTTTGAAAAAAAAAGAGAAAAGAAAATGAGTCGTCTAACTCAAATACATCTACCGTATTTTCTCGATTAATTCCCCCTCTTGATTAATTTCCCATGTTAGAGTTGGGTTGAAACAATAATTCTCCACCCCCAAATACCCTACTGCACGTTCAAATGCCAAAACTCGAATAATTCCCCATGCCAAGGAAGGGTTAAAAAACTAATTTTCCAGGGGAATTAATCGAGAAAATACGGTAAGTCATTATTTTAAATATAATTATGAAAATCCTTTGGACTCATAAAATCGAACCAAATATTTTTATTTTAAATCTTTAAATTACTACATACAATATTACGACTATTTCCAATAGCCATAGTAATCATAGATGGATTTCGAAGGGTTAGGTTGGTGCCTCCAATATGTAAATTTGTAATTCCAAGTAATAATAACATTTTAGAACGTGCACTTCCATATTTGTCTTTACTTGTTACTTGACTTGCAGCTAAAACCCCATTTTGTTTAACTGTTTGTGCTGATCCTTTAACATAATGAGGTAAAGGGTTCCCAATTTCATCTATTATTGTAGTGTCTTGCTTCCATCCATTATTATCAATAATACCTCCACTACTAACAATTCGAAGATTTTGAGAATGCTGTGGATCCTTTAAATAAAATAATTTTTAACTGCATTCTCAAAATCTCTTTTTAAATTAACAAAAAAACTCACAATAACGTTAATTAAAGCTGAAGGCATATTTAATCTTGGAATCAAAGGATAATCGTTACTGTTAGGGGAACCTAACAAAACAGCTCCAGATGCCAATTCGAAAGTCATATTTGATTTTAAAATTAAACTTCCAGTTAGGAAAGTTCCTCTGGGGATTCTAATTTTACAGTCGTATGGAGACAGAGAACCAGTAGCACAGCTATCTATGGCATCTTGTATTGCTTTTGTATTCATTGTTTTTCCGTCACCTACAGCTCCCACTTTTGATATGTCCACAATCTATTTTAAAATATAAATTAAATATTCTCTTATCATTTTTCAAAGTCGATTGGGCCTAATTTTAGATACCCCCAGTTTATAGATACCCCAGTAGCTAACTTAATCAAGAGATAAAGCCTAAATTTAGATGTAGCTATTATTGGGTGTTTATCGAATCGAGATCCGACAAATTAACAAAAAATTTTCCTATACCTTTTTATAATTAGTTGGTGTAGTAACAACTAATGGTTTACTATCTTCAGATTCATCCCCATTAGAAAGAACAGATCGAACAGTAAATGTATATTTTGTTTTTGGCTTTAATCCTTTAACCCAAAAAGTATTGAAAAGAATTTTTGGATAAAATTCTGGTTCTTCTTTGAGAAAAGTATCAAAATATCTTCCAACAACACTATTTTGCATTGAATTATTTTTAGAATTTCCAAGCAGCTAAAAAATTAATTTTTTATAAATTAAATTTCTTGTATTATCCAGTTTATGTGTCCAATCAACTTTTATCGAGGTACATGAAAGACAAGGTCAAAACACTTATATGCATTTACAGAAAGTCGAAAGCTTTGAATTGAGCTGACTTTGTTGAATGTAATGTGTTATCAGTAAAATAACACATTACATGTGTTATGTAATGTGTTAAAAGGCTTATTATGAGTCTCTTACTTTTTTTAATCCAATTTTTAACCTATAGATTTTACCTTTAGTTCCTAAGATTAAAATAGGTAAATATTTCCAAGTATAAACTATCTGGGACAGGTAAATGAACTTGGGCTCCAAAACAAATTTTAAAATCATAAAAGTTGATTGGATCTATAAACTAAACATTCCATATCCCTCAATAAACCTGTCCATCCTTATAAACATTATAGCCAACAACATCATCAGCAACATCAGGCTGAGTCCAAGTCAAAAAAACTTTACTTGGTTCATATGCAAGAATAGGAACACACACAGCTTGGGGAACATTAGTTCCTGTCCCAAAACCCTTACAGGAACTATCCACGTCTGAACTTGAACAAAACGGGCTATCTGAACCTTCAGTTGGGGGAGCATCAGCTGGCGAAGGTGGAGAATTATCTGCTTGGTCTTAAAAGAAAATTTTGATTTTTAAATTTTTAAATCAAAATTTAATATTTTAGAAAGTTAAGTATATGTACTTAAATATATATTCGTTAATTTGTTATATATATTTTTTAACCTTGTTCGGTGGTTGTAGAAATCTCACCTAAGAATAAAAATTAATCGAAATTCATTAAATTTTTTTATATTTTTCGGCTAAAACTATTTTGGATTAAAAAAAGAAGTTAATTCCAAAAAAAAGGAATAATTTTTAAAAATATCCAACAAATATAAACTAAAAATCAAAATAAAAAATCTTAACAAAATTTAAATTTTGCTTTAAACGTCCTAACCTTGTTGAGACGCTGTACAAGGTACTCCCTCACCTAAGATTAATTAAATTATTATTTTAATTCTCTAAAAATTAATTTTTAAAAAAATTAAATTTAAATTTACTTGTAGTATCACCATCCCCATTAATATTTTTTAATAAAAAAATTAATAAAATATTTAATAGAAAAACTTTTTTCATTTTTTAGAATTTTCCTTCCAATGTGGAGAGGAAAAAATTATAAATAATTTTTAATGTTTGAGTGAATGAGAGAAATGAATTAAAATACTTCAGCTTATATTAAAACTTAAAATATAGCTTAATAATTAATAAAATAATCCAAAAAAAATTTTTTTCAGGTGATTAAATTTAATTTTAAATAAAAAAATTTAAAAAATCCAAAAAAGGGATTAATTTAAATTTAATTTGCGTCATTTAAATAAAATATTTTATTCAAAAATGATTTTTTTTGTTAGTTTCCGTAGATTATGTTGGCAAGCTATATTCAAACAAAAATTTTATAGACTCCCTTTTTTTAAATATCTTTTTTAAATTTATTAGCTAAATTAAATTAATTTTTATTTTTTTTATTTATTAAATAAAAATTAGCAGATTATTTTTTTTAATACGGATTGTTTGTTATTCTTTTAAATTTGTAGCCACATGATTTAAAATTTTTTTAAATATTTATTTTAATTTTAAATTTAAAATATGAATTTATTTTATAATTAAATTTAAAAAAAAATAATTATTTTTTTGTTCTAAAATGTTTAAATTAAAAGTTAGAGATAAATAATTTTACTGAAAAAACAGTTTCTGCAGTTTTATCTAATATTTATATCACTGAAGTACTTATAGCATATTTGAATACTTATATGAAGTATTTATATCAGTAAATTTTATAGATTATAATTGTGCCTTTATTTTATAAAATTATTTATTCTAAGGAATTATTCGGATATCCTAAATTCAACCAAAAAATTAGGTTCCATGAGGTTTCAATTTTATTCCTTTTCATAGGTTTTATATTTTATAAAACATCTTGAATGTGGACCAATTTTTAAAAGTACTACAAGGAATAAGGACGGAATAAATAAAAGGAAAAAATAAAAGGACGGAATAACACCAACAAAAATAAACGAAATTCCCGAGTTATAAGGAAAGAAAAAATCTTTGGACTACCCATAAGGAAAGGCTTTAAGGCAACGAAACTTACAATAACATGTAAACATTTTAAAATTTTACATTTAAATTTAAAAAATTTAATTAATCAATTAAATGTCTGAATATTAATTATAGACAATAATGAAAGTCGCCAACAATGCCTAATTCAGACGCCCTTTCCTTTCCCATTCTCGCCTTTATAAATTAACAATCAATCTATCAATTTATTCATTTGAAAAAAATTTTTTATTGAAAATTAAATTTTTTAAAAGAATAATTTTTTTAATTTAAAAGTTAGCTAAAATCTAGAGTTGACATTTTCAATTCCCCCCCCCCCCCCTCCCCTCAAAAGCCTGGCTTTTTTCTTCCAATCCGACCCGGGCCGTATTTTCCGGGTTAAAACCCCGAAAACCCGGATTTTATTAAAATACCCGGCTTCCGGGCTACCGGGCCCAAAAAACCCGGTCCCGGGTCCGAACTCTACTAAAAACATTGTTTTCTTATTTAAATTACATATAACCAGGCTTATCTATTTTACTAAAAAGAGTTTTTTTGTTTTTGTTGACTTTAACTAGAATCCCAACAAAAATGTGTGGTTATTAAAATTTCCATTTTTGTGTTGTGAAAAGGCTTTCTCGATTTTATAAATTTAAAATTTGTAGTTTAAAGTTTTATTTAATTTAATTTAAAAATAAAAAAATGGTCGATTAAAAAATTAAAAAATAAAAATAAATTAAGAAATAAATATTTATAAAAGTTGTCCGTTAAAAAAATTTTTTTCTACATTAAAATCAATAAAAGTCTAATAAATATTAATTATAATTAAATTTAAGGAAGTATTTTGAAAAAGAAAATTCTTTAAAATTAATTAAAAAAATATTTTTAATTAAATATTATTTTCAAATTTAATTTTAAATATTTAATGATTATATTAAAATTATTATTTGCTTTAATTGTTTCACAAACATTGTTAACTAATGCTGCGAATACTGGCAAAGTTTGAATTTTATTTAAATTCCTTGATAATTTAAAAAAAATTTTGTTTGTTGAAATTAATTTTTGAATAAAAAAAGGGAGGGGATCAAAAAGTTAAGAACTCATAAAATCCTAAAAATCCTAAAAATATTACGGTGCCGAAGACACTCAAAATAGTAAAGCAGCTGTACTATAGCTATTTCTCTCCTTTATATTATTCGGCGGCTGGGAGCGAACCAGCATCTTCAGTAGACCGGACTGATCTGTTAGCCATTACACCACGCCGCCTACTGCTCAGCCTTAGGAATTAAATAGCTATATGCTTTACAAAATTTTTAACAAAAGTTTGGAGTTGAGGGGGTGTTTAAAGCCTTCAGGGGTTTCTTAACGAATATTTTCTTTTTTCAAAAAAATTTTTGTTAAAAAATTTCAAATAAAAAAAATTTTTTAGGGCTCTTTAAAACGGCAACATAAAAGCGATGGTTATTATATGATAAAAGATAAAAATATTAGTATTAATGTTATTAACACAAAAAGACGTACTAAAAGTTGTGAAAGTTTCAAAAATGATGAAAAAGAAGACGAAAATGAAAATGAAAATAGAAGAAGTTTAGAAGAAATTTGGGATGAAGTGACAAGAAACAGGCAAAAAGGGTGCCGGAAAATTGGGCTCTGGAAAATTGGGCTCCAAGATTTTTCGGAAATTTGGGCTCCAACTTTTCGGAAAATTGGGCTCCAGCGGAATTTTGGGCTCTAATTTAGAAAAACGGAAAATTGGGCTCTAAAATTTTGGGCGCGGGGAATTGTGGGCGTCGGATTAAATTTTTGGATTTATTAGAACGTAAGCCTATGGGCATCGGCGAGGCGCTTGTGCAAAATCCCGCGCTTCGCGCGGGATTTTGCGGCACGCGCCTCGCGGGAGTCAATGGTCGCTGGCTTCTACAACAGTAACATAAACCTATCCCTTTCTACTGATTTTCAGCTTTGAACTGCCGACCTACCCACTAAGTATCAGCACTCCATAGAATTTTGTGATATTTCTCGAATAAATCCAAAAATTTAATCCGACGCCCAAAATGCACCGCGCCCAAAATTTTAGAGCCCAATTTTCCGTTTTTCTAAATTAGAGCCCAAAATTCCGCTGGAGCCCAATTTTCCGAAAAGTTGGAGCCCAAATTTCCGAAAAATCTTGGAGCCCAATTTTCCAGAGCCCAATTTTCCGGACACCGGCAAAAAATCCCTTCCCCTTCATCAAAAACTACTCTAAGCGATACCCGATTTGTTAACTCAAAATGGTTTAAAGACTGGAAAACAAATAAAAATAATTCTTTTAAAATAGAAGGAAAAAAGAATGTAAAAGACCATCCAAAATTGGATAAAAAAGATGAAGATATTTTTAAAAACTATAAAAATTTGGAACAATTTAAAATTTCTGAGGGAAATTTGGAGAAGAAAAAAGCTGCTTCTGTTGAAAGGGAAATTGCTCAAATGTTTTCAAATCATCTTTGTAGAATTAAAAAGCACAAATCTTGCGATGAGGTTAAATTTAGGGAAATTTTTCTGATAGGAATTAAACTGTAAATTAAAGTTCGGTACTCCCTATAGTAGCGGACCGATATACATACATACATTTATACTTTACAGAGATCCTGCCGACAAAAAGCCAAAATTCCCGATTAGGGTAATCGTGAGTCCCGAGAAAAAATAAATTCCTGATTTTCGGGAATGCGAATCGGGAAGCAGGATCCTAATCGGAGGCAGAATCCTATCGGAAGAAACAATTTGCCAAACACTATTAAATACCGTAAATCCTCTAAAATAAGCCCCGTGGCTTATTTTTTTCGATCGACCTCTAGAGGGGGCTTATTTCGGGGGGGGGGGGGGGCTTATTTTTTTCGATGTATAAATTTTTTGAAAACTGTAATTTATTACCAAAATTTTAGAAAAATTTTCCTAAAATTTAATAAAATTCATCCCATACTAAGTCTTTTCACAAAAAACTCTTGTCCAAAAACTCAACAAGGACTCAGTCAATTAATATTTCATCTTAGATATGCCTTTAAGTTGGAGATAAGTCAAAAATGTCTTAGATTATTATCTCCCATTTATATATCCCATTGAGTTTCTATAGTCTATTACGATTAAAAAGGATTAAGAAGGATATATGGGGAGTTCACAGCATTGAAGTGAATATCAGGGGATTGTATGTGACATCGAGGGATAAAGTGGGATATCGATTAATATTGAGACATTTAGAGGGAGCATTTTGTGACTTGGGGATTGGGAACAGACATGCACGAAACTCCAAAATTTTTTCAGACGAAACGAAACGAAACAAAATTTTCTAAAAATCGTTTCGTTAACGAAACGAGACGAAACAGTAGAAATTTAGCGAAACGAAACGAAACAAAACGAAACATTGTAATTTTCAAAAAAATTTAAGAAAAATGTTTTTATTTTCTTATTTATTCGTTTTTAAACACGTTAATAGGCCAAATATGACCTATATATGATCTCATAGCTTTGTGTGACCCTAAATTTTGGTCCCAAGCTCCAAAATTTTCGCGTGTTCCCTCCTAATCCACTATATGTACCAGCCTTAGTTCCGCCAACTCAGCTCCAATCGAATTATATGTTGAGCAACTGTGTATATCGAGGACAGTGCTGTGTATGGCTCTTGCCGGAGTCGGGCTACGGCAGAGCTTAGATTTAGAAAACCTCAGAGCTGGAGCCGGAGCCAAGAAATTGAAATGCCCGGAGCCGGAGTCAATGTTTGAGAAAGGTCGGAGCCGGAGCTGAAGCCAACAATGCCAAGACACAGCACTGATCTCCCGCTGACCCGAATCCTGATTCCCTAAAACCGGGAATTCATTTTGTCGGAAATTACTATTCACGAAACCCGTTGCTAATTCTCGACATTTTTATTTTATTTTTTAAACTCTCCAAATTCACCGATATAGCGTTTACTCTCTCCTAATTTCATATACCACCATTGCAACCCTATTCATGATCATTGTCTCTTGCGCCCGCCCCGGATTGGCATTAAGAGGTAGACCCATTCTATATGCCTATCTCAATAGAATTCGAACTTTGCTATTAAAAACATAAAATCAAACGAGAAAATCAAAAAAAGATAGTATATTATGCGCCTTAGGCGCTTAAATTCAGATTTCAGCGCCGCAGGCAAAAATTTTTTGAATTTTCATCACCAACGGGAAAATTTTTTCAGTTTTTGGGTAATATTTTGGCTTAAAAATAGGTAATGTTTCGTTAACGAAACACAGGTGTTTCGTTAACAAAACGAAACGAAACAAATTAAAAACTGTTTCGTCACGAAACGAGACGAAACAGTAAAAAACATAACGAAACTAACGAAACAACGAAACGAAACGAAACGTTTCGTGCATGTCTGATTGGGAACGATATGACGGATTTTGGATGATTAAGAGATGTCGGGGACAAAGGGGATATATCTTAGCATTTGCATAAATTAAAAGGATTATCAGTGAATATCCCAGATATCCGTCTTTATCTTTCGAGATCCATGACTTTCTACTTAATTCTACGATATTTCTACAAAATTTCGTATATCTCCGATATTTAACAAAATCCCCGTATATCTGTTCAAACCATTTTAACCCAAGTAATTAACTATTAACTATCCTTATATCCCATTAAACCTACAAATCCTCCGATATCACTTTTAATCACATCAAATCCCTCGATATCTACGTTCTCCCTTTACATCAGAGTTGCGTCGTAATTGAAAATTTTTTTTCGTAATCGTAATTCGTAATTCGTAATTTTCAAAAAAAATTCGTAATCGTAATTCGTAATTTTAAAAAAATTTTCGTAATCGTAATTCGTAATTCGTAATTTAAAAAATTTTTTCGTAATCGTAATTCGTAATTCGTAACTGAAAAAATGCCGTAATTCGTAATTCGTAATCGTAATTCGTAATTTTTCAAAAATATTTAAATTAATTTTAAAAATCAAATATCTATTTATAATTGCTGCTTCTCCCATTAATCTCTCCAGGTCCTCCTATTTCTCTGATATTATTCAAATCCGAATTAATTCCCTGATATCCCTCTTAATCCTAATAATCCTCCAATATTTCTTTAATAATCATGAGGAATCATCGTCCCAGATTAAGTTTGATATCATGTCAAATCATTCTCACTTAATCCCGAGCCAACACTCTTATATTTTAAGCGCCGCAGGCGAAATTTTTTTAGAAAATTCATGACTAAATTAAAAAATTTTTAAGTTTTTTTCAATTTTAAGATATTAAAAATGTAAATTTACAAAACTAAAATCAAAATAAAAGTTTAAAAACGTTTATTTTTAAAAATGAATTGTCTAAATATCATTTCCCACACATGGATTCGAACCAAACCTAACACAATATCAAATAAGTGAAACTTGACTTTTAACCCACTCAACCACCGATAAACAAAAGTAACTGTGAGAGAAAATATAAATATTTCAAATATTTCTTCCCCTTTTCATTCTAAAATTTAATGGCAAAATTATTTTCGTAATTCGTAATTTTTCCCTATATTTTCGTAATCGTAATTCGTAATTCGTAATTTAAAAATTTTTTTCGTAATCGTAATTCGTAATTCGTAACTGAAAAAACACCGTAATTCGTAATTCGTAATCGTAATTCGTAATTACGACGCAACTCTGCTTTACATACCTACCTGTTAATCTCCCAAATACGCTCTTAATCACTTCTAATCTTTCTATATCCCCCAAGAGGACTCAACTGAGAGGAATTAATCAACAATTAAAAACTTTTTGGGGAGGGGGGCTTATTTTAGAGTGGGGGGGGGGGGCTTATTTTTTTCGATTGACCTCTAGAGGGGGCTTATTTTAGAGAGAGGGGGGCTATTTTAGAGGATTTACGGTAAATCATAAATATTTTGAGTTTTGAATAATTAATTATTTAAATTTAAGTTTTCTATATCGGAATTAACAAAATCATATTCAACAAAAGGATCATTTAAACAAAATGAGGAAAAATCTAAGAAGCTTTGCAGTTCCTCAAATATTAAAAACTTGGCAGCTGGATATTATGATAATGAAATTGATGAAAATAATGAAAATAAATTGAAAATGAAAGAAATTGGGCTAAAAACTTCGATACAATTAGCTTTAAGGAAATATTTATGTTCTTTGTTTAATGGAAGTTTAAAGGAGGGGGAAGGGGAGGAATTTCAAAAATACAGAGTATTTAAAAAGTAAATTTTTTAAATGGTAACTTGGGTAATGGACCTAAAATCTCGTAAAATCTTTTAAATAATCGAGAACTACATAGCCTGTATTAACCATTTAAAAGAAAATTTTCTATTAAAATTTTCTTAAAATCATAAAAATTATATAATTTAGGTAATTGAGATACTTTCTTGAATAGTTACCCTGGGTAATTATTGTTTCAACCGCTCGCTAGAGGAGGTACTTAATAGGGGAAGTGCAAATAGTTCGGAGTTTTCTTTCAACGTGTGGTAGTACATTTAAGCTAGGGTAATTATTTTTTCAACTTTCCACTATAGGAGGTATAAGTAATAGGTAAGAGGTAATTATCCGAGGGAGAGTAATTATACGGTAGTCCTTTATCCCTAAATCATAATAACGTATTTTTCCAAATACAGCCCATGGGACTGTATTTTTCAACTATCCTCCAGACTGGGGTTGTATTAGAGAATGGGGCTCTATTTGGAAAAATACGGTAATTTAATTTAAGGAAGGATGAAAATTTCCCACATAATTACAAAAATGATTTTAAATTCTCCATGTATTTTACAAAACAATTTCAATTATTATGGAAAAATAATTTTAAAATAAAAATAGAAGAATTAATAATATCATTAACCGAAAAAGAATTAAAAGGATTTGAAAATCCAGCAAAAAGTAATTCAATATTTTTTACTTCTGTGAATGGAAAATTCTTTCTGAAAAGTGTTAATAAAAAAGAATTGGATTTTTTCCTTAAACAAAATGGAGAAAATTATTTAGAAAATGAAAGAGAATTTTTTAAAGGAGGAATACATGATTATTTTAATTATGTTAAAAATCGAGAAAAATCATTCTTGCCTCAATTATTTGCTTTTTTTAAATTTGAGGTTTCTTTATAGAAGATATTTGCGAAACTTTTTTATTTTATAATAAGATAAGTCGAATTGTAGCAATTGCTCGTACAAACAACATTTCCATTAAATATCACTAAAGGGGAGAAAGGCATAGTTCCTCAACTTCCGGCACCGCGGGCTAATTTTTTTGGGGGAAAAAGCGATGAAACGCGATACGATCATCCCCTTTTGTTGTGGCTCATTAGCCATCATCAGGGGCTAATGAGCCACCCCTGGCCGTCATTGCAATTGCGGTCCGCAACTTTCTGAATTGTTTTTTCTAAATTTATGTACATATACATATTCTATTAAATTAATTTTTAGGAAAATAAAGACAACAATTCACATTACTTCTTCATTCAAAATGGATTGTTTCCTGAAAACATACCCTGTTTGGATTTTATATTTGATTTAAAAGGCGCGTCATATCATCGTTGGAAAGAAGATGAAGACAAGAAAAAAGAGATGAAAGAAAATAAAAATAAAAAAATTTTGGAAGAAAATGAAGAAGAAACTAAAGTTAAAGTTTATAAAGAATTGGATTTTGTTCGCTTTAGAGAAGGCGAAAATATTTTGAATTTTTTCACTTTAACGAAATATGAAATAATTGAAGGAAAATTCCCCAACGGAATTTTATTAAAATCTGAACATTATAAAGAAATTACTAAAAATTTAGAAAGAGATTCGGATTTTTTGGCTAAACATAAAATTGTTGATTATAGCCTGCTTTTGGGTATCGTAAAAAATAATGGAGAATATACAAAAGATTATACAAAGTTTGTTTTTAAAATTAATAAATACAGCAGGTACCTACTACATTTAGTAGGTATCTACATGGATCTCAATTTCGAATATATTTTTCTTTTGATAATCCACAATATATCCCGTATGTATCTTATGTGTAGCGAGCTCCGACTATATTTAAAATATAAAATAAAATAAGTGAAAGTTTGCTAATTTTATTTGACTGTCAGATATTTGGGGACAAACTTAAAGAGATAATTATTAACTTAATAATTTCTGAATTATAAAGCTACTGGATTTTGTAAAGATACTTTTAACTAGAGTTGGGCGGGATCGGGATCCCGGTCGGGATCGGGCGGGATTATCCCGGTTTTTTTGAATCCCGATCCCGATTTTTCTGATCCCGAACCCGAAAGACAAATCCCGATCCCGGTTTTGGCCGATCCCGATCCCGAGCCGGGATCGGGACCGGGATCGGGATTAGCAATCGGATCCCGATGAAATCGGGATTTTATAAATTAATGAAAATATATATTAATGAGCTGAAAAGAAAGCAATTTGGCTTCTACGCCATCCAAAATTTTCAAAATTTTCGCCTGCGGTGCTAAAAATGAAGATTTTGGCTTGAGAATCTTCGAAATTTTTCAAAATTTTTGCCTCCGGCGGTGAATAAGAAGAGACTCATTTATAAAACTATCGACGGAAAGGATTTGAACGGATATAATGGATATCCTAGATGTCCATCTAGATCCCAATATCTCATTAATCAACGATATCCCTCTTAATCCATCAGAATCACCTTATCGTTAATACTTTATCCCTCCTCCTTAATCCCTGATACGCCAAGAACAAATGCGCGCTGGGACTTAAAATCAATATTTCAGCACAGCAGATGAAAATTATGGAATTATATTGAGGTATATGCAATGTAAATAAAAATTTAAATTTTGAAAATTTTTTTTTAACTAAATCCCGATCCCGATTTTTCAATCCCGATCCCGAGTCGGGATCGGGACCGAGATCGGGATCATTATTCCGAATCCCGATCCCGATTTCGTCCAATCCCGATCCCGCAGTCGGGATCGGGACCGGGATCGGGATCATCATTCCAAAATCCCGATCCCGATTTTACGTCGGGATCCCGATCCCGCCCAACTCTACTTTTAACTGTGAATAAAAAATATTTTTTTAATGTTACAACCAAAATAAGTAAAGATTTTTGTTTACACAAATGCCCGCAATTGTCTGCGCAAATAGACTTTATTAAGTGCCTATTTATTTTATTTAGTAATAAAAATTAATATTTTTTAAATATTAATTTTTGAAATAAATCAGGGGTTAGAAAATATAATAAAAAATTTAATTTAAAAAAATTAAATTAATTTTAAGTGCTCAAATAAAAAGTTATCCAGCAAAATGTACAAATTGTATCGGAGAAAATACGGAACAAAATTTAATTATTTTTGTTGGAATAATTGATGTTTTACAATTTTTTAATTTTAGTAAAATAGTAGAATTTCTTTGGAAAATTGCTTTTATTTTTCCTGTTAGTTTTCTTTAAATTTAATTTAAATTTATTTATACTCCTTTCGCCAGATTTATCTGCAAGTCTTTATTTTAACAAAAAAAGTTTTAAAACGGCTAAATAAAAAATTAATTTTAGCTAAAAAGAATACACCGTATTTATTCTAATAGAACTACCGGTCGTTCTATTTTTCAACCTCTCCATTTGAGGTGGTTATATTAGACACTGTGGTTCAGGGATGTGCGTCATGGTATTTTGGCGTCCTGGCATTTGGCGTGTTTTTCATTTTTTGGCACACCAAATCAATTCTAACCCAATTTTAATGGCTCCATGGTCATTAAAAAATCTCAAAATTTTTGCCTACGGCGCTGAAATTGCGTCTTTTTAAAAATTTTGGCGGTCTGGAGTTTGACGTGATTTAAAAATTTTAAAAATTGGCGTTTTGCGCACATCCCTACTGTGGTTCTATTGGAATAAATATGGGTATATTTTTATTTTTAAAAATAAACAGACTTGCGGATTAAATTTTCGGATCCATTTAAATTAATTATTTTAATTTTTCTAGACATACAAAGCCTTTCCATTAAATATTAACCAATATCAATGCAGCATTATCCCTCCAGATCAGTACCAACAACGTTTTAATAATTATATTAAAACAATTATTTTTAAAGATGAAGAGGAGGAAAAGAAAAAACATTTAAAAAAGAATTAGTAAATTATTTAAAATTTACTTTTTTTTTAAATTTTTTTAACAAAAGTTTTTTTGTAAATTAATGAAAGTTTTAAATTTTTAAAGTAATTATTTTTTTTCTTAAATTCTTGTATTCTTATTTATTGTATAAAGACTTCTATGTTTAGCTCATCTATGATATTTTTTATAATTATATTTTATTTTTTATTTAAAATTCTTATTTTATAAAATTCACTTTATCAAATTAGAAAAAATTTAATTTTACATAATTTTAAAAATTTGTTAGAATAAATTAAAAATTAAATAATAAATATCCATAGTTCACCCGTGTTACCCTCAATTTCACTTTACTAAACCTCATCCCGTTATTTTTATAAAATTCTTTTTAAAATTTTCCAAATTATTTTTTAAAATTAAGCCCAATTATTTCTTTTAAGAGTAGGAACATTTTCAAATTTTAATTTTTGAGCATCATTTATTTTCCAAGCAGAATTGCCATTAAAATTATTAATTTGAACATTAACAAAGCTGCTATTGAGTAATTGGGTTATTTGTATTGGAGAAACATTTGTTAAATTTAAATTTTTGACTAACTATAAATTTAAAATTAATTATTTTTGTTTTTATTCCTTGAAAGAGAAGCCAAATAAATTTTAAATAGTGCCAGGATCAGACAAATATTTGATCAAATTTTATCTGATTTTATTTGATAAAATATTTGTTTGACAAAGAAAAACATTCTGATTTTTAAAGAATATTTATCTCCTTCCCCATATGGAAGAGGCTACAATAACTGTGCATAACGTTCCCCTAAATTATTCGATTACGGTGATCAATCGACTTGTTATGTAGATCACTCGACGAGCTGATTGCTACTAATTGTAAGTATGATTAGACCAAAGATTCTATTTGAATTTTCTAACAAAAATGTCTATCTTCCATCCGCTTAATAGTATTGTAATAATTGGACCTTTGGGTTAAAAGTTATTTGGCTTATCGTTCAATTCCTTAAGCTACTCCAATCCTTTTAATAAAATAAACTTACAATATTTTTTAAATAAGTTTTTGGATAATTAGTTTGGCTTTTATCATATCCCTCCATTAAAATAGAAGGTCCAGAATTTCCTTTATTAACATTATCTATTGTTATTTCACTAAATTCAATTTCTTCAAAATTTGTTGAATTTACTGCTTTTTGGAATTTTAAATCACTTGTTTCGTCTAAATAATTTAATGTTAAAATTATAGCACTTCCTTCTTCTGTTATTCCATCTAATTGAATATTTCCTAAATTTGCTGTATTTTTACTTCCAACATTTAACATTGCAATATTTCTAAATACAGCATTCATTACACCTCCACCCATTGGCGGGCTACTTTTACAACGAATACCATTTGATGCCGAGACTATTACATTGTACTTAAATAGATATATTAAAATTATCTTTAATTATCTTGCATTTAATGGAGCCTCCTCCAGAAAAGAGGAGTTTTGTTTGCTGGAAGCCCTTTTCTGGGGGCTTTCAAATATACTACAAAATTCTATTTATTTAAATACCTCAACAAGTAAATTTTTTATCCAAGCAGCTGTATGGCTTCCAGCCATACAGCTTTGGCAGTAAGTTTTGGCAGTAAGAGTAACACTTTCTTCAGATTCTCCATCAGAATATACTGCACGAATTGTAAATTTATAAAGAGTATTTGCTTCTAAATTGTCTACATAAAAAGAGTTAAACAATGTTGGAACATGAAATTTAATTTTGTCAACATTGTGGAAATTATTTATATATGGGGCTGAAATTGCATAATTATTAGCATTTTCTGAAGAAGAACCAATTTTCTAAAAATTAAGATTTTTTTAGACTTTATTCCCTTTTTATTTACATTTCCATTCATATAAACATTATAATCAAGTAATCCTTTGTCAGTATTGTCAGGTCTATTCCAAGTTATCCAAATACTTTTTTGGTCGTAAGCAAGAGTTGGAACACAAGGATTTTGAGGTATATCTGTATTACTTCCAAAATTTGGAGTTACACTGGCACAATTACAAAAAGGTGTTAGTCCTGTGTTATCATTATTATTATTGGTGTTGGTATCAATATTTGCTTTAATAAGAGGAGCTTTTGGTGTTGTTTTCTTTTCTGTAATTTGTAATTTAAATAGAATATTGTTATAATGAAACCCCTAGGAACGGCATTATTTGAAAAAAAGGCATTGCACGCGAATTTTTTCTAAATTTCCTCCTTTTAAATTTTTTTCCATTTTCTAAATTTCCTCCGAAAATTCCTCCTTTTCTATATTGCCCCCTTTTTTACCCCCTTTTTAGCCGATTTCGCCCTTTTTTTGGAAAGCCATGCCTCCTTTTGGTGATTTGTAAAGGGACACCATGATCTAGGTCCTAAAACGTTTTACTAAGTAAAAAGCAGTACTATTCGACACACTCGATGCCGAATGGTATAGTATTAATTCGAGATTATTTGGAAATTCCTAATCTAAATTACAGCTTATTATTTTGTAAAGATTTTAGAAATCTTTTGAATTTTACTTATACACTTCGATTATAAATTAAAATTACTTTTTGCTATAACAATACCAAATATTAAAATAATAATTAAATATTGATATTTTTTAGTTGTCATTTTTAATATTTTTAAAAATTAAAATAAAATAAATTTTTAAAATTCAATTAATTATAAATAAAATGAAAAGGCTCTCTAACTTTTTTTGTTTTCAAATTATAATCGTATACAGATGCTTAAATTTTTATAAAATATTTTTGGATTCGTTTCCGATTTAAAATTCTTCTTTTTTTAATTTTCTTATCTAAATTATTATTTTTTTGTACCAAAGCTGTTCGTACAAAAAATCTTCAAAAATATTGAAATCAAGAATTGAAAATAATTTTCTCTAATTTTAATTATCGAAAATTAATTTCTCTAATTTTTTCTTTATTTTTTTTTTATTTTTTTTTTTGAAATTTTATTTCGAACAAAAAAGTATATTAATTAATAATTTAAATTTTAAATTATTTAAAAAAAGATTTAAAATCCCACACATTTTTAAAATAATTTTTTGATTAATAAATGGAAAATAAATTTTTTAATAGATTTACACAAGGCATAAATTTTATTTTTTATTTGAAATTAATAATAAATAAAAATAATTATTTTTGGCTTAAGCTAAAATTTATTATTCAAGTATATTCACGTGCTATTTATTAATTTATTTAATTTTAATTAAAACACAAAACATAAAATATAAATTTATTTTTATTATTTAATAAAAAAATTTTTTTTTAATTTTTAATTGTTTTTCTTCATTTAATCAAAACTTAAAGAAAGTTTTTTTTCATTGACTTTAACAACGTTACCTAATTTTTACGTTATTATTTATACATCAAATTATAAGTGGATAATAATAAAAAAAATAATTAGGGCTGCCCTTTTCGTTTCGAGACGACGTTCGGTGCATTTCTCTAGCTTGATTTTTTTCGATTTGGTTCGTTTTCGAGCTTTTCGAGCTGAAAGATCTTTCGAGTTGGCAACCCTACAAATAATAATAGGATGAAACTCCTTAATTAAATTTTAATTTTGTTTTTCTTTGTTTTTCTTCTTAATCAAATTTAAAAACATCCACTAAAAATATATAAATATATTATATATTTTTTACTTGAAATTTAAAATATGAAAATCCTAGGAATTTTTTTCCGAAAACATTAAAATATATTTAACCAAAAAATGGAAGTAATAAAAAGTATCACATTTCCAAATTTATTAGACATAAATTAATTAATTAAATTATTATTTTTTCTATTTACAAACATAATAACAATAAAATTTAATTATTTTATCATTATTTATTAAATCATCATTATTCATTATCATTTTTATTGACAATAAAAAACAATAAAATTTATAAAATATTATTTGCATTTTTATTAAAAAATATAATTAATTTAATTGATAAAAATTAATTTAGAAATTTTCAACTAAAATTATATTAATATTTTAAATAATATTAATATTTTTAATAAATTTAAATAATTAAATAATAAATTAACATTTTTTTGTTTAAAAATTATTTTTATTTGTTTCCTCAAAAGTAATTAACAAAAAAGAAGCAGTCCTCCTTTTAAGGCGTGATTAGCTGAAGAAAACAATATTTTATTTTCGAATAATTTTCTGAATAATTATTAAAATTGTTTGGCCATTTAAAATTAAAATTAAATCAAAAATATTTTTAATTTCCCGTCATCCTCCTTTCTATATTAAAATATGTATAATAATAAATAGATATTTATTTAAAATATTTACATAAAATTAATGTAGGAATTTATTTAGAATATTTATTTTTTATTAGAGATTAAAAGGTTGGCGTTGCATTTTATAGAATGTCATATTTTTACATTTACTATATATTTAATATTTATTTTTAACCAAAAATTTTGTAAAAATAAAAATAATTCAGTAGATTTTAGCTTTTTTAAATTTTTTTTTTAAAAACTAAAAAATAAGAGATAAAAATTTATGCAACGTGGATATAAGTAAGAAAAAAGAATGGCAAACATCATGTTTATACAAGTTCGGGGCTTTTTAGTATCCGACACTTAACTTAATCTTTACTTACATATTTGAATATGTAAGGGAAAGTTTAGTCAGGATTGCTATCTAATAATGATCGAATTGCCTAAATTTAGGATTCGATTCCTGCCTTTTAACTAAACATTTACTTTAATATTTAGCCAAATTTTAAGAAAAGTATAGGAATAATTTTAAAATAGTGAATAAATCTGAATTTTATTCAAACTTTTTTAATTTCTCTATGTTCCCATTAATTTAAATATTCAAAAAAATATTTAGAAATATTAAATGACTGTAAATGCCGAAAAGAGTAATGGAGGACTTAATTGGTTTGTAACGGGTTTATTTATTGTAGCACAATTAGCTGGAGGAGGTATTGTTGCTTTGCCGACAGCTGTGATTCAATCTGGTAAAAATTAAAATTTTTAATTAAAAATTCAAAGTTTAGGTTTATGGACGGGCATTTTTCTCAATATTCTTCTTACAAGTTAATAATTAATTTCCATTTAAAATTCCCTTTTAAATTTAAAGCAATGGCTTGCTCTACATCCATAATGCTTGGAAAGTGCTGGTTAATTTTACAAAGACGTTGGCCTGTTATTTATAAAGATACTCATTGCCGAGAACCTTATCCAGAAATTTGTATGAGGGCTTTAGGCCCTCGTTTTAAGTAAATTTTAAATTTGTATTTGTAAATTTGCTCTAAAATAAAATCCCTCTATCTTTGTAAATTCTCTTAATAATTAAACTAGAATTCTGGAATTATTCCCTTACCTAAATTACCCGTTTATGTCGTTCCTGTTGCTTAGATCAGAGATGGGTCTGGTTGAAAAAACGGATGTATTAGGTTTCGGGGTTCCTGTCAAAAAAAAGTCCGCGTTATGGGTAAAGTAAATTCCCTTGATTCAGCATGAATTGACAACATTATTGAGAAAAATAGTAATATTTAGGAGCATCTGAATATTTTAAAAGAATTTAACGGATTTGAATAATTTTAGGTGATGATAGGGAAATATTTATTTTTATTTTATTAAACCCTTCCAAAATAATTTTTAAAATTAGTTTAATTTTTTAAATTTTAAATAAAGAAATTTGGCAAGTATATGTATTCAATTAAATCAATTTGGAATTTGTGTTGTTTTTTTACTTTTATCTTCAAAAAATATTCAACATTTTTTGAAAGCTTTTTTTGACGTTAATTTCAGTTTTTGTTTATTAATTTTAATTTTGGCACTTTTGCTTTTTCCGTTTACATTGCTTAAATCACCAGAAGATTTTTGGTAATTAAAATTAATTTTTTAAAGAAAAATTAATTTAAGGTGGGCAGCTGTTTTATCAGCTGGGACAACAACAATAGCCGTTATTTTAATTTGTTTTGGAACTTTAATGGATTCTTCTGTTTGTGCCCAAATTTCTGTAGGAATGCCACCAAATAATAAATTTAGTAATTACTTTCTTGCCCTTGGAACTTTTCTTTTTTCTTATGGAGGGCATCCTGGCTTTCCAACAATTCAACATGACATGAAAAAACCTAAAGAATTTACTAAAGCATCAATTATAGCATTTTTAAGTAATTTTTATTTCCTTTTATTTTCCAAAAACTGTTACATTCGGCCATCTATTTAAGCTAGGTTTATGGCTGAATATATTCGAGTAAACTATAATTGCCGCTAGTGATTTGCGCAATAAATAAAATAAACTAAAAAACTAACAATACCCCCGCAAGTTCTAAATGTGGAAATAATGACTCGTTAGAAAAGTTTTATACATACGTTAGAACTATCACTGATTTATACAAAACCTCACAAAAAATAAACAGATTATTATTAAAGATTATTAAGATAAACTAAAATAATCTCTCATAAAATAACTAAATTTAAGTTTTATCAATGCTTTATTTGCCTGTTTGTATTTTGGGATATGTTGTCTATGGAAATAGTTTACGCGAATCTATTATGAATTCAATACAAAATGTTTGGATTCAGCATGTAAGAAATAACAGAATTATCTAATTAAAAATTTTATTTCTGATATTTAATCCCTCGAAAATGGTTTAAGGCATTATAAATTAAGAAAAGTTAAAATCAAGAATTTAATTTTATAAACGAGAAATATTAAATTGGAGTTAGTCTATTTGAAATTATAACAGATTTTTGGAGGGACGAGGGGAGAGCTTAGGAATTTGGTGAACAGGAAGAATGGGGCATAACCTTTTTTAGATTACTTGCCAAGAACTCTCAGGGAGTGGATGTCTACTTGTAAATTAATTAATTATACCTTCTAATTTATTAATTATACTAATTAACTACCCTGGGTAATCATTGTTTTGATCTCTCGCTGGACGGGGTAATAAATAGAGGCGGGGTAATTAATAGAGGCTATTTTAGAAAGGCTAATTATAACCATTTTTAATGGAGTAATTAATGTTTCAACCTTTCGCTGGAGGGGTAACTAATACAGGCGGGTTAATTATTTGAGTGAGGGACATTAATACAGTTTCTACGGTATATTTACAAAATTTTTCCCTAAAAATTTTACTAAAATAATTTAAAAAAATATATAATTTAGACAGCCAGTTTTTTAATTACTGGACATGCAATATTTTCTATAATTATTGTAATTAATCCAATTAACCAAATTGCCGAAAAGAAATTCTTTGTACCACAAGGTCTCCTTTTTTGGTATTTTAAAAATATTTTTTTCTACCAAAATTAAAAAATAATTTTATAAATTTTTTAAAGAATTTGGCCCTTTTCGAATTATTGTTCGCGGAATTGTTCTTTTTTTGGTTGTTTTAGTTGCTGAATCAATTCCGACATTTGGGCCTCTACTCGATTTAAGTGGAGGTTCTACACAAACATCTACAGTTTTAATATATCCCTGTATTTGTTATTTATTTTTGAATGCTTCTGAACAAAAATATAAATTGAAAGAAACTAACAAAAATATTAAAATTAAATTTAATGTATGCAATAATTTTTTTAATTTTATGGTTAGTATAATGTAAGGATGATTCAACTAGAGCATTTAAGACGCAAAGCGGGGGTTAAACGATCTAAAGGGATAAAAGTGAAAGCATTAGTCGTCGCCCAGGTAGCTCAGTAATAGAGCTCCTGTATATGGTGAGCGAAAGCGCCTAACAATAACTGCCAGTAGGACGCATGTTCAATACTGCGCGGTGGCTAAACTTTTGCTAAACTCTTTCTATAGCTTTTGTTCTTTATTTTTAATAAAGATTCCAAGATTCAAGACTAGAGGTGTCTGTTCGGAACCGAACCGAAGTACCGAAGACTTTTTGAATTTTCTTCCGAAGGTTCTCCAAGAACCGTCAAGCTAGGGTTTCTTAAATCTTGAAATAAATTTTGGGAGAATTTTCTTGTTGTAATTAATTCAGAATTTTAAAAATTAATAATATACACTTGTAGAAATATACATATATTAAAAAAAAATTTTCTAATTTTTCAGGAAAACAAAGTTACGTTTTATAGTGAATATAATGAATATGCAACATTAAAAGAGTTAATTTTACTAAACTATAAATTATAATTAATTTTGTTATTTTTTAAGTGTCCTAACAATTTGTGATAAAAAAATACTTTTTCTATCCATTTTTATTATTGGTAAATTAAATTAATTAAATTCTAAAAAATATTTTCTTTTTAATTTTTTAGTTTTTGGTATTTTGGGTGGTGGGGCAGCGACATTTACAGCTATTAGAGAATTAACTTATACTCATTTTGTTCCTCCTTGTTATATTTCTGTTTTTATGAATAAACAAAAAAATGAAGTTAATTTTTTATTATTTGAAGTTTTAGTAGAAATTTTCAGACAAAACAAAGCTTAATCATTTATTTAGATACACAATGGGATTAATAATTTATTTAGGAATATATCCGGGTCAAGATAAATACACATAGAATATATTAGTATTTCTAAGAAGGTATTGCCCGAAGTACAATCTCGAAATCCTGTCTTTTTTCGGCCCGAAATCCTTAGCCGATTCGATTTTTCTCAGCCCGTCCTATCCTGATTTCAATAACAAATCCTTACATACTTTTCTTAATTTGTCAACAAATTTTTGTTATTTTAAAATAATTTTTTAAATTTAAATTTTTTCTGATTTTTAATTTAAGGAATTATTTAAATTTGGAAGTATAAATTGCTGTGGCCCAAATCAAAATATTTCAATATTTGGCCCATCAAAAGGAATTTGTTCAGAAACTAATCTTAATTTTTATGATTAATTGTATTTACGTTTGACCGACTATAATGTCCCCAGAAAGTGAATGAATAGGAATAAAATTTAGATTAATTAAATCTTATATCTGGGTATATTATAGTCGGAATATTTTAAATTTATTTTTAAAATTTAAATAAAAATTGTTAATAAAAATATTAAAAAAAAATAAATTTAGTTTTTAATTTTAATATTAATTTTTGAATTAAAACAAATTTCTGGAAATGTTAATTCCAACAATCGAATATCAAAAGATGTCCGGTCCTTCTAATAATAAATAATCTAAACTTTAAAAAAAATTAAAACACTGCGTTCCAAAATGATAACCATCCCTAGTTTTTTAGAAGTTTTGCATATTTTCCTTTGTTATTTTTATTAGATATTTCATCTAATATTCTTCTATATGTATAAACAAGATGTTTAAATAAGGAAATAGAAAAATCTTTTAATTATTTTTTATGCTTATCTAAATTAAAAAACATTTATTTTCTCAAGTTGTGGCTGAATTCAAATTTTTAACCGATCCTAGCCAAATCTATTATATTTTTCAATCTGAAACTTGATCCAAAGAAAACTTTGAAACACCTACACTGACCCGACTTTTATCCATCCTATCACTGATTTTCGAAATAATTTATGCTCACAAAAATCATGGTAATTAGTAGATAGCATGGAAGAAAAGATAAAATCATTTAAAATGTTACAATTTTATAAAAAAATATTTTACAATTTTTGACAAAATTACGAATAAAATAAATGAATTAGAAAAATGTTGTTAAAATAATTTTCAAATTGAGGCTGGACGCAGTTGCGGATTTTGGGATTAAAAAAATTAATTTAAAAAAATTTAAAAAGTAAGAAAAATTCCAGCTGCATACAGCCCTTCAAATTGTCACAAAAAAAAATTTTAAAAATAAAAAAAATTAAAAACCTTCAAAAAATACTTAAATAAATACAAATTTTGTTAAATATTTTACAAAAACCCAAAAACTTTTTTAAAAAAAATCAAAATCTCCAGTTGCATCCTTCCCTTTTACATTGTCACAAAAAAATTTTAAAAATAAAAAAAATAAAAAACTTTCAAAAAATACTTAAATAAATACAAATTTTGTTAAATATCTTACAAAACCTCAAAAACTTTTTTAAAAAAATCAAAATCTTTTTTGCCTTCTCAACCTCTTTTAATCTCTTCCCTTCAAACTTTCTCAATTTCTTTAAAATCCAAAATTCTTTTCAATTTCTTCAATTTCCTTTTCTTTAATAAAAGAAAATGTTTTGAAAATTTTATCCATCCTTTCAAAAGCCAAAATAACTTTAAAAGAATTAATTCGAATTAATACTTCCAACATTACTTCCATTTGATAAAATTTTTCTGGGTCAAGTAAATTTCGTTCAGCTTCTATCCACTCTTTAGGGAAATTTAATTCTTTAATCATTTCTTTATAAAATAAATCTAGATGTAAACTGTATTTAGATTCCTTTACTAAAACAAAATCTCCCATTAATTTAAATAAATCTTTAATTAAATATTTATAAAGAATCCAAGCTTCTGTACGGTCCGAATACCAATTCTTAATTCGATTATATATATTTGACATTTTTTCTTCTAAATATAATGCTTCTTCAAATCTTATCTAAAAAATAATTTTTTATTTAAAAAATTAATTTAAGTATGTAGAAGTTTAGTTTAAAAATTTAGACTTAAAGATTAGAGAGATAGAAGAGAGCTAAAATGGAAATTTAGCTTAACCAAAACCGAACCGAAACTTTCGAAGAGACTTGATAATGGATATGGATACAGATAACTTCAAAATGCCTGCGGATGGGTACACCTCAACGTACCGCAGAACTAAAACTTTGTTCTAAATAGTCGAATCCGGGACGTCTTGGTATGTTTCGATGCATCTTGACGAGCTGAATCGAACCATACCAGGGCGTCCCGGATTCGACAACTCTGAACGAAGTTATAGCTCTCCCGCCTGCGGATATCCAACTGTATCCGCCGTAAACAGAATCCATGTTCATTACCAAGTATGCTTTCGAGATAAATCAAAAGTATCAGTCTCGATTAACCGAAGAATGTGATAAAACTGACAGAGGTAATTGATAGATTTAAATTTGAATTTATTTATTTTATAGGGGTCTCTAAATTTTTTTTTGATTATTTAATTATAAATTTATTTACCTCGGGTTTGTTAAATTCATTAATATATTTTGAGGACTTTTTTATGTCGGATATTTTCATGTAAAGCGCATCAATTGCTTCATTTAAATTAAAATATATATTTAAACGCGATTTTAATGAACAAAATTTTTTTGCTTTTTCTGTTAAAATTTTTTCATTATTCTTTTTAGCAACAGCTAAATTAACAATATCTCCGAATTCTGGCTTGGTTTTTGTATTCTTTTTACCAATAAATAATTTAGCAAAATAGTTCCATTTTGAATTTTTCTCCGGTTTTTGTTCCTTTGTTAAATCTTTATTACTTGAATCAAGCAGACTTCGAACTCTTGAATTTTCATTTTCTAAAAATGTTTTCATTTCTTTGTTTTTATCTTTTTTTGTTGTTGCAATATTTAATAATTCTTCAGGTTCTTCAATTATTTTATAATTTGTGTTAAGGTCAAATAATTCTTGTTTTATTTCGGGACTCAGATTTAATTTATCGAGGAGTTCTTTGTTAAAAAGTTTAAACGAAAATTTTATATTTTTTAAATTTTCTAAAGTTTCAGAAATATACTCTTCTTTTTCCCCCTCTTTTTTTACTCCCTCAGATAATTGAATTTCTTTCTCAATATAAATTTTAAAAGTATTCTTCATTAAATGATTATAAACTGATTGCATCATCTTTCCTTTAAATTATTTTATTAAATAAGTTTAGGATCTCGTGTAAGTGTATGTACTCCTTTGGTTGTAAATTTAGGTTCGGATAACGGATCTGGATATCCAAAGATTTCCAACTATCTGACAACCTTATTCCTTTGAAGCCAAATTTATATATTATAATGAGAGGAATAGTGAAAGCTTTTATCTCCACAATCAGAGGTGGGTCGGAACAATCAGAGGTGTCGGAAATCGGAACTGTCGGAAATTGGAATTCTGACCCACCTCTGCCCACAATTTAAAAAATCGAATGTATAAAACAAGAATAATACCCAGATAAAATTATAGTATACATAAGAGATAATCGGCTGTGCCTGTAACGGAGAATGGAGATATAAACAGTTAATTTTTATTACGGATAAATTCATTTTAGAAGTTTTGAGACATGAATTTAATTAATTTTCAGCCCAAAAATTTTTCAAATTTGGACCGAGTCTTTTAGTTGTAGACTGTCAAATAAAAACCTTTTTTCTCAAAAATTGTTTCTTCAATAAAATTTTCTTCATGTTTTGACCAAAAATTGCTTAAAATATTCTCATCATTTAGTCCACTTTTTTTACTACTCTCAATTGAATTTGTAAATCCTTTTCTAACAAATTCCATTTGATCAACAATTTCTTTTTTATAATTACTTCCAAACTCCTCAATTTCCAAATAGGAAAATCCCCTCTCAGATTGTCCAACAATAATTTCTGTTTGTAATTGATTAATAAGAATTGTAAATTGAAGTTTATCTTGTCCCTCCTCTTTAAAAGACGGCTTTAATTTATTTAGCAGATCAAACAATTTTTCACAATTTTCAAATTTACTCAAAAAATTTAATTTTTTAACTAATTCAGTTAATTCTTTTATCGTTCCCTTTTTTGTTATCAACTCCTTTTGTAATTCCATATCCGAGAAATATTTATTGTTAACATAATCTTCCAAAAATTTCAAAAATTTTTCCAACTTCTCTTTAAAAGAAAAACTTTTCAAATTAGTCAAGCTACCATTAACAATCGCCCGCGTTTTTACATACTCATTGTCGGACTCATCCTCAACGGAAACTTCCCCATAATTTTTTAAAATTTTAATTTCTTTTACAAATTCTTTGATTTTAGTTTTTTCTTCAAATTTAATAATTTCTTTACTTTCTTTTACCAAATTTGTTTGGTCATTTATTCCCTGTTGAACAACTTCACTCACCAAAATTGTTTGTCCAAAACAAAACAGTAATATATAAAAAATTAGAATCCTATTCTCTTTCATAGAGAATCTTCTCTTAAAAAATTAAAAAAAAATTTTTTTCTTTAAAAAAATTAAACAAATTTAAATAAATTTAAAAAATTTAAATAAATTTAAAATGAAGAGGGAAATTTAAATTCTTTAAAATTCTCTTTCTCCAATCAATCCACCCCTCGATTTTTCTATTAAAAATCAATCCTGACAGCCATAAAACGACGTGTATAAATTTTAAAGGCTTCACGAGATTAATCAATTAATTAAAAGACCAACGATTAAATTTTTAAATAGAAAGATGGGCGGTTAAAGGCAAACCTCGATTTTAGGGAGAGGAGAGGGATGGTGGTAGCGGTTTTAGTTTTAAAGTCAATTTCCGGTTCCGTTTCTATGAGGGGAAATTTTTTAAAGTCAATTTTGTTTCAAATCTTGTCAAAAAACCCTAATAAAAACTTAAAAACAATTTCCTTTTTAAATTATATATTTATTTAAATTTTCAAAATGTCAATTCAGAAAATTTCAAAATCAACAATAAAAGATGGCTTATATAATTAAACAAGTAGAGCAATAAATTGTTGAGAGTTCTAAATCGGAAAAAGAGTAAAAAAAAAGGATTTAAAAGTGCCCTGTTGAGCAAAATAAAATTTAAATAATTATAGCATTATTCCCATTCTGTAGTACCGGGAGGTTTCTAAATTTTAAAAAATTATTCAGAAAAAATTTTTTATTTTAATTTACCGCCGTCATGTCAATCATAACCCGAGAAATTGTTGTTGGCATTTCTGCTTCAATACGTCTAACCATTTCCATAATTGTCTAAAAATAATTATAAAATGCCAATAAAAACCAGGGGTCGATTCCGGGGGGGCACTAGCCCCATGGATACGCACTTGATAAAAACATTTTTAAAAAGAAAATTAAATGAAGTCGGATCTCTTTATAAAATAACCCCTTGAGGGTGCAAAAATAATATAGTATATAAAACGAGGTAGGTACTTTAAAGTGAAGGTGGAAATCGTTAGACAATCGCCCCATCCAATGATGAACCAAATTTTAAGAAACTCATCCTAAACTTGACTAATTATTTCTTTAATCGGGTACATATTATAGCAAGTCCGGTGTAAAATAAAAAATAAAATCTACCTCAAAGGGAATATCTTGTCCTGGTATTGCTGGCTCTCCAGTCATAAAATCACGAGTAAGAAAAGGGCGTAAAACAATTGAACGTTTTGTACTTGGGAAGACTTGAGGCAAAGTATAAAAGCGATTAAAATGAATTGGGACTAGAACTACTGGCATCTGAAAAAATAAAATTATTTTGTAAGTAAAATATATTAAAAAAACCTGTTCTATACATTTGAGAGAATCTTTAAGTAATGGATTTGGGTTGTCTAAAGAATCCAGTCCGCGCAATGTCTGGTAGACAATTCTGTCAGCTTTTTGAATAATTTCAATTGTTGCTGAAATTATTTTAAAATAAAAACAAAAATTTTAAAAATAAATTTAGAGGTTTTAAAAATAATTTGGATAATTTTTTATTTTAAAGATAATTCAGATAAATTTTTATAAGCCATAATTTCAAAAAAACAATAACTTCCCCAATTCCTCTAATTTATCAAGCAAAGTATTAAGGATATAACCTAGGAGAAAGGAACAGGGGAAGGCCCAATTCTCTTATCAATCAAAAAAATAATAGAGGAAAAATCAAAAGAATATCCCTTAACACGAAAATACTTTTAAAATTTCCACAAAAAAAAAGATCAAAATACCTTCATTTATATGTGTAACAGTAATATCCTTAATTAAATTAGTAGTTGTTTCATGAAATACAAAAACAACCCTTTAAATATTTAATAATTTATTACTAAAATTTTAATATACATTAATTAACCTATTTACATTTTTTACTTCATTTGGAAGTATTTTAGCCAAATAATGAATTTTATCCCAAGGAATAGGTTCATCCTTTTTACAAAAGGTCAAAGCAGCAACATAAGAATAGGAACGTCGATCACCTTTAAATAAAATTTAAAGAACTCATTGAGGGAATTATAGTAGGTCAAAATAGAGTAAAAACGAAAGTAAGAAAGCTTAAGCAAGACAGGCTCTCCGGATGTCTAGAACGCTAAAATGTCTGCCCTAAAAGTTGGGATTGCTGACTGATATGAAATTTGCAAGCAAACATGTGAAAAAAATTTTTTTTAAACCTTGTACACCAACAGCTCTAATTGGGAGTAAAATGCAATCAAAATTTGGACTAAAATTTGAAACAATTGAACGAAGCTGATTTTGTGTCGCATCAAAATTTTCACACTAAAATATTCGTAGAAACATTATTTAATAAAATTCTTACAATAAATGGCACTTCAGCACAAAGAATTCGAATAGCCAAACCCGGGCCAGGAAATGGATGGCGAGTAACAATAGCCTCAGGCAATCCAAGAGTTCGTCCAAGTTCTCGAACTTCGTCTTTATGGAAATCTTGTAATGGCTCAACAACCTTTCCCTAAGAATATTTTAATTATTTAAAGTTTAAAATAAAAAAATTACCAAATCTCGAAGTTCTCTTACAAGTGCACTATCATTATGATGAGTTTCTATATAAATTTAAAAATAATATTCAAAATAAAATTATTAATTTACTAATAACATTAGCACAACCGCTAGCAATTTGTGACGCACTTTCAATCTAATAAGGATGAAAGAAATATTTTTATTAAATTAATATTTAGAACTAAATCTGGTCGTAATGTTCCTTGAACCAAATAAAGGTCATTGTCCAACTTGAGCTAAAAAATATTAATTAATTTTAAAACATTAAGATGATAAGGGTTCATAAAAGTTTTCATTGTTAATTTTGATTATCTAAGTAAGTCCGAAAGTCCCGATTAACGGGTCGGCTATTTAAAATAAAATGTGCGAACAAAAACGGGTGGAAAAAGGATGGAAAACCGGCCAACGGTTCTCTAAACCAAAAAACTAAGACTGAACTGTTTGGCCAGTTCTCCATCTCCTTAAGCAGGCCCGTAGCCAGGGGGGGTAGGGGGGGGGGAATTCCCCCCCCCCCCCCGGAATGGGAAAAAGGGAAAATTTTGGGGAAGGGCTGGGGCAAAAAAAGTGAATTTTTTTGGCCTACGGCCTTCGAAATTTTCAAAATTTACGCCTGCGGCGCTAAAAATGGAAGAAATCTGGCTTCTTGAGGTCCAAAATTCAAAAAATTTTCGCCTGCGGCGCTGAAAATCAAAATTTTGGCGCCTGCGGCGCCGAAAAAGTGGATTTTTTTGGCCTACAACCTTCTAAAATTCTTAAAATTTTCGCCTGCGGCGCTGAAAATAAAAATTTTCCCCCCCTTGGCCCCCCCCCGAAAAAAATCCTGGCTACGGGCCTGCCCTTAAGTAATGATAATGAAAGGGGTGTGACAATATGAAAATTTCAGATTTTTTTCATTGTCAAATTTTAAAAAACAAGACAAAAATGTTGACATTACAGAAAACAAATTTTTATTTTCAGTCATATTTTTAGTCAAAAAATGTCCAAAATTTAAATTTTAGTGGATCAGACTAATCAATTTAAAAACTCCTTACTTGCTCAATTGCAGCATCTTTACAACGAATAAAAGTATCACCAATAATTTTACGTTTATGTTCCGGGCACGTAACAAATTTTAAAGGTAAAGTTTCTACTCCTTTATCAATTATCCTGGCGTTCAAGAATTCAGTTAGAAAATCAAAACAATTAACAACTAAAAAATAAAAATTATTAGAATATTTTTAAAACAGTAATAACCTAGTCCAATTGCGCTCAGGGATTTAATTATAGAAGAAGATTCATTATAACGCATAAAGCCATTATCAATATGGATTGCATGCTTAAATTTAGAATTAGTTCATTTATTAAAAATAACAGAAAATGAAAATGTGAAATATCATAAGTAAAAACAAAAAATTTGAAGAATTTAAACTCCACCAAATTTCAAAAACGGCTAACGTCTAAAAAATTGGATATCTTATAAATATTTTAAGCCTTTTGTTATTTTTAGCCATTCCTGTTCCTTCCCCTGAACTCTTTTGTACTTTTTTCTAGCTTTTGCTGACGAGAACCCGTTCCCCTATTTTACCCCTCACATTTATATTTTATTTTAGAAATAAATATTTTTATATCGGATATTTTATAATTTCTAGTCTCATCCCCAAGTCCCCCCCCCGTGCTACCCTACAAATTTTGCTTGCAAGTAATCTCATTAAAATCTGCCGCCAAAAAAGGAGTCTAAAATTATTTTTGAAAACAAACCACTCTTTCAGAGCCCAACGCTTTTATACACAAAGCAGCGCAAACAGTTGAATCCACACCTCCAGAACAGAGCACCAAAACATGTTTATCCCCAACAGTTTGTCTAATTAATTCTATACATTTATGCTCTCGATTTAGAAAAGTATAACGACAAGTCAATCGGCAAACACGACGAAGAAAATTTGAAAGAATTAAAGTTCCGTTTTCAGTCAAGTCGACTTCTAAAATTAATTTTAGAAGATACTCAAAACTAGTATAAAAACCTGGATGGAATTGAAGGCCAAAAATACGCTTTTCCACTTGTTCAATACCTAGAGAGAATTTTTATAGTTTGATTAAAAGCTTTTAAAAAACCCGCAACAAATTCGCCACTCATTGCAATTATACGAAATCCAGCAGGTGGAATCGAATCTTTTGTTACTCCATCTCCGTGCGTCAAAAGAACATTCTGTTCGGCTTGAAGGCCGTTAAAGATTTCCGATTGAGGGTCAATCTTTGTAAAAATAAAATATAATTATAAAATTTAAAAAAACTTTAATATTTGTACGTCCATCCTCTCGTCTTGCATGTAAACAAACATTTCCGCCAAAATGTTTGTTTATTAACTAAAATAGAAAAAATATGTTTTTTAATAATTTGAGGAAAAATGATAGAAAATAGAGGGAGGGTTTAAACCCAAAAATACTCATGACCAAGGGCGTAACCAGGGGCTTATGGGGCTATAGCCCCACCCCCTGAAATGGGGAAAGTTAAAAAATTTTAAAAGGGAATGATCAGAAAAGTAAATTTTTTACGCCTACAACACACAATATAAAAATATATGTTCAAAAAAATTTGCGTTTGGAAACCCAAAGTAAAAGCGAAATTTTGGCGAACACCCCATTTTAGCCCCTGAAATCGACCCCTTGGCTACGCCCTTGCTCTTGATAGAAGAAAAATATTTTTAATAATAATCAATTACCTGAAACCCGTAACAAATTCCAAGTACCTAAAATTCTAGACATAAAAGAAAAATTAATTTAAAAAATATACAGGGAGTTGCCCATTAAATATAGCAGCATCATACAAAGGAGCATTATCAACATACACAGAATTTGGTCCCCCACTTATAATAATTGCACTAAAATGTCTTTTTAATTGTTAAAAATTTAATAAAAAAAAACCTGTACTTATCCCGCAATAATTGTTCCATTTTTGTGTCAAAAGGCAAAATAGAACTGTAAACATTACATTCACGAACACGTCTATCGATTAACTTAAAATTAAGAGAATATAGAGATGATTTTAAAAATATTTATTAAATATGAAGCTCTAGGTTTTGTATTTTATTAATCCTGTGGCTAACAATAAGTCAAGGCCATCTAGATTTGGCCCTTTTTTCCTACCCAATTTCCCCCTATATTTTTGCAAAATCGCCAGACTTTTTCCTTGCTTCCATCCAATTTAACTTTCTAATTTTTGCAGCATACAATAAAAAAGGATTATTTAATTCCTTTTTGGAACGAAAAAATTAAAAAATCAGACCATTTTGCAAAAATATAGGGGAAGAATTAGGGAGGGAAAAGAGGGTCTGTCCGGTTAAATGTTACCCTAGATTTCCCAGAAATCAAGCCATGGGATAAGTCATAGGTCAAGGCTCAAATCCTTTGTCCAACCCAGTAAAATTTAAAAAATCGCACCCCCAGTTTTTAGTAAAATATTTTAATTAAAAAATTTAATAAAAATAACCTTTCCATACTGAGCACCAAAATCTAAAATGGCAATTTTCTCCTCTTGTGCATCTTCCAAATTTGCAACTTTTGTCTGATCTTTTGTTGGACTATTATCTTCCATCCTGCGTTAATATTTTCTACAAAAATGAATAATACAGTGGGGTGCAAAAGTAATGACTCAAGGGTCGCGCAAAGTAATTTAGTACTATAACTTTTTAGGAGATGGTCCAAATGAAACTGATAATGGATGAAAATATTCCCCAAAGTGTCAGCTTCAAATATCTATAAAACTTGGCTAAGATTAATTTCAAATGTGGAAGTTAAAAATTTTCAAACGAGACCACCTCAATTTTAGCTGGTGCAAAAGTAATGACTCAAAATTTTATCGAATCATATCTCTGATCAAAAAATAGGTAAGAACAATTTTTCAAGATCAATTTTTCGAACATATACATTGATACTAATAAACAAAAAATCAGGCTCATATCTCTACTCAAAGTCGAGATCCAGACAATCCGAAAAAGTCAAAAATCAACGTAAAACACAGGCAGGTCTCTTAGAAAAATATTTTCGACCCCTTACAGGTAAAATAAAAATTTAATTTTAGGCTCATTCAAAAGCCCTTGAAATTTGCTACAAGATAGCCGAATCGAATTTTTCAGAAAAAAATTTCATAAGGAGATACGGACCGCTAAACTCGCGAAGCAGCCAAAAAGGTCATTTTATGGGGTAAATTAAGCGTATTTCGCTGCTTCGCGAGTTTAGCGGTCTGTATCTCTCTATGAAATTTTTTTCTGAAAAATTCGATTCGGCTATCTTGTAGCAAATTTCAAGGGCTTTTGAATGAGCCTAAAATTAAATTTTTATTTTACGTGTAAGGGGTCGAAAATATTTTTCTAAGAGACCTACCCTTGTTTTACGTTGATTTTTGACTTTTTCGAGGTGTCTGGATCTCGACTTTGAGTAGAGATATGAGCCTAATTTTTTTTGTTTATAGTATCTCTATATGCATATGTTTGATGGAATTTTTTGTGAAAAAATTTTCTACAACTAGTCAGAGATATGATTCGATAAAATTTTGAGTCATTACTTTTGCACCAGCTAAAATTGAGGTGGTCTCGTTTGAAAATTTTTAACTTCCACATTTGAAATTAATTTTAGCCAAGTTTTATAGATATTTGAAGCTGACACTTTGGGGAATATTTTCATCCATTATCAGTTTCATTTGGACCATCTCCTAAAAAGTTATAGTACTAAATTACTTTGCGCGACTCTTGAGTCATTACTTTTGCACCCCACTGTATGTAAGAAATAAAATTGTATTAATTTTACAATTAATTTTTTGACAAAACAAATATTTTACAAAATGCCAATTGAGTCTAATAGGCAAAATTTAAAAAATAATTTTATTACCGAGATGTGGGGAAAAGTTAAATTACTAAAGAATGGGCTTAAACAAATAAGCTAAATTAATTTAAGGATTCGACTCTTTGACAAAGCTAGTAGTAAATAAAGAAAAATACCGAAACTAATTTTAGACTCTAATTATGGTACTTCTAAATTGGCCACATAGTCGCGTCACTCTTAAGCAAAAAAAAGTGATTTATAGAAACCAATTTTATCTCTTGGTACTTATTGTTAGTAATACATATTTACACGTAGTAGTAGTCTAATGTAAGACTTGAACTCCAATATAATTACTGAACAAAGAGCAAAGTTCTATTTTATGGTTGAGTGGACTGCGCTTAAGTGGGCCATAACGGCGCAAAGCCATAAGCGCGGCGATAAAGCCGCAAAGCCATAACTTGCTTCAAGCTTTCCAAATCTTACCAAATTTAGTATTAAACGATTCCTCTCGACGAGCTAAAGAGATTGGTACCAAAATTGGCTAGGGCTAGAAATTTTCCAGCATGTTATGGCTTTGCGCCTTTATGGCCGCGCGCCTATTTGGGCGTTTCACCACCCTTTTGGGTCAAATATTTTTTGATGATTTTTTGAAATTTTTTTTCAGATACGGTTCAAATTTTGAAACAATTATTTTTGAGGATTTAATAAAACTTTTTAGATATTAAAAAATTATTAAATTTTTCTAAAGATGGATACTTCTGACGATTGTTCAACTAGTAAATTAATTTCATCAAATGACAACGAAAATCTTCAATTCTCTCTAAGTGCAATTATTCAAGCCCATTCGGATGATGCTAAATGTGTTATTGAAACACCTACAGGAACATTAATTAGTGGAGGGAGAGATGGTTTTATGAAAATTTGGACTAACGAGTAAAAAAAATTTTTTTATTAAAAAATTGGTAATCCTTAAGATCATTGGTCCCTAGGAAAAATGCTAAAAAAGTGAGCTTTCGAAATTTTAGAGGTTTGTCAATAGGTAATTGAGTGTGCTGAGTCTAAATCTGAGCTTGGAATTTGTCTATTTTGAATCCCGGAATTACCTTTTAACTCAATTTTTTACTCTAAATTCGACTATGTCGTTTTCCGCTGTCAAAATAAACAACTTCTAAACTCAGATTCAGCACACATGATTGACCTCTAAAATATCGAAAGAGCACTTTTTTTAGCATTTTTTCCTAGGGACCATTGATCTTACGGATTAAAAAAAAATTTTTTTATAGAGGCATAAATTGGACAAATACTTCAACTGTTCAACAAAAAGATTGTCTGGCAATAACTTCAATTGCGTTAGGATCTGCTCCAGATGCTGGTTTTGAAAGTTTAATTTTTCTTGGAAGGAAAAATGGGTCAGTAGCTATTTATAATGCTTCAAATACAGAAGAGCCTGTTAAAGTTTTGCAAGGGCACAAATCTAATGGTTCGATTTATTTTTTTTAAATTAAATTTTTTGTCATTTCAGTTTGTGCTCTTTATTTTGACGATAAAACTGGGTTTTTAATGAGTGGATCTTGGGTATATTTTATGTTTAAATTTTAAATAAATTTCAATTAATTAGGACCACAATGCTGTTGTTTGGCCGTTGGAACTTTTATTGAAAGAAGGTCCCGATAGGGTTCCAATTGGATTTTTGTCTGGACATAAATGCTCTGTTTGGGCTGTTGCAACTGTTCCTTCAAAATTGCCAAAATTTCTTACTGGTTCTGCTGATAAGTCAATTAAACTTTGGTCTAAGGATTATGATGTTATTGCTGAATTTTTTGGTAAATTAAATTATTAAATATGTAATTTTGGTGTGGACCGGTGTCCAGGGTTTTTTCTAAATAACTCATTGTTTTCGGACTCCCTAGGTCTTACTGCGTCTGATTTTCTTGGACCTGCCCTGTTATAATTTTGCCATATTTTTTTTACTACGTGCCATCTGTAGATTAGGAAATTTGGAGTGTCCCGTTTATGTTAACTCACCTCTAATTTAGAAATAATTTTAAATTATATGATCCAACAGATTTTTTACATCTTCATCTCTAAAAAATAATTAAATTTTTATTTTAGGGCATACCGATGTTGTTCGTTCTTTAATCGTAATTTCTGAATTATATTTTTTCTCAACATCCAATGATGCAACAATTATTCTTTGGGATATTCAGAATTGTACAAGACTTCGAAACTTTCTACCTCAACATGATAATTTTATATACACGTAATTATTTAATATTTTGTTATAATAACCTAGGAATATTTATAATTTTTGCTTATCAGCATAGGGAGATAACCGAACACCCCTGTATTTTTTTATTTTCTCATATTTTAAGGGTTAACCGAAATTCCCTGTAAATAAATTTTTCTTAAAATTTAAATATGTTTTCAAAAATTTTTTTAATTAAGAATGTCTCTACTCCATATTCCTTCCAAAGATGATTTTCTACTTTCTGCTGGAGAGGGTGGTTGTATTGATATATGGAAGTTGGAAGCTGATGCAAATTTGGTTCACAAATTTTCTATGAAGGTTCCTGTCCAAAGTATTTGGTCAATTTCTGCACTGCGAAATGGCGATTTTGCAATTGCTTCGAGGTTTCTATTAATTTTTAAATTAAAAATTATTTTTGTAGCTCTGGAATGGTTTTAATCTTCACAGCTGACCCATCTAGACGAGCTCCAGATGACATTCAAGAATTTTTCTATTCCAGCCAATATGAGGAACTTGCATTTAAAGAAAAAGAAACTCAAGCCGCAAAGGTTTTCTTTAAATTATCTTATTGGGAAAGATATTTTTTTATTTTTCTTTCAGGATCCCTCGTTTGATATGTCTCGCTTTTCCACTAAAAATGACAATATTGCTCCAAATGATGGATTTTTCCATCAAGTTGTTACTGAACAAAATGGAAATTCTGCAGATTACCAAGACCCCATTACTGGATCTGGGCGTTATGTTCCTGGAAGTTCTTCAGTCAAACCAGTTTCTATTGGTTCTCTTAATTTAATTTTTTTTCTTAATTTATTTTTAAGATAAAAAACGTCCTCAAAACAATTTTGTGCCTTTAGGAGATTTTTATTCGTTTGGAAAGGAAGGAGTCTCACAAAAATTATTTGCTTGTCTTTTAGACATGAATTTGACTTTATTTAAACCTTTAAAAATGACCGATGATGAGGTTAATTATATTTTTATAAAATTATTTTCAATTAAAAAAATTAAGATTTGTGCGGCTTCTCAAATTTTAAAAGATAATACTGAATTTGAAATTACTGAATGTCATGTTGTTACATTAGAAAAAGCATTGGAGTGGCCGTTGGAACGTGCTGTACCTGCTTTGGATTTGTTTAGAATTGCTCTTTTACATCCGAAATTAAATGAAATTTTTTGTTCTCTTAAGGTAAACTAATATTAAATGAAATTATATGACGAAATGTCCAGAGACTGAAATTGCCAACCACAGAAAAAGTCCTTTGTTCTTTTCTCCTTTGGCTATTTCGACCTGTTTTGAATTATCAAAATAAATAATTTAATTTAAATATTTTTTTATTTTCTAGCCAGTGCTAGGAAATCCACCAAAAGGCCAGTCAACAATCTCTCGTTTACTTTCTCTCCTTACAAAAGATTCTCCAGACCCTATTCTTATCCTTTCATGTCGATCACTTGCAAATGCTGCCAGTCATAATTATGGACGTGAAATGTTGTTATCAGCAACTTCAGCTTTTTCTTCTTTTATTCCAGAACAGCTTTATTCACCAAAACAGGCATTACAGTTATAAATTTAAATTATTATGCTGTTGAGCACGGGCGTAGGCTGAAGCCACTCAGAAATGGTCTTGATTATTTTAATTCGTCCTGCATCTCCATTATTTTCAAGGGATGTAGGACACCTGTATAAAAGTTCCCCCAAATGTTTTTCCTGTCTACGTTCTTGTTTTTAATTTATTTTGAAAGTTAAGGGGAATTTTTTTCGAAGTGTTGAGAATTTGTATAGGATTCTCATAGCTTCTATTTAATATTTGTGAGTAAAATAGGCAAATTGGTAATTAAAACCTGCATAAAATTGACAAAATATGAGCAAAAATAGGCGTTTTTAACTCATTCAGACTTATATTTTTCGCTTAACATTTTATACATACTTAAATAAATTAAAGATTTCTTCTGCAACTGCATTAGCAAATTTTGCATCAATTTTATTAAAAAATAGTGAAGCAAAATCAAATGTGACAGAACTTGGTTTTAATTTTATTTAAAACTTTCTAAACAAAAAAATTCATTTTTTTAGGTCCACGTGAAGATATTCTTCGTTCATTAATTTTAGTTCTTCAAAAAACAAATAATTATTCAAATTATTCACCAATAGCTTTATTTCGAATTTTGCAAACAATTATAATGTTAATGTGGGGACAATCAACATTAATTTATTTGGCTATAGAACAAAACCTTCCATCAATATTAAAACAAATTAAAGATGGGGTGTCTGATGAAGATATAAAATCTTTAATTAGAGATGCTGAAGGAATGATTTTTGCTATTTAAATATAAATTGGTGAAGAAAAAAATATATAAATTGTGTTCCAATTTATTACAAATTGTTTTTAAAATATATATTTTTGTGATTACAAAGTTGTAATTATATTACTTTTAAGGCCTTTATAAATTTAAAAACAATTTTAAAACAATTTTTAAAAATTTATTTTTTTTGGATTTAAATTTATTAGGTTGAGAGGAATATTTGAGAATATTTTCCGTTTCCCAAAATCACCCCGACAATTGCCAACTAATGGCTGAATTCCGAGCAATTTCTGGATTGATTCGGCACTAAAAACAGTCTTTTTTGGTGTCTGGTCTTATATAAAGGAAATTTTTTATATTTGAAATTAAAATTCTTCATACAAAATTCTAGTGAAATCCGAAACATTTTAAACCATGCCTCAGATTTTAAAAATTTGAAAATTTTTTACAGCCCGGCTATGCAACAGGGCGTTCTGACCGACCTAACCTAAGTAAAATTTCAAAAGGAAATTCTTAAGAATAATTAGAATTTCAAAATTAAAATGTTTATTTAAATAAAATTTTTTAAATTCTTACATATGTTTTTGGGTTTCAAAAAGCTTGATCTCTTGTTAATGTTTTTAATTTTTAAAATTTAAAATTAATTAAAAAATTTTATCGCTGCAAAAAAATCAATTTTAGAAATTTAAATTTATAACAAAAATCCATAAAATATGACAAAAGGCAAGGCTTGACTAAAGAATCTGATAGATAGGAAGATAGAGGGAAGTAATTAATATAGGATTTTACTTAGAGAAGCGTTTAAAGCGCATAAATTCTTATAAAAAATTTTTTTTATCCTCTCCCTCTCCCCCTAAGGAAAAATTTTTAAATAAATATTAAAAATAATAAATTAAATTATTTAACAAAATTTAGTGTTAATTTATTTTATTATTAAGCAAATTAAAAAATGTTAATTATTAAACTAAACAGTAAATTTATTCAAGTTTTTATATTTTTCGTATTTATTATAAAAATTGTTTATTGCGGTAATAGTGGTTTTTGTTGTTCTGTTGAGGTTCTTGATGATAATGAAGAAAATGTAGAAAGTAAATTTGTATTTTTAAATTAATTTGTCTATTAAATTATTTTAATTATTAATAAAAATATACCCTTATAATATGTAAAGACAATAAACTTTTAAATTTAAAATTATTTTAAGAAATAAAAATTAAAAAAATATTAATTTTCAAGATGAAGGAAATCCAAATGTTGCGGAAGAAGCTGATATTGTGGAAGATGCTGAGGATCTATTAAATGTAAGTTTATTGAGGGATTTAAAGGCAATAATCACATATCGATGCTGAGACCATCCAAATTGAATTTTTTTTAAATTAGGTATTGAACGAGAGGGAGATATTGAGAAAATGAGGGAGAATTAAATAAATATACTTCCTAATCCAATAAATTCTTGAGATATTTATTGGTGCTAGCCCTCTTTTCTATTAAAAACATTGTTTTATATGCATTTTATACTTTAATTTTTTAATTACCTAATTTTTATTTAGGACGTTGTTAATGAGGAGGGTGAGGAGGCTGAAGAAAATAACCATCAGTTTATGAATGAAGACGGCATCGTTGTTAATGAGGAGGGTGAAGAGGAAGACCTTCAGTTTATGAATGAAGACCAAATTCAAGCTTTAGCAGACGAACTTGACCCAGGGTTTGACGCTGAGCCAGCGTTTGAAGTTCCAAATTTTATACTTCCTGTTCAAAATGATGGAGAAGATTCTTTGGGGACTTCACGTAGCTCTATATTTACAAGTACTACCGATTCTTCTCGAAGAGATTAAAGAAGACGAAGATGAACATCTTAGTTTCTACTATTTATTCATTGTCTCTAAACATTTAAAAACATGTACCTCCCCGGGGAAAAGATAACCGAGTAATGATTATATTTGAAAGTATTTTTTGGGCACCTCACCTTATATTATATTAAACATTTTTAATTTTATCCATATTTATTTTTAAAATTTATTTTCTAAATTTATTTATTTTTAAATTTTATTTCTTCATTTATAACAGTAACAAAAATTTCTATTTCATTTTATAAATTAAATTATTTTAAATTGCAAATGTTTTTTATTTGATTAAATTTTAATTTTAAAAAGATCTAAAAATAATTGTCAGATAATTTAAGAACGCCCATTAATTTTTCTATAATATTATTAGAAAGTCTGAATAATTTGAAAGTTTTGAAGTTTGATTTACCCAGAAATTTTTCCTAGTTAGCTGAAGCAGATTAAAATTTTACCCATAATTATCCGAACCAACGAATCATAGACTTCCCGCAATTATCAATATATATTTTTGCTTTTATGTACTCATAACCAGTATTAATTGCCCTCCTCCAAATAATTACCCCATCCAGCGATAGATTAAAACAATAATTACCCCCAAACAAATGCCCTAAAACTAGAGTTGTACCCCGACCCCGTACCCCGAACCCCGACCCCGTTCCCGAACGATTTTTTCACGATTCTCCCCGACCCGAACCCCGCCCCGAAAAAAAGTGAAAACCCCGTTCCCCGGCCCAAAAAGTTTCGGGGTTTCGGGGTTTTATACCCCTAAAAATGTCATTTTTTGGAGAAATTAATGAAGAAAATTTAAAAAATTTCCACCCATTTTACTTTGCTTTTATTATTTTTGAAAGAAAAATGAATGAAATATCATAATTTTCTTTCCTTCTTTATTAAGAGACTTGTGGTCGAGTGGCTTGGTTGTCGGTTTTAGCGATATTTCATTAATATAGGATTGGGCTCGGATCCATATAAGGAGAACTCTTTTGTTTTTATATTTCTTTACAAAAACATATTATTAACGAGTTAAATTTTAATTTTAAAATATTAATTTTATTTTTAACTGATATCCCTTCAACGAACCTTAATCTTTCAAACCTTTTGTATCACCAGTAAGGGGTTCCCAACCATAACTATCGAGGTCCTGTTAACGGGAATCAGAGATATAAAGGGTTCTGTAGGATATCAAAGAATTAAGGAGTTAAAGGGATTTAAAGGGATCTAAGGTTTAAATTAAAATGGATTTGAAAATATTACGCGAATTTAACGGATATATGTAGATGATTAACATGGATTTCGTGGGAGATTTAAGGATTAATCCAAGATATCTCCTGATGTCCGTCCAAATACCCTTATCCGCAATACATCAATATCCTTATAAATCACTAATATCCCTTGAACCAACATAAATCACTCCAGATCACCTTGTATCCTAAATATACCATTTAATCCCTAAAGATCCCACTTAATCCCTCCAGATCCACTTATATCCCATGTTATACACTTTAATCCCTTCAAATCTCCTCTAATTTCTTCAAATCCTACTTAATTTTTGAATAAATCAACGAAAATATATCGATTTCTAATTATTTTTGAGCATTTTTTTCTCTAAAAATTTTTCCACTAAACCCCCGTACCCCGACCCGAACCCCGGCCATATTTTGCTCCCCCGACCCGAACCCCGCCCCGAAACAATTGGAAAACCCCGTACCCCGACATACCCGCCCCCGAGCGTTCGGGGTACAACCCTACCTAAAACACGTTCAAATTTCTAACCTCGTATAATTACCCTACCTCGACTAACTACTCCCTCCAGCGGAATGTCGAAACAATAATTACCCAGGGTAGTTATTAAAGGATATACGGTATCCTAATTTTATTTTTCGTTAAATGTTGAGTTCTTTATTTCTTACTTTCTTCTACATAAAACTTTTGTACCTCAAATTCTTTTTTTTTTAAACAATTCTTTTTTTAATAAAACTTTGGTTTATATTTTTCAAAAAAACTCCGTTGCTGGAGTAACCATTTGCCTAATCACTAATTAATTTATACATTCTTATAAGGCAGACAATATTTTTTAAAAAAATGTAAAGGCTGTGCCAATTGTTAGGTGTGTGAAGCCTTTCAATTGTTTTTTTTCTCTAAAGTATATTAATGTAAATTTTAAATTAAAATGAGTGAGAAAGTGGAAAAAAGAAAGAAAAAAGTTTTTTATAAATAATAATTAACTAAAGTTTTTTTTCTACTTAATAATTACATGAAAACGAAATATTAAAAAAATTTTTTCTTCTCCTTTTAAAAAATTTTTAAAATTAAAAAATGTGTTTGTCTAGAATTGGTCAGATTGCTTATGGGGGATTTGCCCTAGCTTCTGTTGGCTTAATTCTTGGTTCAATATTTACACCTGGTAAGTGAAGAAACTTTAAAAATTATTTTTAAATTAATTTGTAAGCATGGCGACAAGTTGCGTCGAATTTGCAGCAAGGCCAGCTTGGCCAATTGCCCCCATTGAATATGGGACTGTTTGCATTTGCCTGTCAACGCTCAAGTGATAACACACAGAGTGCATATAATGGGTAATCTTTAACTTGTTAATATTGTTAGGATCTGGAAGTGTTTAAGATTTTAGATATTGGGCGTAGGTTATGTAGAGATTTATGAAAAATGGATGAGAGGACCTTACAAAAAACGGGCAAAACGGCACAAAATCCTTGCTAGAAAGGGCACATTATCGAAAGAGCCCGGTCTCGACCGTTTTTAGGTCGGACGCCTCGTAACCTTTCCTTGTTAGCATGAGAGAACCACTGTTTCGGTTTTCGCATGTTCGTGATTCCTGCCTGGAGCTTTTTCTCGAGCTTTTTCCACATTCTAGTATTCTCTGATTTAAAGTTGCTTTCAGATCCTAACAAGACGTTTAAAAAATAGAATTGAGGAAATAAGATAAAGAAAAGCCCTTTTAAATTGTAAAATAAAGCGTGCCCTTTAATTGGGCGGCCGGCCTTTGTATGATATTGAAGGATAAAGCCAGGATTAAATAATTTAATTAATACTATTTATTTTAATAATATTCCAAAAAATTAATTAAGCAATGTTCAATCGGGTACAGTAAATCAAGGCTACAATACAGCAAATCAAGGTTTTAACACAGCAAATCAACAAGGATATGGAACAACAAATACTAATTATAATACTAATTATGGTAATCAACAACCTATACAACAAGTTAATTCTGGTTCAACAGCCATAACTGTTAGTACACAGAGTGGAACTCGTTATTTGGATTTGTGTATTGAAATGTGGAATGTTAGTAATTTAATTATTTTTTAATGGGGCTACGAATTTTAGTTTATTTGTAAATTTTTTTTAAATTTACAAAATTAGAGACAATTTTAAGTTTTGTTAATAAAACTTGTCTTTACGCCATTGGATTCAGGTTTTTAGCTAAAACTTTAATTTAGAAGGCTTAGGTTTTATAAGGGAAACCAGACCTGCTCATGGGAATGGATATGGATACAGATGATATCAAAATGCCTGCGGATATCCGTCTGTATCCGCCGTAAGTATGCGGATACGGATACCAAAATCAGTATCCGTGAGCAGGTCTGAGGGAAACGGTCAAAGACAACCCGGCGCCGATTATTTGGTCAATTTTTGGTCAAAAATTTTCAAAAAAATTTTAATGCCAAAAACTAGTCAGTTTTTGATCAACTACTTAAATTCATAACTTGAAATTTATTTTTATTATGAAATAATGGGTTCGCTCAGAAAAATCTAAACGAGATTCAGATTATATTCCTTTAACTTCAAACAAAGCTCTTTGGCCAACCCATCACAATATTTTCGAACGGACATAACCCCCTAATTTAAAAACCAAAATTTGTAGCCTTTATTAATTAATTTACCTAATTTACATATATTTTTCTTTATTTAAAGAACCAACCATTATCAGAAAAAATAGTTATTGTTTTAATGATTTTGGGTTTAATCACTGCTATAGGCTCTTTTATTTGGAATCTTTTAACAATTTGTGCTTGTTTTTGTCATGGATCTATTTTAAAACCTTTACCCGGACTTTCTTTTTCTTCTTTTGTTTTTACTTTAGTTGCTGTGATTATTTATTGGTCACGTAATAATTCTTCGATAAGTTGGTTTTTTATTAAAAAATAATAATCAGTAAAGCAGTTATAATTTTTAAGGAAGAAATTCCTAAAAATAAGGGGGAAATAGGGGAATAAAAAATATTTTTTTGGGAGTAAAAAATATCGGCTGTATTATAGTATACCGGTGGAAAGGTTTCGTACCATTCGATTCGTCTTGACGAGCTGAGTCGAACAGTACAACTCTTTCTTTACGGAGATGCCTGTGGACCGAAATATAGGTCCCCGAAATCGAAAAACCATGGGGGGAGTGAGAGGGAGTAAGCTCGATTTTGAGGTTTTTACAAACGAAAATTAAGAATGTTTTAGAGTTGCTTTTAAAAAAATAAAAAATAATAATTTTCTAGATCAACTACAAAGTATTACAAGTATTCAATCATTGAACAGTCAAAGTGATTTAAGTTATAGTTTTTATTTGGCATGTGGTTCTGCTGTAGCTTCTCTTGCAAATGTTATTGTTGGAACTCTTGTTGTGTTTTTAGCTGATAAATGTATATAAATAAATATTTCTTTATTATAAATAGAAAATGATACTAAAAAAGATTTATATATTTCTTTAATCATTTAAAATAAATTTAACTATAAATATTTATTAGCATTTTAACATTTTTGATTAAAAATTAAAAAAATTAGTATGTAAAATATAATTAGTATGTAAAATATCAATTTCCTTACCAATTAGTGGTTTTTAATTTCATTTGATTCTGAGTTAAAGCTAGTCAGGACGAAGGGCGAGTGCATTTCATTTACTTTATTGCGCATTCCGTTATCATGCATTTTGCGTAATACTTTAATCTGCGGACAAAAGAACAATGCCTTCCCCTTGATCAGAAACTGTATTAACTCAGAATAAAAAAGTTTTGAATATACCTATGTACCTATTATTATCTTACTAAATTTTATTTAATTTGAAAAAAAAATATTTTTTTAATTAATTTTATATTATTATTATTAATTTGCTAAAATATTTTTTATAATAAAAATTATTATTATTTTTTGTATATTTTATATTGTAAATATTTTTTGTATAAAAATTAAAAAAATTTATTTTTTTGTATCATCTATTTTTAGGATTAATTATAAGCTCCCATTATCTACTATTTTTAAACAATAAATAAAAAGGTTTGTAGACAATAAAATGAGGGATTTGACAAAACAAGGATATTTTTAGATAAATAAAGTATTTATATAAATAGGGGGAATTATTTATTTAATTATTAAATTTAATTTAATTAACATTTTTAAGCTTAAAAAGCTCGTTGAGCCCTCACTTACTTTTTCGGTTATAAAAAATTAGAATATTTTCAAAGACGCTTTAGGAGCCTTTAAAAGCTAATTAAATGCAATAATACGAGAAAGGAATTGTCTCAATGAGAAAATATCCCATAAACCTCCAAAGAAACCAATCTGTTGATAAAAGTGGAAGAGATCTATCTCCTTGGCCTTCAAAAATTCACAAAATTTTTGACTGCGGCGCTAAAAAAGGAAGAAATCTGGCTTCTGGCCCTCCAAAATTTTCAAAATTTCGCCTGTTCCATCTCCTTCTTCTTATTTATGTTATAGATTATTTTTAAAATTTTAAAATTAATTTTTTCTTTCAATTTTTAAATTAATAAAATATTATTTTATAATTAAAATATTTTTTTTCCCAATTTTCTTTTAGTTAAAAAATTAAAAAAATGTTTATTTATTTAATTATCATCTATTTAACCCAATTATTTAATTTAACATTTTCTTCTTCCACATTAAATGCAGCAAACAATAAAGGCCCTTGTTATGATCTAACAGCAGATAATTATTTCCCAAATTCAAATATTTGCCCAAACGAAGCTGAGAATGCTGTTGACCCGGAAATTCCAACAGAAAAATTATGTAGTACAACAACTAATGGAAGATTTAATTTAATAGGGCTATTAAGAAATGGAAATGCTGTACCTGATATAAATAAGGAAAGAAATGAAAATTGTGAAATACCGGGTTTTTAATAAAATAATTTGAAAAATTATTTTATTTAATAGATCAAATTATTTATTCAAGTAGATGTAGAAAAAGTTGCAGAACATGCTGTTTATTGCCAGAATATGGAAGTTGTAAAGGTAAAGAGATATAGAAAGAGTTTAGCAAAAGTTTAGCCACCGGGCAAGGTTAACCTACTCGCCCGGCCTTCGCAAATGCAGGTGCTCTATCACTGAACTACCAGAGCATCGACTAATGCTTTCTTTTATCCTTTTAGATCGCTTAACCCTCGCCTAAGCATTTTAAATGCTACTAGGTAAATCATCTTTACAATATTTAAATTGGAAGAGAGTTGGAAGTTTGAGGAGTTCATAGACTTTGCTCATAAGTAGTTATTGTTAAGTAACTGGATACCCTAATTCTGACCATGATAAAGTATTGAGCCGATAATTTTTAAATGTAGATAGTAATCTAAAAGTTTGACTATCTTCTAATTCCTGAAAACATTCCTTTATGGAGTACCTAAAAATGTCTGAAAGATTTTCCGACCGTATAATAAAAGAAGACTGCCTTCAAGTTAAAAAATCTCAAAAGAAATTATAATTAAATTAGTAAATACAATAAAGAATTCCTTAAAATCCCCATCCTTTTTATTAAGTTCAAAAAATCATTCTAGATTCAATAACCAATTGCCAAATATCTCAGTGTAGTGATTCAACATATGCTCTTAATCAATGTCAATCAACGTGTGGAAAATGTGTTGAAGTTATTAGACAAAATAAAGATTTGGAATATTGTGTGGATAAACAAAATAATTGTGCTAGTTTAAAGGTAGAATATTTATTACGTGTCGATATTCACGGCCAAACTGTAATAGTGATGTTTGGTTATCCCGATCCCGACTCACAAATCGGGAAATTTACCCGAGTGTTTGATTTCCCGATCCCAACTCCCTAGGACATTTCTCGACCCGCCTCCCGTTTCCCGGGTTTTTCTTCCCCCGAACATCACTAAACTAACTTGTAATGTATAAGGGTGAAGAAGTATTTGTATAAGTGTGAAGAAGTATTGGTCCTTAAAGCACACTGTTAACCTGAAGTTTTTTGAGAGCAGAACCAACGGTCAAAATATTTGTTACTAAAATATTTTGTGGCTTAAAACTGTTCAAAAAATAAAAAGATTGTTTTTTTGGGTAGTCCACAAACATTTCTCTTTTCCATTTTTTAATAATTAAAATCCTTTTTTTAAAGGAACAACAAAAATGTGTCGATCCAGATATCCAAAAAGATTGTGCTTTAACTTGTAATGATTGGCCAATTAACAGTATTTGCAGGAAATTTACCCAGGAAGTGCGTTCCACATTAGGTATCAGTGCACCTGGTGGACAAGTTCCTGGAGGAAATGGTAGGGAAATTAAATAGGACTTTTTATAAAAAAATTAATTTTTAAGTTGCTGGAGATATTGGAACAAATTGTGCAGAAAACAAAGAACTTTGTTCAGAACAAGTAATTTTTTTTTAATTTTCCAGACTACTATGCATAAGATTCAATATTGAAAAGGCGGTTGGAAATAGTCTCTTATAATGAATATCTTAAATAAGAGGTATTGGCTAGACAGCTCCCGTACCCAGTAGCTAATCATTAGCCACCCCACCAATTAGCTCCACAATAAAATTTAATATTTTATTTCTAAAGTTTTATAAAGAATTTATGGAACAATATTGTAAATCAACATGTACTAATTCTGTAACCTCAAAATCTTCAAAAGAATGTAAAGACAAAAAACACACAAAGTTATAGTTTTAAAAAGTTTTATTTAATTTATTTTTAAAGTTGTGTTGTTTGGAAAGTGAATGGTTTTTGTGATAGCGACTTTTATGGAGATGAGATACGTGATGAATATTGTAAAGAAACATGCCATAGATGTTAATATAGTAAAGCAACGGGGCTATAGCTATTTCTCTCCTTTAACTCGTGCAAAGGGTTAATCGGTGGCTGGGTGCGAACCAAGCATCTTTAGTAGACCGAACTGATTTATCCATTATCCTTCACAGCCTTAGGAAATAAATAGCTATACTATACTTTACAATATTTAATTTTCTGTTCAATAGATATTAAATGTTAAATAAATATTTTTCGAATTTTCTAAGTAAAATCTTTAAAAAATATGTTAAGCTCCTCTGCAGAAAAATTTAATAAAATAATTATTAATCTAAAAAAATTTTTTTTTGTTCAATTCAAAGATCAAACAAATTTAATTTTTTTTTCACCTGAAAATTAAAATTATAAATTACAAATTATTAAAATATAAGTACTATTTAATTATAAATTTAATTATATATCAGATACTTTTATTTAATATTTAATATATTAAAATTTAATTTGCCCGTTTTAATATGTACTTTTTTTCTATTACATACAATTAAATTAATTTTAAATTGAAAAATTTTTAAATTATTGCCAATTAAATATTTACACTCTGTTTCAAAATTATAACCTAATTAAAAAATTTTTATTCTTTTAATGTTCATTTTTTTAACTTTTCGAAACTTACCAATGTATTTCCAACTTTTTTGTTCTGACTTTTGACAAGGTCAAAATTCGTATCAGAATTCAAATCTTTACCAATATTTTGACTTTTCTAAAACCTCGTCAAAATAATTTTGACTCCAAAATTAACAACCGTAAAAGCTGAAATAATGTGTCTGTCATTCTCTCAAATAATTACCCTTTACAGCCAGAGATCGAAAAAATTGTTATCCCTCCTAAAATTAGTTATAATTAGCCTTTTAAAAAGCTCAAAATTACTCCCTCAATTTTAATTACCCCCCCCCCCCAGTGAGCGATTGAAACAATAATTACCCTGAGTAATTATTTGAGCAATACATATTTTGACTCTGACATATTCGAAAAACAGCAAATAACAATTTAAAAAATAATAGTCATTATTTTAATAAATTGTTTGTTGAAGCGAAAAGATGTAAATAAACTAGCTTAATGTAAATAAGAATGACATTGTTAAATATTTTAATTACTGTCGTCGATAGAAAATGTGTAAAATTATTTCTTTACGCATTTATGGCAACAATTATCAAACAAACAAATAATTAAAATATAAAATGAGAAGAAAAGTGAACCATCCGTTTCTAATTACTTTAAAAAGTACCAATTATCTTATTTAACAGTTTTATCTTTAAAACTGCCATTATTTAGAGTTTGAAAGTTTAACCCTTTTAATTTTAAATAATAAAAAAAATTTGACCGTATCTGAAAATAATGCGGCAATCAAATTTTTTCCTTCATTTTTTCCTTTCCACATTTTTCCTTATTTTGTACAGAAAGGTCGGACTTTTTCCCTCGTTCACTTCAAATGGACGGACTCAGACAGACAAAACAAAGACGGACTCGGACAGAAAACACGGCCGAACACGGGCAGACAAAACAAGGACCGTCCGTGTTTTGTCTGTCTGTGACCGTCCGTGTTTTGTCAGGACGGACCCGGACAGACAAAACACGCACACACATCGGTCAGCTAAAACACGGACAGAAAAAACGTAAATGCTCACAAAATGAAAGAAAAATAATCCTTTTGCGTTTATAGTCTTAAGGCAAAAACCAAAAATAGAGAGAAAAATATAAGAAAATTAACCATTTTTAAGAATAAGGAAAAAATTTGATTGCCGCATTATTTTCAGATAGGGCCAAAAATTTTTTAAATATTAAAAAATTTTTTAAATATTAAAAAAATTTTTTTTTTAATTTTCTAAATATTATTTAATGAATAATAAATATTAATTAAATTACATTTTACTCTAGAGAATTTTTAAAAACGAGCCAATTTAATTTTATTATAAAAAATTATTATTTTATGTCAAAGTACTTTTACCTTTATTTTATGAAAAATTATTTTTATTAAATTATTTTAGTTTAATAAAAATTTAAAGCTTTTTCCTAAAATTGAGAATTTAAAAGCATAGAAGATTTTAAGTAGAGACCGGACCGAGAAGAGATTTCAATCGAGATCGAAAATCCCGGGATCTCGATAAATATAAATTCTATTACATTAAAGAGAAAATCCCCCTTCCATTTTTTATTTATAGAAAATTTTCCCTAACTTTTTGAGATCTTGATTCTCGATCGACACTCTCAGTCTGGTCTTTAATTTTAACTAAATAATTTATTTTAAAAATTTAATCTTTTAATTTATCTATAATTATTTTAAAATGCCAGAATTTAATTATTCTCCAATAATTAAAAAATAATTACATACATATATCTCGAATGATTACTCTGAATTGTTTCACATTTTTCCAGAGGGGAGGGGGGAGGGAGTATAAGTTGAAATTATTTTGAAATCTATTTATAACTATTTTAAGAGGTAATTATTGTTAAACCCTTTGCTGTAATTACTTGAGAGGATAATTATTTGACTATATATTTTATGTAATATGTTGAAATTTAAACATAAAATTAATTAATTTATCAGACGTAAAATAATTAGTTTTTAATTTAAAAAACTTTTCGAAGTATAAAATCCCAACAAATACAAATTTGAATAAACCAAACTTTTGAATAAATTTATTAAAATTATTTGCTCGTTCGTACACTTTTAATTAAAAGAATTTATTTAAATAAACATTTTAATTCATTTAAAATTTTTTAGAATTTTTTTCTAAATTCTTAAAAATGTCTGCAAATTTCTCTGATGGATTACAATTGACAAATTATGTTTATTATGATGTATGTAAGCGTGAAAATAAATATTTTTAATTTATTTTATTTTGAAAAAACATTTTGAGAACAAAAACAAAGAAAAATAGGGGAAAATCAATTTTTTCTTTAAATCTTTTTTCTAAATTTTAATTTATAAATATTTTTTAATATTTGGAAAAATTTATAATTTACCAATTTATAAAAAAAATTTACCCTTAAATTTAATATGTATATTAAACAATAAAAACAAAGCTATCCAGATCTTGCGAGAACAAGCGAGACTACTCCCTTCACTAACTTTTTGGGATTTATATTTTAATAACTTAAGCATAATTAATAATAGAGAACAGACCGGACAGAGATTTCACTCGAAAATTTTATTTAAAATTAATAAATAATTTAATTAAAATTTAAGATGTATGTTACATATAAAAATGCTGGTCCATCGTTTATGCTTTGTTTTATGTCAATTGTTTTAAATATTATTGTAATTCCAGGCATTTTTATGAATGCTTCAATTATTTATGTTACAATTAAATATTATAAGTAATTTAATTTAAATTATTTTAATTTTACATGTGTTACATATAATGAAAAAATGCTGCCATACCCCCAATAGCGTTAAATTTCTATACCTATTTTAAATTCCAGAACACTTCGAGGGACATCAAGCTTTTTGTTAGCTTTAAATGCTTTTTATGAATTTCTTCATGGATTTGCCCATCAAGTTTTTTTAGTTTCTGCTTTGTCTGGAAGAAATTTTATTTCATATTGGACAGTTTTTTGTTGGGAAGTTATACCTCTTTGGGGGTGTAGTTCGAGTGTTGTGACTATAGCATTGACGGGATTGGATAGACTTTTACAAGTTAGCTACCCAAGCTGGTTAGTGTTTTAAATAAGTTATTACAAACTGAAAAGGCTCCTAAAATACCTCCTTAGCAGGGGTGTGCCGAAACAGATTTTAAAAACCGAAACATGAAAGATGAAAGGTGAAAGTCCAAAAAGGCAAGATATGGTGTAAGATGAAAGGCGAAACGGCACACCCCTGCTCCTTAGGCTTAGGAGGTATTTTAGAATTTCCTTCATTGAAAAAATGTTTGTCTGTTCTTTAAAAAACTAAAAAACCCTTAAAAATATTTTACTAAATTTTCTAGGCACGAAAATGTTAAAAAGAAATTTTATCTTGGTTTTATGGTTATTTTCTCGCTTGGTTGTGGTTCTTTAGTTGGATTAAAATTTTGGGATATTGCTACAAGATTTCCAGACGTCCCTCAAACTGGCACTTTAAGCGATGTTTTCCTTTTTGAATTTAAACCTCTTTTCTTTGTTTATATGGGTTTATGTAATAGTTTAAGTATTGTATTTTATATTGCTATTTTTGTTTCTGTTCATCGACAAACAGGTAAATATTTATTAATCTAAAATTTTGAGACTCTTCTAAAGAAATATTTAAACAAGGGTTGTGTTTTCCATTAAGGAATTGCCTAGCTATGTTTTATACTTATTAAAAACATTTCCATATATGTACCTGGTATAAGTTAAACCTTTACTAATCTCGAGGGTGATTAAGCATTGAATTGATAATTTAACAAATGTTCAGAATCATTAGCGCTGTTTTTATTATTAGTCTTAGAAGAGAACAAAAATCTTATAAAATTTAAAGCATGCATTAATGAAAACTTAACCTACATATTCCTAGACTAAAATAATATACCAAGACATACATGCACTCATTTAGTAGTCAATCCCATAAACTTCTAATAAATAAAATTAAAAAAAAACTTCCTAATTTAATTATTTAAAGCAACAAATACAGCCGTTTGTAAAGAAAGTAAAAATAATGCAAAATTATTTAAATCAATGTTTACAATCGTTTCCGTAACCATTGGATGCTATTTAATGTCTGCAGCTGTTCGTTTAGTAATTCTTCCACCTTTCCATTTGGGGGAAATTAATGTTTGGATAATTGAATTAGCCTTTGGAACTTTATTGAATTTAGGGGTTGCTTTAAATGCTGTCGTTCTTTATATCTGCAGGTAAAAATATTTGGATTTTAGAAGATTGGGGATGGCCTCTTTTCTGCTTCCGTCTACCGTTTGAGATGGACTCTCTCTAGAAATGGGCTCTTCCTTTTAATATTTGAAGAGCCTATCTCTTAATTCCCCAAACTCAAGGATTTTCAAATTTTGTAAGTATTCTCTGTCCTGTTTTAAATAAATTTATTTGTTTATTCACAACTTTCTAATAATAAATATAATAATAAATAATTTTATAATAAAAATTATTTTTAATATAAAATTTAAGAAAAATTGCTTTTCAATATTTGATAAGATTCCAGATACATTTTCCTATAGGCAAAAGATATAGGTTACCTATAGGTAAATTATTCTATTCCGCAAACTCTTCAAAATTTTAATTAAATAAAAATTAAATACAATTTTATAGCCAAGAATATCGTAAATGTTTTAATCGTGAATTATTACTTTTTGGGTCTCTTTTTGGAATTATTCGACGTGTATCAAGTAAATTAATTTTAAATTTAAAAAATTAAAAATTTTTTTAGTTTTTTCTGTCACTGGTTTTCGATCAACTACATTAAATAATCCCGAAATAAATAATAATAATAATAATCAAACTGAAGGGACGAAGAAAAATATTAAAAGAAATGGAAATAGAGTTGCACCTTGTGATCAATTTTAAGATTAAATATATATACCTATATACCTATGTACAATATAAATCCTTCAAAACTTATTGTATAGAGAAGGAGTTAGGAGCGGAACAGTTTGGAGTCTCTAACATTAGCTCGAATCTATAAAATCCAAATACATAATACAATCTAAAAACACATTCTATAAAAACCATATAACATTTTAAAAATATCTCTAATACCGTAAATGCTGAAATAATTACCCTCTCTCAAGTAATTACCTTCTCTAATAATTGCCCACTAGATGTCCTATGCTAATTTTAAAAATATTTAAAAAGTTATTATCAAATTTTTTTATTGGGAAATTTTAAGACTTAAAATCAAAAAATAAATCAATTTTACCTGAGATATACCCAAAATCCAGCACTTCCGCCCTATTAAATCCCCCTCCAGCGAGTGGATGAAACAATAATTACCAAGGGTAATTATTTTCGGTATGTACCCGAGCTCTACAAAATTTATGTATTATAAATTTTTTCAATTAAAAATAAAATTTTATATTTATTTATATCGATGTCAAATAACTTTAGGCTCTGTTAAGATTTATTTAAAATTAAATTTTTTCCCAATTACCAAAAAATTATTTAAAAATTTTTAAATTTAAATTTTTAAAATATAAATTAGTATATAATAGATATACTTTTTTGTTTGAACCAACATTAAAAAAATTTTAAAAAATAACGAAAAATTAACGGCGAGTTTTATCTTCAATTGAAATTTTTGAAAGTTTTCTTTTATTTTCGATTTAAAAATTTTGAAAAAGAAAATTTGAATAAAAAATTTTTAAACCGGAAATTGGTAAATAAATTAAATAAAAAATATTTTAAATAAATTTATATAAAAAATTTGAGCATCTGTTTATTAAACCACGATTAATTTTATTAATTTTTATAAATAAAATTTTAAAGGCAATAAAAAATAGAGAATTTTGGTTTAATATATAAAATTAATTAAATTTACAAAAATTTATTTTATTTAAATTTTAAATTTTAAAAAAATTAAAAATGTCAACCAAAAAATATTTTATTTTTCTTTTTGTATTAATTATTGGAATTGTTGACGGAAAAAGTAAATTTTAATTTAATTTAATTATTGTTTTTTAATTTGAAAAAATTTTAAAAAATCCTGCCAAGAGTTTTTTTGGGTTTTCTGCCTGTAGCTGCCTATGATTTTTCCGAATATTATCGAATTATATAGTGGAACTGGGTTAAAGACCCCTAAAATTTTAAAAATAAATTCAAAAAATTAAAAAAAAATATTTTTACATTAAAATAATTGTAATATCAAAAATTACATAAAATGTGAATAAATCGAAACCTTTTATTAAACAATGGCACCAGAGGTGGGTCGAAACAGTTAGAGGTGTCGGAAATCGGAAGAACCGGAAATCTGGACTCCGACCCACCTCTGAATGGCACTTAACATATCGGAATATTCCCTATTTACATACATGTTTTATGGAAAATAATGCCTTTCCTAGGAGTTTCATTATAACTATATTCTATTTAAATTACAATTTACAGAAAAGAAAACAACACCAAAAGCTCCTCTTGTTAAATCAAATATTGATAATAACACCAATAATAATGATAACACAGGCCTAACACCTTTTTGTAACTGTGCCAGTGTAACTCCAAATTTTGGAAGTGATACAGATATACCTCAAAATCCGTGTGTTCCAACACTTGCTTACGACCAAAAAAGTATTTGGATAACTTGGAATAGACCCGACAATACTGACAAAGAATTACTTGATTATAATGTTTATATGAATGGAAATGTAAATAAAAAGGGAATAAAGTCTAAAAAAATCTTAATTTTTAGAAAATTGGTTCTTCTTCAGAAAATGCTAATAATTATGCAATTTCAGCCCCATATATAAATAATTTCCATAATGTTGACAAAAATAAATTTCATGTTCTAACATTGTTTAACTCTTTTTATGTAGACAATTTAGAAGCAAATACTCTCTATAAATTTACAATTCGTGCAGTATATTCTGATGGAGAATCTGAAGATAGTGTTACTCTTACTGCAAAAACTGCTCAAAATTATGCAAAAGTATAGAAATATATAAAAATTTAGAAAAAAATCTGACTTAACAAGACCCAATAATTTCAAAATTTTGATTAAATATTGAAGGATTTATGGCAAAAACTGTGAAATTAAATGGCAATTTTTACTGAAAGGCTTAATAAGACCCTATTCTTAATGATTTTTTCTAGATATATATATTTTATTTTCATTTAGATAATTGATATTACTGAAAAAGGTGCTAATGGAGACGGAAAAACAATAAATACTGATGCTATTCAAGGAGCTATAAATAATTGTGGGCAAACCTCTTCGGCTTTCGACTGTAAAGTTTTGGTCCCAGAGGGTACTTTCATTTCTGGGGCTTTATTTATACAAACGCCATTAACGTTGGAATTGGCTGAAGGGGCTATTTTACAAGGATCGGGTGAAAGTAGCGATTTTCCTAAAAATAAAGGAAGATCTGGCAAACCTCCATCACTTCTTAATGTTGTAAGTTAAATAATAATTTTTTAATATTATTTTAATATTATAAAATCTTTTATAATATTTAAAATAGACTGGGACATAATTCCGACCCAAAAATTTTTTCTGGCCCAAACTTTGAACGCTTAGAGTAACAACTAGTTAAATCCAACTGGAGAAGACCCTGACTTCTGCTTTGAAGATTCGGAGTATAACATTGAATCCTCTACTATATGTATAGTAGTTAACCCTATTTTAATTATCACCCAACATGGTTAAATTTATTTCCCTAAATATTAAAGATAGACAAACCAGTAACAAATCTTCGAATTACCGGAAAGGGTTCATTTAATGGTAATGGCTGGGAAACTGACCAAGTTTTGGAAGATGAAGTTGGAAATGAAATGCCTATATATTCTAAAGGAGATTCAAATGATTATAGCAAAGGAATTCTTGCAAGAAGCCAATTATCTGGAGGAGTTCCTTCCAAAGTTCTCGTTCTTCTTTGGCTTCTTTTTGTCGTGTAACAAATTTATTTATTTTTTTACCCAATATTTTAAAAAATATACCCTTCTTTTCACGGATTGGAATTTGACTATAGCAGTAACATTGTAGGTTTTTTTGAAATGGATTTGATTTATCTTAACGGGTAATTAACATATCGTCAATGTGTTTTGATAGTTTTTTGAAGTTTCTTATGGATGGAGACGAATTTTTAAAGTCAAAGGGCAAACTCGTTATGTTAGAGCACTAGATACATTAGGATATCCCACCACCGATTGGGATTCGTTTTAAAAAAAATCTTAAAGGCTATAATTAACAACCGAGTATTAACATATGCCGTAACTAATGGAGATGGAATTGATCTTGGCGGTTGTTCCAATGTCCAAATACTTAATAATTTAATGGATACTGGAGATGATGCGTTTGCTTTATCTGCCGGTGCTGGTCGTACTGGCGAAAATGGAAACCCAACAGAATGTATACTCATAAGAAACAATTATATTAGACACAGTCATGGAGCACCGTCAGCTGGAAGTCATACAGCTGCTTGGATAAAAAATTTACTTGTTGAGGTATTTAAATAAATAGAATTTTGTAGTCTGTTTGAAAGCCCCCAGAAAAGGGCTTCCAGGAAACAAAGAGCTAAGTTAGCTATTAATTATCCTTACATGTTCTCTCATTCAAACTAATTTTAGTATAATTTTAAAAGTTTTATAATGTTTATGGTAAGTTAATTGCTTAGAGATATGTAAAATCAGACCTGGTCACGGATACGGATAAAAAGATCAGTATCCGTGACCAGGTCTGTGTGAAATCCTTCACCTAATTTTGGAGGAGGCTCCATTAAAGAAAGATAAGCAAAGATAATTTTTATTTATTTGTCTATTTAAGTACAATGTAATAGTCTCGGCATCAAATGGTATTCGCTGTAAAAGTAGCCCGCCAATGGGTGGAGGTGTAATGAATGCTGTATTCAGAAATATTGCAATGTTAAATGTTGGAAGTAAAAATACAGCAAATTTAGGAAATATTCAATTAGATGGAATAACAGAAGAAGGATGTGCTATAGTTTTAACATTAAATTATTTGGATGAAACAAGTGATTTAAGATTCCAAAAAGCAGTAAATTCAGCAAATTTTGAAGAAATTGAATTTAGTGAAATAACTATAGATAATGTTAATAAAGGAAATTCTGGACCTTCTATTTTAATGGAGGGATATGATAAAAGCCAAACTAATTACCCAAAAACTTATTTAAAAAATATTGTAAGTTTATTTTAAATGATTGGAATAAATTGAGAAATTGAACGCTGGACCGAATAACTTTTAAACGAAGGGTCCAATTATTACAATATTATTGGGCAGATGGGAGATAAACATTTTTGTTAGAAAATTTAAATAAAACTTGTGATTCAATCATAGTTACAATTAGAAGCAATCAACACGTCACCGTGATCGACAGGTCGATTAATCACCGTGATCGAATAATTTAGGGGAAAGTTATGCACAGTTATTGTAGCCCCTTCCATAAGGGGAAGGAGATACTCTTTTAGAAATATGACTTTTTTCATAATCAAACAAATATTTTATCAAATAAAATCAGATTAAATTTGATTAAATATTCGTTTGGAATTATATTCAAAAGTTATTTGGCTTCACTTTCAAGCAATGAGAATTTAATTAATTTAAATTATTAAATTTATAGTTAGTCAAAAATTTAAATTTAACAAATGTTTCTCCAATACAAATAACCCAATTACTCAATAGCAGCTTTGTTAATGTTCAAATTAATAATTTTAATGGCAATTCTGCTTGGAAAATAAATGATGCTCAAAAATTAAAATTTGAAAATGTTCCTACTCTTAAAAGAAATAATTGGGCTTAATTTTAAAAAATAATTTGGAAAATTTAAAAAATAATTAATTTGGGTTTAAATTGTTGGATATATCAGGGGTTTTATAAAAAATAACGGGATGGGGTTTGGGAAAATAGAGTTGAGAGTAACACAGAATAAAGGACCACAAAAATTATCATCTATAACTTTCAGTAAGATTTCCGATTTCCGACACTTTCGTCCTTTCCACTCTACATCTGTTTTCAATTTAGTTTAACAAATGCTTAAAATTCTTTCGAATATTAAATTAATCTGATAAAATCTTTTAATTCTTTAAAACAAAATTACAACTCAAAATGACCTATTGAAAAATCTAAACCCAGGGCTTATATGTATTAATTTACGCCAATCTTTATCTAGTCAAATTTCTCATCCATTATTAAACTTCAAAATAAAGTGCAAGTTTAGCAACATTTTCTAACAATTTTCTTTCCAAATAAACATCCAAATCTGCAGAACTTTTTATTTTATTTCCAACTAATTCTTCATAAGCTCCCTCTTCATAATTTTTTAATCCAACCAAATTCGGCATTTTCCCCCAATATTTTAAAAATATTTTTTCAGTTATTAATTTATCAAAAAATATTTTTTTAATTTCACTTTCTTTATTTAAACTATTTTTTGGAAATAAATTTATAGCAACAAGAAAATCTAAAGCAGTTAAAGCATCAGTTAAAATTGCTTGATTTTTTGTCGCAGAATTGTGTAAATCTTCCGCTTTTATAAATAATTTGTGCTAAAAATTTATTTTCTTTTTAATAGTATTTTAAACAAATTATGCACCGTGAGCATTTAAAATGCCTAAGGGTGCAATAATGTAAGGGTTAACGGGTACACCCCAACTTGCCGCGAACCCAACTTACCGCAGAGCTATAACTTCGTTCAGTGTTGTCGAATCCGAGACGCCCTGGTATGGTTCAATTCACTCGTCGAGGCGCATCGAACCATACCAGGGCGTCCCGGATTCGACAACTCTGAACGAAGTTATAGCTCTGTTGTAAGTTGGCCTGCTCCCCATAATAACCTTGTGGTTACCTAACTAACGTCACCTGCCCCGTGGCCACTAAACTTTTGCTGAGCTCCTAATTAGAATATATACATAGTTTTCTGAAATCGGCCCCCTTCTACATAGGCTCTGTTCATAACAGAGCCTATGTACCCCGATTTTTAAAATTTAATTGTAAGTATGATTTCAAACTTAACTGAAACTATTATAAAATGATATATTATCTATATTCCATATTATAATTAGGGCTCGGATTTGTATTGAAATATATTTTTTGCATGAATATATTACATTTGTCGAGAAAAGACCAAATTATGCCATTAGTTTTTTGATTATGGCCATATTTTCCGATTTTATTTCAATATAAATCCGAGCCCTAATTATAAATGCTCAAAAATTTTTTTAATTAATGAAAAATTAAAAATATTATAAATATTTTTAATTATTCATTAAATACCTTTTCAATATCTTGCGGAAAAAGATAAGCCCTAGTTGCCATTTCAAATATTTTTTCAAAAATTTTAATTTTTATAAAAATTGTTAAAAAATTAATTTGTTCTTGTTTAATTAATTTTAATTTAATTTTTAATTTATTTTTCTTTTTTTCATCATTTAAAGAATATAATTCATTTATTAAATTGTCCAAATATTTCTTTAAAGGAGTATCTGACAATGACAAATTATCACCGACTTCAGAAACAAATATTGTTAATGGAAATCTAATTAATTCTTCATAGTCTAACTAAAAAATAAATTTATAAATAAGTTAATCTCAATTTTACCTAAAAATCGCCTGTTAAATACCGTCGTGGGGGAAGCGTCGACGGGCAAAAACCTAATGGAAGAGGGCATGTTTGGGATCGTGCGTCAAACATATCAAAAGGATGAGGGCGTTGTTAGCATCGCAGGGTGTCGGAGTCTGGCAAAAACCTTAAGGGAGAGGGCATATGGGTCAGGGCTGGGGCTTTTTTTTTGCAATTGCGAGTGCGGATTTTTAAAAAGAAATTTTGAGTTGCGGATTGCAAGCTGCGGAATCTTTTTTTTCGATTGCGCCCAGCCCTGCTATCGGTAGTGCCGTGGGGTGGAGGTTTCTAAATAAAATCTTGACCGAAAATAAATAAAAAGCTTCATCAATATTTCTATGATTTTTTGCTTCATCATTCCATATCTTCAAACATTTTTTAAATCTATTTCTTCTTTTAATAAAAAAACTTTTAAAGAAAATTATTCTAGAAAAATCAGATTCTTTTTCAATATTTAAAATATTTTCAGATAATTCCAAAGCAAAATTAAGAGAATTTAAAAAAATTTGTTTAACATAATTATTTTCCTCTAAATTAACATTTTCTACATCAAAATAATTATTTTTATCTTCAAAAATATTTAATAATTTTTTTGAATTTTCTTCAAAAATTTTTTGAATTTTTATTTGAATTCCAAAAAAATATTTTAATTCATTAATTTCTAGAAAAATTAATTTTAATTAAAAATAAAAATATATTTTTTTAAAAAGACCTTTTGGATAAAATTTATTTTGTTGACTTTCTACTAAATAAAAACAAAGAAAAATAATTTTTAACATTTTTTTAAAAATATTTTTAAAAATTAAAATTAAAAATCGAAAAGGCAGCTTTACTTAGAAATATTTATTTTGTCTAGTCTAGCAATTACATAAAAAGTCAATGCCTATTTATTTTTTAATTAAATATAGTATGTGGCTATAAAGTGCAACATTATGAAATTTAAGTAAAAAATTAAAATTAAAAAAAGGTACTATGCGTTTATATCCCCACAATTCTGCAAATGTTTGTCCGCACTTTTTTCATTCTTTCAATTCAAAAAGGATTAGAAAAGGTCAATTTAATCCCCATTTTTCTTCGCCTTCTTTCTCATCTCACAAATATTAAAATGTCAAGTAAAAATAAAGGAAGACTCGCTTATAGAAAAATATAGTCGAATGGTACCACTCTTTTTCCCGTTAATGCCTGTGGACCGAGATATATGGCTCAAAGTGGTCAAAAACCATGGAGCAAGTATCGTAACTATGTCCTTTCTTGTTCAATCACGATGATTTTGATGTCATTTGACTCATTTCGTCTAACTGCTTCAAATGAGTATTTGTCTGTACAAACTTCGAAATGTTCATAGGTCCGTATTTAGGTCCAATCAAATCAGAAAAATGGGAGGGGGGGGGGGGGGCACCAAACAAACTATTACCGAAATAATTTCTAAACATTCTCTTATTTTTACCTTTATATTTTTCTATAAGCGAGTCTTCCTTTATTTTTACTTGAACATTTTAATCTTTGTGAGAGTCAAACGAAGGCGAAGAAAAAATGGGGGTTAACTTGACCGTTTCTAATCCTTTTTGAATTGAAAGAATGAAAAAAGTGCGGACAAACATTTGCAGAATTGTGGGGATATAAACGCATAGTACCTAAAAAAAATATTTTTAAATAAATTTTTAAAAAATACTGAAAAGCCTTATTTAATTTCTTATTACCTCGTTAACCAACAAAAATAATTTTTTTTTGAAAAATAATAAATATAACAATAAGAATAATTATAACAAATATAAATTTTCCCCAAAATATTTTAACTTTTTGTTTCCTTTTGTATTTTATCGTTTAAAGATTTTTCATTTAAAGGTTGTTTTTCTTTAAATAAATTTTGAACCTAAAATTGGAAAAAAAATTTAAAAGAAAATATTTTTTTAATTTTATTACGGGAGGATCAAACATTTGAAGTGTTTTTCTTGTAAGTCTGTGTTGTCCTGTATGTTGATCCCGGCCAAAATATTGTACTGTTAATTTTTGACCAACCTGATAAAAATATAAAAATAAATTTTTATGAAAATTAATAAAATATTAAGAACAAAACAATCAAAAATCTTATTATTTTTTAACAATTTAAACGTCTCAAGAATATGGGTTTCGATAATAGTTTGGAAGTCGTCCCCTTTTTTTTCACCATTTCTCTGACCATTTTGAGCTTGTTTGTTGAGCTTTTTTCCTAAATCATATATCATTCGAAACAGCTCTTCGAGCCTTGTCGAATAATACCAAGAATGGCTAGATCTGATCATTCTTACCAAAATTATGCAGCTAAATCCTCGTTGGGTAAACTAAACGGTCACAACTTTGTTCACTTATGTCAGTTCGAATGATATATAATTTGCCATAAAATGAGAAAAAACTAGAAAAAAATAGAAAGGAAAAAAGCGGGCGAATTCCAAACTAAATATTACCCGGATTTCTAACAAGAATATACTGACATTAAACAAGATTTCTGTCAGTTAATTTTAAAATTTTTCACCAGTTTTATTTTAAGGGCAAGAATATTATAAATAGTTTCAAAAAAATTGGACGATTAAACCCTCAAGTTCCCCATCAGCTCCAAATAAATTCAAAAATTACTAGAGCTGACTTGAAGAGAAAAGTAACCCAAAAGAATTTAATAAATTTTAAAATCTTCAAAAGAAAACCTCAAAACCAAGCGCCTGTGCATTTTGTTTACTCGGTGCAGAAGAAAGGTCAGAATTTCTGATCCAAATATGTCGGCCACCTTCTTTTAGAGAAACATGAATTCCACCTTCGAGAATACGAACAATTTCTGCCTTTTTATTGAATTTAAAACTTTTCTTAAATTAAAAATTACTTTATAAAAAGCTCCAAATTGGTATTGCTCTTCTTGTTGTTCTACCATTAATTTTTCAATCATCAATTTTGCTTTGTCTAAAGATTCGGGATTTGGAGCAAATAATTGAATATTTGCATCGTCTTCTGAACTAACCTAAACCAAGAAAAAATTTTTTCCCGAAAAATCTAAAAAAATTTTTTACTTTAACACCAGTTTCCGCTTCAATCAATTTTGCATTATATGCCCCAGATCTAAACAAAATTGGCCTTTTATAAATTGGTAACTGCATTAATTCAATTATAGGAACAGAAGACTTCATTTCTGGTCTTAAAAAATTTTTTTGAGAAAAAAATTTCAAAAACTTTTTACCGTGGTTCAGGAATTTCAGCTCTCATAAGGGAAAGGACGTGTTCAATTCCAGACTGTCCTCGTTTCAAAGCTTCCCGAAATACACTAAAATAGAATTATTAAAATAAAATTTTTTCTCTTTACTTTAAAGGAATTCCACAAATTTTTAAATCCATTTGCATTGCTGTAAAACCTTTTGAAGTACCAGCAATTTTAAAGTCCATATCACCGGCAAAATCTTCAAAACCGGCCAAATCAGTTAAAAGTAAATATTTATTAGGAAATTTATTTTTGGGAGAATTACTTAAAAATGAATAAAATATTAAAAAATTATTTTCAAAAAACCTTCCACTTTCATTTTTATTAATTTCATTATTAAATTGTGCATCTTCACTTTTTTCTGTAATTAATCCCAATGCTAAACCGGCTACAAGATTAGATAACAAAGGCACTCCAGCATCGAAGAGAGCCATAGAACCAGCACAAACTGATGCCATTGAAGTACTTCCATTAGATTCTAATACCTTTAAATTTATTAAATAAAACAGAATTTTGACTAATATTGCGATTAAAGAGTGGTAATAACCCAGTAATTATTAAAAATTAATTAATTGAAATATGAGATATTTTCTTATAAATTAAATTAGTGTGATCATTGCTAGGAACCAGAGGTGGGTCGGAAATGACGAAAATGCCGGAAATCTGAACTGTCGGAAATCGAAAGGAGAAAAACATCGGAAATCGGAATTCAGGCCCACTTTTGTTAGAAACCAAAAAATTAAATATTATTGTTGACTAAAAAATGATCAAAAATATTTACAAAAGTAATTTAAAAAAATTTTTTTACTTGACAAGCTAATCGAATTGTATAAGGAAAATCTTCTGGCACCAAATTCCGAAGTGCTTTTTCAGCTAGTAGACCATGCCCAATTTCTCTTCGATCCGAACTGGCACCTTAATTTAACGGAAAATAATATAAATAAAAATAATTTTTTAAAAAATTTTACCTGGTTTCTCAATTTCATTTGTAGCAAATTGAGGAAATTCATAATGCAACATAAAAGATTTTTTCCGTTGAGCACCCAAAAGTTGCTAAATATAACCAAAAATTTAAATACGTAAAAAATTAAAACCGCTATAGCATCAGGATGAAAAGCTGCTTGTGGAGAATCAAATGTAACTGTAGAAAAAACCTAAAAATTGAAAAAATGTTAAAACGTAGCAAGGGCGTAGCCAGGGGGGGGGGGCTTCTGGGACTATAGCCCCCCCCCTGAAATGGGGAAAATAAAAAAATTTTAAGAGAAAAATGATCAGAAAAGTGATCAATCCACAAAATTATCTAAATTTTCGCCTGCGGCGTTGAAAAAATAAAAATAAGTACAAAAAAATTTTCGTTCGGAACGTCAACGTAAACGCAAAAATTATGGTTCACCCCCTATTTTAGCCTCCTGAAACCAACCCTACGCCCTTGGTAGTTTATTGTTTGTCTTTCGGAATTTGATGTGGACTATTAATAAAAGAATCTTTTTCTAGTAAAATAAAAACTATGGCCACAAAAATCATAGAAATAAACAGAAATATTATCTACCTGAGATTGTCCTCTTTGAAAAATTGCTGACCCATGTAATTTTCTATATAAATTAACTTTACATTTTATTGGCCTAAATTGATCGGATTTCCGTCCATCAATTCGAATACCAGTTTCCAATAAAATATTTCTATGGACTTTTTTGGTCTGAAAAATAAAATAAAAAATATTTAAAAAACAGAATTTACAATATCCCCAAAAACAGTCCTGAGTATTTGTTCACTATAAGTCTGTGACTGTCTGTCCATTAATAACCGCCAACCTTGGAAAATCTTTAAAAAGATTATTTAAATCCAAAAAAAAATAAGAAACATTTTCTATTGCTTCCCCGCGCGAAGATTTACTGTGAGAATGTTCTTTTAAAATAGCTTCTATTGCCCCTTCACAAACAGAAACTTTTTCAAGTAAATCAGCAGGAAATTCGTTTAAAGATGTCTTAAAAGAATTTTTAAAATTATTCTTATAGATCAAAAAACCTTATATTTTTCATGTCCAACTACTTTAGCTAATCTTTCGATTGCTCCTTGTGTGAGGCGTATTTCATCAAATCCTTGTTGAATACATTGAACTAAAATTATTTTTTAAATTAAAAACATTCTTTTTAATTTTTAAAAATTCTCAATGGCTAATATTGAGATATCAGCACGGGACGGGATCCCTCACGGAATTTTACGGAATCCCGTCCCAGAAATCCGGGTTTTGCGCGGTAAACGGGATTAATCCCGCAGGATCCCGTCCCGTATAAAATGTTGAAAAAAATCCCGTTATGAGATCCCGAAAATTCGATTTTGCCAATCTCTACTAATATTAATTCCCCAAAAAATAAAAAATAATAAACCAAATTTCTCGGCTTCAACTTCTTTTCCTTCCATTTCAACCATAATTACATATTCATTATTTCCTTTACTTTTCTTCCCAATTGCAGTCCCAGTCAACACAAGATCAAGACTGCTATGTTTCAATTGCTCATGTGAAGGATTAACAATTATCTTCAAAAAATTTTAAATAAAAAATTGGTATCAATTTTTTCGAATTATCTTAATAGCCCTATTTATTCCCCTTATAGATTCGTTAACAAAAAAAGGATGTCATACTCATCTAGGTTAAGGTAAATCAGACTTGGTGATGGACATGGATTTTGGTAACCGTATCCAGATATTTATGGCGCATATCCGCAGGTATTTTAAAATTATCCATTACCAAGTCTGCGTAACATCACATCACCTCCCAAAAACGCCAAGTAAACATTTGAATTTTTAATTTTTTATTATTAAATAGGGACATTTAAAGGACAGGTAAATATAAGAAACCCAAACCCCCTCGATTAACAAATCAAAAAAACCTTTTCGTCAATAATTCCAACTCTAGCTGCTGCAACTAAACAATTTTGAGGAACCGGGGAAACAGCCAAAGCTGCAGAAGCAACATTAATTCCCATAATAACAGCATCTCCCGTCTCTGTATCCAAAGCTAAAGGTTTGCAAACAATCTAAAAAATCTTTCTCTCTTAAAAACAAATTTAAAAAACCTGTGTCTTGTGAGGAAAATTCTCAGGAATTGTGGGGCGAATAGAACGGTCAATAACTCTAGAAAATGCAACATCCTATAAATTAATAAATTTTAAAAAAATTTAAAAGAAAAAAACTTGATCGTTGTTGTACATATCCCTTCGAAAATAATTCATTGGAATACGACCTAGAGCAGAGGAAGATGGTCGAAAATCAACAGTAAGTGGAAGACCAGAAAAATTCTAGAAATTAATAAAAGTTAAAGAGGTATTTTAATGTTTATAGGATTGTTTCAAATCTGGCGGTTAATCAAAACCTACGCAATTCCTTTCTCCAAACAAAATTTTTTAATTCAACGGGATTCTTCACACGTAAAATTAAAATAGGAAACGAATTAAGTCGAATTTACTTTCTTAAAAAATTCCCAAAATCCTGACTAAATGATTGAAAAAACTAAAATCTAACCGACAAGGAAACATTTCGAACTGTGACCAAAAATTTTTAAATAAAAGTTATACCAACGTGTAGAGAATGGTCAATAACCTATTGCCAATTTTTTGCTTTTTTGGCTCCGACCCCCAATTCTAAAACTGCCCCTCGTTAATAACCCCAAAACAAAAAACTTTATATTAAGTAAAAAATACCGAATCATTCTCAATTTTTTTATTTTTTTCAATTCTCTTTTCATTTATTTGATCTGTTGTTATTTCCCCAATTCCATATTCACTTTCATTTTTTTCCAAAATTTCTCCCTCTTCAAATTCTTCATCACCCTCCTTATTTTTATTTGATTCTAAACGTTCATTTTCTTCAATTTCTTCAAGTATTTCCTCTTCATTTAAAAATTTCTGTGTATATTTACACACAACTGTCCCCAAAATCTTTAAAAAATTTATTAAAAAATTTAAAAAATCCAAACCGCATTGTCTTCATCAGTATTTAATACAACTGAACCAGAAGCTAAACGAGCCATTGCCCCAGCACGGAATTCCCAACGCCTTCCTCCAGAAAGTTGAGCATATTCAGAATGTTCAGAAATGTTTTTATTATCGATAACACTTAAAAATAAATATTTTTAGTTTGTAGTCTTGTAAAGCGTGTCGGGCTAACTCACGGAACGGACAACTCACGGAATCGAACGGACAATTCACGGAATGACCAAAACATGGAATATTGTAAAAATCAGAATATTTTTAGAAATCAGAATATTTTTAAAAATCAGAATATTTTTAGAAATCAGAATTAAAAAGAAATTCTGAAAAAATTCTGATTTCTGAAAATATTCTGATTTTTAAAATATTCCGTGTTTTGGTCATTCCGTGAATTGTCCGTTCCGCACTCTGTCTGTTCCGTGAGTTGGAATTCCTCGAGTTAGCCCCCACCCCTAGTAAAGGGCCCTCGACCAAATAAGTATTAATTTTATATAAAAAAATAATTTTTTTACCTTCCATTAAAAGATGTAACAGTATTATTTTTTCTATTCTGAATATATCTCAAATAATTTGGATTAGATGTTGATGCTTGATCATGAAAACGGTGAAATAATATTTTTGCATGTTTAGCTTGTGCACGTTGCATCATTTATTAAGTATGTAGCTCTTCCTGATTTCTATAAAAATTTTAATTCAGAAAAAAAATGGGCAATATCATTAAGTATCTGTGCAGACGGGATCCTGCACTTTTTTATTTTCTATTTGCGAGACTTTACAAAATTCAGCCCGCAAAATTTTTAAGAAAAATTACGAATGTGGGATTTGATTAGGGCGAGGATATTTCAAGAAAATTAAAAAATTTCGACCATCTCAACTTTTGGCACTCAACTAGCTTTTATTTAAAGAACGATGTTTTGACACTTTTTGCCGTGAGGACATTTTGTTGAAACGATATTTTAATAAACGATAATTTGACTCGGTAAAGGCCGTTTCAGCTCATGTCATTTGAGAGATATCGAGATGCGGTATTTTATTTATAATTGGACTAATCTGATCAGCTGTAAAAAGATGGTGGAAATTTACAACCTAAGCTACAAAAATAAACGTTAAATTAGGTTAAAACCTAATTTAAAACGTTAAAACTCCTAAAACAACCTTTACCTAAAATAAGTCGCTCTATTTATGTGGCTAGAGATAATATTAAATTCCAAGATATTAGATTTTATGAATTTAAAATTATTATAGCATGTACATATTATAATTAAAAATTAATTTAAAAAATTATTTCTTCTAAATTTCCTGTTCTAATACTGTTGGTGAACGTAATATCTTTTTAATCATTGCCTTTAACTATATAAATAGTAAATTAATTAGAAAAATAAATTAAGTACCAAATTGTAACGAGGTATTAACGGATAATATCTTGTATGTTTATAAGCTTTAGACAATTCATGTATTGCCAGTCTCAATCCGAGATATTTATTTATTATTTTGTAAAGTTCAATACTTAATTGAGCATATATTTCGTTTAAATCTTCCAATGATTTTGCTAAAAATAAATTAATGGGTACACCCCAAGGTACCGCGAGGCCAAGGTACCGCCGAGCTATAACTTTTTCAAAATTGTCGAATCCGGGACACCCTTGTATGGTTCGATGCGGCTCGACATGCTGAACCGAACCATACCAGGGCGCCACGGATTCGACAATTTTGAAGAAAGTTATAGCTCGGCGGTATGTTGGGCTCGCGGTACCTTGCCTGCTCCCTAAATAAATTAATTAATTGTCTTAATCAACTCATTCACCTCTTAATAAATTACAAATGGATACTTCTTTAGTTCTTTCGGCAATGGAAATGGAAGCTCCAAGAAGTTGTTTAATCGTACCACCATTTTTAGTAAATGATGTTGAATTACTTTTTATATTTCTTTCATCAATTAATTCAGAAATTCTTAAAAATTTTCTTAAAGAAATTCTTAAAAATTTACAGAAATTCTTAAAAATTTACGACGCGGGATCCGGAAGTGCGTTTTGCTGATCTTTAATTGATACAACCAAGAAATGAGTCAGTATTTTCTCTAATACAACCGAACACTTATCAAGCAGTGTTGGGTCGGAATTCCGATTTCCGACGTTCTTTTCCTTCCGATTTCCGAAAAAATTTTGATTTCCGACTTTTGAACCAGTTCCGATTTTCGGCTCTTCCTATTTCCGACACCTCTGGCTCTTCCGGCCCTTCCTCTGTTATCAAATGACATAGTAGGAGTAGGAGATACAATCAAGTATTTTTGCTTGAAGAAATCCTTTGGCAACAACCCCTACTATCCTCTTTTTTAAAAGCCCTTCTAAATACTAGTTGATTTAATTACACCAAATATTTTCATAATCTTCTCAAGTTCAAAGCTAACAACCAATTTATTTACCTAATAACATAATCAAAAGGTGTTTCAGAAATAGCTTGTGTTGGAATATCATACATTTGCCAATATTGTCTTTCAACTTGAATTAAATTATAAATCATTCTTTGCATATTTATATATCGTCCAATTAAATTTTGTTTTTTTGATTTGCTATATTCTTCTTTCATTTGCTTTATTTCATATTGAAGTAATTTATACCTTCAAGTTAAACTTTAATTTTGTTTTAATTTTAAAAATTATTTACGAATCTATTAATCTTGATTTTGCTCTTTCTTGTTTTATTAATGCAATAATTAATTGTTCTTTATTAACAAAATTATCTTTAAAAATATTTTTTATTAAATGTTTAAGTATATATTTAACTTCCTGAATTAATCAAAGCTCCATTAGCACTACTTTTGGCCATTGAAACAAAAACGTTGAACATATCTAAATTAATTAAAATTAGTGGATCTTAAATAATTTTAATAGGGTTGTTCACAAATAGTATTTTTTGGGTTTGTGTTTATTACAGTTTTGGTTCTTTACTGATTGTTCTCTGAAAGTAATGGCTTTCTTGAAATTATACTAAAAAGGAAAGGTTGCGAGGTGTTCGACCTAAAAACGGTCAAGACCGGGCTCATTCGATAGAGACGGGCAAAAACGGCTCAAAATCCTTGCTAGAAAGGGCACATTCTCTATCGAATGAGCCAGGTCTAGACCGTTTTTAGGTCGGACACCTCTCAACCTTTCCTTGTAAGGAGTATATTGGATGGTTATTTTTTGGAAAAATTTTATTTAAAAACGAGTCAATTATCTACTATGTGGAGTTGGGGAGGAGGTTTCTTATAATTTTTTCCCAAGTAACTATATTCGAGATCTAAATTATTAGTAGAATATGTATTTTTTTAGGATTTAAATTACGGTTTTGAATGGATTTAAAAGCAAAATAGGCAACATTTCTTCACTTTTTTTAAATTAAATTTTAGAATTAAATCAACAGAAATTTTTTTTTCTAACTTTCAAGTTACAGCTTTAATTTAATAAAAAATTTAATTTAAAATTTGGGTGATTGACGTTTTAAATTAAAATTAAAAATTAAATATTTCTCTCCCAAACTTTTTAATAAAAATTAACCTTTTAAGCGTTTCATTAAATTTTCTATTAAATTTTGTGTGCATTATTCTCGAAAAATAAATTTTCAAAAAACAAACGAAATTTAAAACTATTTTTCCTTTTTTTAGTAAAAAACATTTCCAAATTTTTTGTAAAAAAATTTGAGAGAGAGAAAATTAAAAATATTTAATTTTAATTAAACTATAACCTTTTGTTTGTTTTAAAAAAATAAATAAAGTACAAGAATTTTTCATTTAAATTTATGTAATAACAGATTTTTGTTTTTGAAAATTGTTACATTTTTTAAGGTTAGTTTTAAGAGATTTTTTTGTTTTTTTTACTTTACTTCTGTCCAAATTAATTTATATTTTCTTTTTAGATTTATTATTTATTTACTCATAGGATGACATTAAAATACTATGTATAATGTTTATAAATATGTACATATATGGTGCTAAAATATACACGAAATTTTGTGAAAATCTCTGCAATAACACAGATTCCTTCCAAATTTTTATTTAGCCATACATATAATTGTTAATTGTTTATTAATTATGAGAAAAATGTAAATATAAAGGGTAAGGACGAAAATTTAATCAGAAAATATTAAAAATTGTGTTTTTATTTTAATTTACAATATTCCAGTCCCACTAAAAAGTGTAAATAAATATACATAAAAATAGGTTGAATAATTATGTTTCCTTATTTTTGTTAATAATTAAATTGTAAGATACCCCTTAATTCCTTTTTAACACATCCCTCCTTTTTTGCCCAAGATTTTGACATGTATTTATTTTTTGCTAATTGTGATGGTAACGATGAAGATAAAGCAATGGTATTTTTTGAAGAAGGCAATAATTGTTTGTCAAAACAACATTCTGTTCTGAGCCGGAATAAGTCATTTTCTTTATTTAAAATATTTTGCTGATTTACTTGATTATTTTTGTTAATAATTGAATTGTGAGACAGTGAACGGTTACGGAAATTGGCTGCAGTAAATGTAGCAGATAACATTTAAATTAAAAAACCAAAGAAAGGATTGTCAAAAATAAATTGTCAGGAGAGTTTTCGCCTTTGACGGCTAAAAAAAATTTTTTTCACCAAAACTTTCTAATAAATTAATTTTAAAATTTATTTTAACATTTTAGCTAAATATATATAAAATTTTAAAAGTTGACTTTCTTTCAAAAAATAAACGTAGCGTGAATAAAATTTAAAAACAAAACAATTTTTCTTCACGAGAATTGAAACAATTTATTTTAATTAATTTTCTTTTAGCAATTCAATTTATTTAATTAAAAAAATAAAAATATTTTTAAAGTTTTTATTATCACGGAAATTAATAAAAACACAATATTTATTTTTTAAGTATATAATCTTACATACCATATATCCTTTAATAACCACCCTGCGCAATTAATGTATCGAATTTCCGCTGGAGGGAGTAATTAACCGAGGGAGAATAATTATACAAGGTTTGAAATTTGAACGTGTTTTGGGGTATTTGTTTTGGGAGTAATTATTGTTTCAATCTATCGCTGGATGAGGTAATTGTTGGAAGTGGGTAATTATTTGAGGGAGGGCAATTAATACATTTATATGGTATATGTATTTAGAATTAGAATTTAATATCTTAATTTTATCTTAATCTTCAAGGATCCAAAAATCTTTTTATTTAAACAAAATATTTCGATAATCATCTACTGTTGGAATGTTTGTCGATGTTTCTTCAGAAATTAAAAATTTAATTATTTCTTGACCACCCTAAAATTTGAAAAAAATATTTTTTTAATTTAAAAATTATTTTACATTTATTAGTTGAATAATCAAAATAAAGAATAGAAGAATTGCCATTGTTTGAGAATACATTTTTTTCGTTTTTTGAAGGAGATTTTTTAAATTAATTTTTTTTCGAGAATAAAAAATTATTTTAAATATTTGTATTTTATATTATACATAAAACTATTTAAAATTAATTTACATATTTAAATTGTTAAAATTTATTTAAATCTTATTAAATAAAAAAGTAATTTCCTTTTATGTATGTTAAAAATCAAATTATTAAATTTAAATATACTAAATATGTAATTTTTATTTACATAAATATAGACATACATATGTACATTAATTCCAGTTTATTTAAATTTTAATCCTTTACATGAAAAAATGTATAAAATTTCCAAAAATAACTTTTTTGGCTAGTAGTTTGGAGGAATTAAGAGGGCTAATGGAAGATTTGAAGGGATTAAGAGGATTTTGATGTGATATCGAGTGATTTGTGAGGGGGTTCCATGACTTACTCCATAACGGCTGCTACGTCCAAGACTCGCTCACAACTACACCGATACCACGCTTAATCCCTCTTTATATACCATAATCCTCCGATATACATCACTTTTAGATTGTCCACCAGGGCTGTGCGCCAAAATTTTCTGGTGGAACGCCAAACGCTAAACGCCAATTTTTCAAATTTTTAAAACACGCCAAAAACAAAACGCCAGACGCCAAACGCCATGACGCTCAGCCCTGTTGTCCACTTTTCCGGCTACTGACCGATTGTCCACCGACCGATTGTCCACCGACCGATTGTCCACTGACGAATTGTCCCGGGGCCCTTTTTGTCCCAAATTAAATATTTCTAAAAATTAATTTAAGGTTTATTTAAATTATGGAAACAAATCTCCCACTTACTCGAGTAAAAAAGATTGCAAAAATTTCTTTAACAGAAGCCAACCCTTCAACAACTTCAAAAAATTTAATAACTTCCGAAGCTGTTAATTTATTGACAATTGCAACAGTTTTTAAAATAATTTTTTTTTAATTAATTTCTTTTTTAAGGAAAAATATATTCAACTTTTGAGTAAATCAGCTTGGAATTGGACTTTGGCAAGTTCTCGAAGAACTTTACAAGTTGTGGATATTGGTTAATTTTTTTGTAATTTTTTTTAAAAGTGATCAGAATTTAAAAAATATTTTTTTAAAATTTATTTAAATATTTTTTAAATTAATTTTCTAATTTTTTCCCTAAATTTAATAAAAAATTTGTTATAGAAAAATTATCGAAAATTTAATTTATATTTTTAAATCAAGTTATAGTCAAATACCCATTTTTGTTTTCCTTTTATTTTTTGTTCACAACAAATTTTAACAGAATTTAGAATATCCACTGAATTTCAATTAATTAAATAGGCTTTAAAATAAATTAACTAATTTTTTAACAATTAAAATCCTTCAACATTTAATTTGTTAGTCTTTACATTCCCTAATTTTTAAATAAAAAAAATAAAATAAGCCTTTCTACTCCTCCCAATTTGCTAAAAAAATTTTTTTTTAATAAAAAAATATATTTTTAATTTTTAGAGCAATGTATTAAAAGAGATTGGCTTTTTGCTATTTTAAATGAGGGATTGAATAATTGGCCTGATAATGACAAGGTGGACGAGGAAGCGGAGAAAGATGATTAAAAATGTTTATTTTTTGTAAATTAATTTTTAATTTATTTTTAAAATTAATTTTAGATAAAATTTAAAAAAGAAAATTATTTTTAAATTTATAAAAAGATATTTTAAAAATTAATTTAAATATTTCTCTTTTTTTTGTGAAGATTGGCATTCTTTTAAAACTTGCGGACACTTTTTGCGGACTTTTTTTAAATGAAAAAGGATGATTTTTTAAACGTTAAAATTAAATTTTTGAAAAGTTTTGGGTAAAATTCAATTTCGTTCCCCCTCCTTTTTCCTTCCTCGAAGTATTAAAAAATGGTCAGTCAATCTTAAATAGAACTCTTCGAGGGTGTCATTCGACAGCTCGAGGAGTTCTATAACCTAACAATAAGACTGGCTGGCCATTTTTAATACTTCGAGTAAGGAAAAAGAAGAGGGATGGGAACGAAGTTGAATTTTACCAAGTTTTGGATTAGAGATTGAGCTGGGCCTGGACCAAGGCCTGGGTTTTTCCTGTAGCCATAGTCCAGGTCCAGGCATTTTTTGACCTTCCTGTGGTTTTCTTGGCCTAAGTTTTTTATGGACTACGGGCCCAGGCCAATAAAACAAACCCAGAGCCCAGGAACATGCCCAGGCTTTTTCAAAAATCTCGATTTCTAGTTTGGACCTGTTTAAGATATTATTTTAAAAATTTCTGAAAATCCGCAAAAATTGTCCGCAAGTTTTAAAATTTTCCCTAAATTTATTTAAAAAATTTTTTTTCTAGAAAAATTAAATAATTATTAAAATAAAAATGTCAGAAAATTCTATCCAAAAAGAACAAACAATTTTGGATCAAGACTTACTTGTTGATCGAAATGAATTTAGAAAAACACAGGTTAATTTTACTTTTAAAATTATTAAAAAATTAATTTTTATTTTTCCAGCTAGATTTATTTAAACACAATTTTTTGGCTTCTTTTGACGAGGCTGGCTATGCAAAATTGGAGCATTTAGTGTTGGACTCGAAAATTAAAAAAGAGGTTGTTAATACAGCTAGAAGACTTCAAAAGGCTAAAATTTCTTTGAAAATGTGAGTGAGGATTTTTTTTGAAAAATTTTTTTTGAGGAAATTTTTAGAATTAATAATAGGTAAATAGGGATTTTGGGAATTGTGATTTATTTGAAATTTGAAAATACCGGTTAGGACTGGAGAAATTATTAAACGTTTGTTTAAAATTAGGTAATAAATCGAATGTTTTTTAAATTATTTGAACACGTACCATATATGCTCGAATAATTACCCTGGGTAATTATTGTTTCAACCTTTCGCTGGAGGGGGTAATTAATCAAGAGGAGGTGTTAAATTTGGGGTATATCTCAATAGATCGAGGAGGGAATCGATTTATTTTTTGATATTATTACTTACAACGTTTCAATAATTAAAAATGACAATGATTTTTTCAATACATATATTTAAAATTTGTGTAGGAAAAAGAGGGGGTAATTATTTGAGAGAGGGTAATTATTCGAGCATTTCCGTTATTTTCTTTTTTAAGTTTTGACTCTTAAAATATTTTTCTAGCGATTATTGTCAAAATCCGGAGTAATCCAACTGGATTTCTGAAATTATTTTTAACGAAGTAAAACCAGACCGGATTAGTCCAGAAAAATCAGGCCGGGACGGCATAGAATGAGCCCAAATACAAAATCTAGTTTCCTGGGCCAGAAAAAGGAAAATACTTTGTTTAAAAAAATTAATTTTTTCAGAATAGAAAATAAAAACCCAACAACAATTTCTCCCGTCTTAGAAAAAATTGACGAAATTTTTGCAAATTTAATAGAAAATTCCAAACAATCAAGTGAATTTTCAACAAAAAATATAAAATTACCAGAATATGATAAAAAGGATATGGAATTTTTGTTGGGGAAAGAGGAGGAGGAAATGAAGGGAGGAGAAGAAAATCCGTTAAAATGGTTGTGTAAATCAAATGAGGAATTTGAAAAGAAAATTAATGAATTAATTGGGGCGGCAGAATTGTTGTTAAATGAGTGGAGGGAAATTAGAAATTTTTACAAAAATGATTAGAAAAATTTTTGAAATTTAATGAAAATTTTATTTTTTTAAATAAAAAATTTGGTGACTTTCGCCTCTCTTTTTTTCTTAAAAATGGGAGAAAATGCTGCACAAACCAAGCATAAAATTAACAAAAATTAGGGTATACCAACTATGTTCCCAAATTTTATAATTTCTTTGATCGAGATACTTTTGAAAGATTTGTCTCGTGATTGACTAGCTAATATATTTTTTCTATTTCCTCGAAGGTCATAACTAGGGATGGGATTTATATTGACTATTAATCGAAAAATATGGACTAAAAATATCAAAATATGGACTGAAATATGGACTAAAATCCAAAATATTGATCAAATATGGGCCGAAAACTGAAAATTTTTAACGGAAAAATTTTCCTTTTTAAGCAAAAAATGTTAAATAAGTTAATTTTGATGCAAATATGCAATGTGGAAATATGGAAAATATGGATGGATAACTCAAAAACGACCTTATCAACATATGCTAAAACGTTTTTCGTGCGTTTCAAAATCCAACTAGGTCAGGAAAAAAATGGAAATCCATATATGTAAATCCCATCAGTAGTTAACCGTAGGGGTCCGTCGTGGCTGTCAATAACTGACCCTATCCTTTTGGGGTAAACTATTGCCAGCCGGTCAATTAAAACCTATTAAAGGGGTGTTTTGACCTTTTATCTTGCCGCAATTTGTAATTGTGTTAAATTTTACCCCTTTGAAGTTGCCGACAAAAAAAATAACATAATTATTTACAAACTGTTTTTACACGACAGTGATTTCAGGCAACCACGACGGTGATTTTTGTTTAAAAATTTTAAAAGTTTGTAATACAATTTGTAATACAAATTGCTTTTTCCCCCACGACGGTAATTTTCGCGCAAACCTACACCGGGGAATCTTTTTCGCGCAAACTTCAAAAACGAGGTGAAACCCTTGTAAATACAAATTGTTTTCCCACTACGGTGATTTTCGCGCAAACCCTCTATAGTAAAAGCAATAGTAAATACAGAAAAATTTTTCGCGCAAAATTTTTTAAAGGCATACAGTGTAAACCTTGAGTTAATTAATACAAGTATACTAATTGATACACCTATCTTTTTATCCTTTGATATGCCGAAAACTTTTTAAAAGCATTTAATTATTAATTTTTATTATATTTTAACTAAATGTTTTCCCATCATAAAAGTTTAAATGGTGTGCCACAAAAAATTAATTTATAATAGTAAACTAAATGGTTCCCACAAAATTTCTATTTAAAATAATTTGCGGGTGTGAATAGTTAAGGAGTTACTATAAATAAACAAAAATTAAAAAAATAATTAAAAATAAAATATATAAATGAAATGCTAGTGAAAATATATATTTATAAATTAAATTTAAAAAAATAAATTATTAAAATTAAAATAATAAAAAATAAATTAAAATAAAATTTTTATGGAAGGAGGGATATTTCTCCTTTCTCGAATAAATCCAAAATGAAAGAGTAGGAATTGTGGATAGTTATCTCTCCACCCAAATTCCATTTTATCCATTTATAGACCAATGCCTTGGAAAAAAGGGCGTGGCTTCTTTGTAAACTTTTTAAATTAAAAATTTTAAATATTAAAATTTTTAAGGTTAAATTAAATTTCCTGCCATTTTCTAAAATCATTCTTAAAATTTTCTCTAAAAATAATGGCAATCAATATCTCTAACAAAAAAGCTCTCTTAAGGCAAATTCTCCCCGAAATAGAATTTAATATTACTGCTAACGGCCTAACAATTTCTGCTTCCGAACGTATTTCTACTCCACGCTTTGTGCCTTTTGACCATGCAGGTCGATGTCGAGAATGTAAAGGATCCGAAGTGGAACTCGACTTTGTTGTCACCAAAGAGGGGGTGACCTGTTATTGCACGCGAATTAAAACACCCACATTCATACCGTTTGACACCATCCACGATCTTCCAGGACATTGCTTTTTTAAGGTATTTATTATTAAAATGAAAAATTATATTTTTTAAAATTATAGATCAAGAACAAGGGTCGAATCTTCAACATTGAACATGGATCTCCACCATGTGCAGCGACTCCTATTATTAAAAATATTCAGCCCGAGATTAAAGAAGTTTTATCACCCATTAAACCACCATCACCTAAGAAGATAAAGCATGAAATTCCCGCGGATGAAGAATTTGAAAATATTCTTCAGGAATTCTTCGACAACATAGGCTGTACCACTACTACTTCTACTACTACAGCCACTGGTCCGATAGAAAAAGAAAAGATTGAAGAAAAAATTACAAAAGAACAAGAAAAAGAAGTTATAGAAAGTCCACCTCATATTGTAAATTTAGATAATATACCGCTTCCTTGATTTGTAAATCCTAATCTTTTTTATTTTAAAATCATTTATTTGTATTATTATTACTTATTAATTTTAATGGAATCAATTAATTTTTCTAGTAAAGAATTAAAATTTAAACTTCCATTCGGTCTAATTATTTCTGGACCAAGTTCCAGTGGAAAGAGTACTTTTCTTCTAAGATTTATTACCCAATCATTGGATTTAATCGATCCCCCTCCTAAAAGTATTCTCTATTGTTTTGGTGAAATGAGTAATATTGTCCCCGTTCTTCAAAAATCTGGTGTAGGTGTTTTCGCTGGTGTGCCACCCGAGGATGTAATTAAAAGACTTCCAAAACCTTCTCTGGTTATTTTAGACGATTTATTACTCTCCATAGATGAAAAATATTTGTCGGAATTATTCACTAAAAAGTCACACCACCAAAATTTTTCTATAGTATTTGTGACACAAAACTTATTTGAAAAGAAAATTAAAGTTGCCCGACAAAATGCACAGTATATAGTTATTATGCGTTCTCCAAACTCTGTTCTTTCCGTTAGAAATATCGGTGCTCAACTTTTCCCCAAGAAGTTAGATTATTTTCTCGATTCCTATAGGCAAGCTACAAATATTCCTTATGGATACCTTTTAATTGATATGCATGCTTCTTCAGATCCAACATTACGTCTTCGTACAAATATTTTTAAAGACGACAGCGAAAAAATAATTTTCATTCCTAAAAATGGGGTCTAAATCTCAGTGCAATATTAGTTCACTTATAATGGATAATAAATACTTTTTAAATTCATTGGCAAAATCAAGATCGGATAGCAAACGTCATCGAATGCTCAGACAAGCTAACAGTCTGCAACTTCTTGCCATCGCTGAAATATGTTTAAATATTGTAAAAGCACGTTATCAACTAACTACTCGCCAACGCAAACGTCTTTTACCCTATGCTGAATTTGTCCGCCGCATGAGTCGTGCTAGAAGTGAGAGGGGAGCAAGAAAAATTATTTCACAGAAGGGAAGTGGGTTAGGAGGTGTCCTTACAGCTCTTCTTACCCCAATACTTATAGAAATTGGAAGAAAAATTATAAAAAGTGATACCGATACAAATTAACTATTCATTTATATTATCATTATTCATTTTAAAAAGTTTAATAAAAATTAAAAAAAATATGGCAAATAAATTTATTCTTGTCCCAGAGGATATTTATCGCGGTCTTACAACAAGCGATGTAGGTGAACCAAATCTAGATTTTACTCGTCGTGCTTTAGAAAATTCAAAAAGGAGAAAAGAAAGTAATTCCTCTAAAAATGATCACTATAATCAAGAGTTGAGGCGATATTTACAATTGAGAAATGAACGTGAAAATAGACCAGTAAAAGTTGAGCTAGTTAACAATAAATCTAAAGGCACTATTGTACCAAAAAATAATTCACGGCGCGCATCGTATATTTCTGCAAATGATGACATAGATAACGACGACAATTGGATTAGTGATAATTCTTTTTCATATTATCCCCAAGAACCCCCTAATCACGCATACAATATTGTCCCTTCTCTTTCTTCATCCTCCATTCCTTCAACAACTAAAAGTGGTCAAAATATAGAATTAGAACCAGGACCTTCTACTTCAAATAAAGCTTTAGAAAGAAACTTAAAAAATAATGGTAAAAGAATTAAAATAAAAAGAGAGATAAAAAGGAAAAGGAAATCAAAGGGAAAAGCAAATAAAACATTTTCTCCACCTGAAGATATTGTACAGCCAAACTCTGTTATAGCATCACAAGATGCACCATTAAGTCCTTCTCCTCCCATACCTCTAGAAGTATCAAAGAGAGAATTAGACTCGACTGACTCAGATGTGTTTAAACGTAGAAAAAATAGTGATATTAGGCAAGAGAGATTAAAAGAGATTGCGCAAGAAGAGAGAAGAAGAAAAGTATTAGAAAGAAAAAGAGATATTAAAAAATATAAAGTTCCTATAGACCAATCAGCTTTAGCTCAAGCTAGAAAGGATGATGATATCAAAAGGCGTCAAAAACTAAAAAGAAAATTTATTATTCCTGAAGGAACTACCCTTATTCCTATTAAAAGAGTAAGAAGACCTGTTACAAAGAAACAATCAGAAAATGCATCAAAAAGTTGGATTAAAAGATTAGCCGCTGCAAGGATCAAATTAGGAAAAAATAAATGGGCAAAACAAAAACCTACACAAGAGGATATTAATAAATTTAAACCGATACTTTGGTAATTTTTTAAAAATGGTCGACTTTACAAAACTTCTCGACAGACTTTACAATGATCCCAATTCCCCTTCAGCTTATGCGGGTGTAGATAGTTTATGGAGGGAGGCAAAGAAAACGTTTAAACATATACCAAGAAATGTAATCAAACATTATTTGGAGGGGCACCGTACCTATACCCTTATGCGCCAAAAGAGGGTGAACTTTAAAAGAAGTAAAACTATTGCAGCAGGGTTTATGACAGATGTACAAGTGGACTTAGCTGATATGCAGTCTCTTTCTAGGCATAATAAAGGCAATCGATATATACTTTTGGGAATAGATGTCTTATCCAAACGAGTCTTCACTACCCCTTTAAAATCAAAGAAATCAGAAGATATGTTGGAAGCTTTTCGTAATCTTATTATTCAAATGCCTATGAAACCCCACAGGATATTTTCTGACAAAGGGACTGAATTTAAAAATCGGTTACTAAAAGAATATTTTGAAAAAGAAGAAATATCAAAATATGAAGCAACTCATTCTACAGTAAAGGCATCACTGGCAGAAAGGCTATTAGAAACTTAAAACAAAGACTTTACCGATATTTCTCTCAAAATCACAAACTTAATTGGACTGATATTTTACCAAAAATTATTGAAGGAATTAATAAATCTTACTGTCGTGTGCATGGAATGCGTCCAATAGATGTGAATTTTAAAAATGCTCAAAAAGTTTGGAAGAAAATTTATGGAAATATTTTTTCAACTAAAAATTCCAAGAAACCAAAATTTAAAAAGGATGATTACGTAAGAATTAGTCGGGACAAGGGTCATTTCGAAAAAGGCTATCTACCAAATTGGGGAGATGAAATATTAGAGGTGGAAAAAGTAAAAGATCATGTGAATCCTATATTATATAAATTGCGCGACGATAAAGGGGAAAAATTCAAAGGATTCTTTTATGAAGATGAAATGTCTAGAGTAAGAAAAGATGCAGCAACAGAGTACCGCATAGAAAAAGTTATCCGGAAGAAGAAAAGAGATGATGGAACATATGATATACTTGTTAAATTTATCGGGTACCCAGAAAGAGAATGGATTCATGAATCAGATTTAGTATAAAAGACAAATATTTTTTCATATTGTATCATTTTAACAAAATTTAATAAAAATGTCAAATAGCTTTTTCGTATTTTTACCAAGTAATGTCCCAGATTATTCATCAAATAGACCAAATAAATTCCGTGTACATTTACCAAAACCACTTTATTTTAATGGGAATTGGGTGTGTGGATTACATAGTATAAGTTATCCTTATTCATGGCCCTCAACTATTGGAACTTTGGATGAGCAATGGTTAAAAATACACTTCACAGACGATTTAGGACAGAAGCATATTCTTCGTATACCAATCCCAGGGGCATCGCATACCAACGTTCAAAAATTATGCGATTTTTTAAATTCGACACTTAAACATCAAATTACTGCAATAGACCATGTTTTCGATCCTGATAGCACGTCAAAAGATATAATTGTTTCCCCTCCAAGATTAGAAAAACGAATAAAAAGAAATGTTCTTTCTTCACCACCACCACTACCAAAAGAGAGTCAAGTATTAAATTACTTTTTTTCAAAAATATTTTAATTACGTTTTTAGCTATCTTCACCACCAAGAATAGCAGATGCAAAAAAAGAAATAAATAAAAGTCAAAAGGTTATTGTTCCTTCCTCCCCTCCAAAATTAGTGGATAAAAATGTTCAAATATTAAATGAAGGAAATAAAAAAATAAAATTGACACAAGACCAACCAAAACAAGAAAAATATGTTGCGCAACCCAATAATGAGGGGAAAATAAAATCTAATGAAAATGTTCCATCTCAAAAACCTTTAAAAACAGATAGTCAGAAAGTGGAAATAAAGAATGAGAAAAGTCAAACAAAAGGTGAAAAGGTCATTACTACACCAACCCCTACTAAAATTGAAAAAGATAGAAAAGATCCAGAACCAAAATCATTAGAAAAAATAGAAAATGATAGAATTAAGAAAACAATTGTAACACCTGTCATCACTACTCCCTTCTTCTCATTAGGATTAGCAGAAATTGAAGAAGAGGAAAACAATAAAACAAATAAAGAAGAGGAAGAGTTTGAATTTTCCATAGGGAGCGAAACTGTGCCGGATAACAATAATTACAGTGATAGTTCAAAATTTTTATTATGGAGGGGTGGTATACGATTAAGTGGAAATTTGACCCTGCTCAAAAATATTATAGACTCAATTGTTTTTAAATACAACATAGATTTTGCAAGATTTAGACTTTTATTTAATCATGAAAATATTGATCACATTTCGTTGTCACCACAATTAGGATATGTTCTAGGATTTGAAAACCCTCAAAATATTAAAAATAAGGAAGTTGCAAAATACGGATCTGATCTAAGGGGAGGATTTTCTAGTTTTGCTGTATATGCAAATGGTCTTACAGAGAATATGATTATTGGGAATTCACTCAGCTCTCTTCTGCGAGTAGTTTCAGTCTCTGGCGCAACACCAGGAGAATATAACGAAAAGATTTATGATACACCCATATATGCCCGTGTCCTACCTAGAGAGATTAATGAGATAGAGATCGAGTTAAGAACATTGGATAATGGGCGATTAGTTCCTTTCGCATACGGAACTGTTTTAATAGTATTGATATTCAAAAAAGTGATAAATTTTTAAAATCCATCCATTTATTGTATTCATTCGTTTTTTTTTCATAAATTTAATTTAATAAAAATGGTTCATATTTTATTCGATACTTCTACAGTAGGATATGATGATTTTATTCAAACACCTTTAAATATACAAGAAGGGAGCGGTTTAGAGAATACTTATACTTATTTCAAAGGAGCTTCCCCTTTTCAAAGAGGATATGGATTACAAGGTGGTGCGGGAATAGGCGATGTTCTTCGAGGACTTTGGCGCTTTTTTCTTCCTATTGTTCGTCGTGTGGGGACTACTGTATCAGCTGAAGCTTTAAACACGGGGCAGCGTGTGTTAGAAAGAGTAAACCAGGGAGAGAATATCAAAGATGCTCTAACTAGTGAGGGAAAGAAGGGGATAGACACACTACTTGAGAAGGGAGGCATGCCTAAACAATTTGGAAGTGGCGGTGGTCCGAGAAAAAGTATAAAAGATAAAAGAAAGTTTTCCCAGCCAAATCATAAAATCATTATTGGAAAAGTTAACAAAAAAAGAGTCAGATCAGACGCATTCGGACTTTATTAATTAAATTTAAAAATTACAAAAATGGCATACCACAAAATAGATAAAGATAGTATTAATTCGATTACAAATGCATTGGACTTTTTTCAAATTCCTCCCACAAATGTGAGCATTTCTTCAGCAAAAGTTTTTGAAATTCTACCAAGTAGCCCCCTTACCGATACACCATATCACTTTAAAATACACTCTAGTCAAAATTATATTGATCTCACAAAATGTTACTTATTTACTGAATTCCGTATAAGAAAAGAAGGAGCAAACGGTACATGGATAAATCTAAGCGAAAACGACATTGTTGCCCCTATCCAATTAATTGGTCACACATTTATTAATAATATGAGAATAAGTATAAATGGAAGAGAAGTTTTCAACTCCAATTCGTTAATGGCCTACAAGTCTTACCTTTCACATGAATTAAGCTTTTCAACAGCGGCAAAAAATTCCCATCTAAATGTTGCGGGGTATTATGGAGACAAAGGATTAAACTTACAGGCAGGAATAGGATTTAATTCGAGGAAAGCACGTTTTGGGACAAGCAATACAGCACAGTTTATGACAAAGATAGATGCCGACCTTTTCAATCAACCCTTATATTTAATTAACCACTGTGAGATAGATATAGAAATTCTCCCCAATGATTCACGTTTTGTATTAATTGCACCACCAACAGCAGCAGGAATACCTCAAACAAATCGCTACCGTTTCGAAGTGACTAACTGTAAGCTATATGTAAAAAAAGTCGATATAATGGACGGGTTAGCTCTCGATATAGCAAAAAAGTTGGATATTAGACCCGCAAGATATGCCATAAGGAAGACAATGATGAAACCCTTATTTATTAGTCAAGGTCGCTATGAGTTCAATGCAAATTTATTTATGGATCAAATTCCTCGAAGAATTATACTAGGGTTAGTCTCAAATAATGACTACGTGGGAGCTATTGACAGAAGTCCTTTTAATTTTCAACCCTTCAATATAAGAGAAATTAGTATAATAGCAAATGGCCGAAGTTACCCTCAGGCTTCCTATGACTTGGATTTCCCCAATGGAAAGTTCGCGCGAGCTTTTAATGATATGAATGATGCTATAGGTTTTTCAAATTCCCTGGAAAGCAACGGAATAACTTTTGAGCAATATGCCTACACGCATTGCATCTTTGTATTTAACCTTACAAATAGTGGCGAGGATCAAAGCGGACTTTTTGATTTAATTAGAAATGGCACAACAGCAGTTAATATAAAATTTAGCCGACCAATTCCAGAGGGAGGTGTAATGCTTATAGTGATGGGTGAAGCTGACTCACTTATAATGCTGGATAAGAATAGAACGATTACCAGTGATACAACTATTTGATTTACATTTCTTTTATTATCTTTTCATTCACTCTTTTTTTCAAATTGTATTTTTTTTAATTATAGAAATAAAAATGTTTTCTAAAAAAGTTTCTTTTATTATTTTAATATTAAGAATTTTCCTTCCAATATGTGGATTAACTGTTGAAGAAGGGGTTAATATCAAAGAATTACCCGAGTATAGCGAATATTTAAGACAAGTAGCTGACAGACATATAATTTTAACAACAACTCAAGCTTTGCCAAGGAAATCTGCTATTGGTCCCTTTGCTAATTTTCCCTCTATACAATTATGTAAGGATGCGCCTACAGCAAATGAAAATTACTATACCCATGTCTATTGTTGGGTAATGCTCCTTCTTTATGCTTTGCTAGTACTCAGTCTAATTATTTACCAATTACGTTCAATTGTTTGGCTAGGAAATACGATCCCTACGAGAAAAAATAGAAAAGAAAATAAAGAAATAGAACTTAAAATATTAGATGAACAGTATACAGATTACAAAAATAATGGAATCAAATCCACAAACGAATCAGGTGTTCAAAGGGTGTCTATCGTGTGACCAACTTCCCGACTACTCTTCGATACAATACCCCGCAGCATTCATTTTGAACTTGGACCCCCAACATTTAGAAGGATCTCACTGGGTGGCAATATATGCAGAAGGAAAAGAAAGGCCAATTAATTATTTCGATAGTTTAACACTTTTTAATACTCAAAAACCCAAAACTGGATGTATAATTAATAAATTCCTACACCAATTCCCACAAATACTTAGAAATTGTAAGCCCTACCAATCCCCTTTATCCAAAACATGTGCCCACCACTGTATATGTTTTATATTTTTTCTCTCTCAAAATTGTACATTTAATGACTATACAAAAATGTTAAATAGTGAACCCTATCCAGATTTATTTGTTAAAAAATTTGTAGATAAAATGATTAAATATTTGTGCTCTTCCATTTATTACCATAGGTAATATAGTAAAAGGATATGCAGCCGCATCCAAATGCCATACGATAATTGGTCATTAAGAGGGCGTGGCTTAGGTCTAATAGCCTAAAAATCAAAAATAAGGGTAACATACAACGAAAAAATATTCTCGGCAAAGAACCACCGTCATTTGAATTTTATTCGACAATTTTTATTTTTTTTAATTATTTATTAATGGGAAAAAAATATTTTTAAAGTTTAAAATTAATTACTTCTTTTTTTAAATTTGAAATTCATAAACTTTATTATTCATATCCTTAATATTTGAATATTAATATCCTTTTACTAAAAATTTTAACTGGTTTAATCCTAATATTTTTTCCTTCAAACCTTATACAAATTTCCTCATATTTTTCTTTCCCTCCCTAAATCTTTTAATATATATATAAAATTTTACATCTATCCATAGGAATAATCTATCTATATGAATAATGATATCTATCCATAGGAATAAATGATATTTTTTATCCCGTTCATAAATAATTTCCATTATTTTTCAACATTCATTCATGAATTTTCATAAAATTTCCTAAATTTTAGAAAAAATCAATAATTTTTCGTTCTTTTTTTTAAATTTCTTTCTTTTAATTCAAACCTTAAAATCTTTTAATATATATAAAATTTTACATCTTTCCATAGGAATAAGACCATATAAAATATTTACCTTCTATTAAAATTTTTAGTTAACAGATTATTTTTTCTAAAAAATTCTCAAGAAAATATAAATCTTAGTACCTCATTCCCTTTTTGCTATCAGAAATGATTTCTATGGGGCAAATAAATTTTTTTATAATTAGCAAATAATTTCCAGTGTTTTATAATATTCATTCCTTATATTTCATAAAATTTCTAGAATTTAGAAAAAAATCGATAATTCGCAATAAATTTTTTATTTAAAATTTTCCCAGAATTAAAATACTAGCATCTCTTTCTCCTTTAGTACTCACTTCCATCGTTAGTCCCTCCATTCCCCTTTAGAAATCATTTCTTTGTGCAGAAACTTTTTAACCCGTTCATAAATAATTTCCATCATTTTTCAATATTCATTCATCATTTTTCATGAAATTTATTTTCTCTCAATTTATTATTTTCCCATATACAAATCTCCTTTAGCACGCACCTCCATCCTTAGGACCCTCCTTTACCCTTTAGAAATCATTTCAATCATCAAAACTTTTTATCCCGTTCATAAATAATTTCCATCAATTTTCAACATTCATTCATTAATTTCTTAAAATTTCCAAACTTTTATAAAAAATCAATAATTTTATTCTCTTCTTTTTAATAAATAATATAATTACAGATTTAGAATCATAATTTTAAAACTCAATTTTCACTAATTATTAATGAGTCCTCCACCAACCAAACGTGCAAAGCTTTCCTCGGAAAATTCTCGCGCATTTTTTATTGAAAATATTCTTTCTTCAACACCAAAATTAATTGATTTACCGCAAATCGGCCAAGGACCTCCTGAAAAATACGTCACAAAATTGGAACAACAAGTTATTCACAATAGAAAATTCCGCTACACTAAATGCCACACGAAGTTCCAAATTAAGGATGTTCCCGAAGACCCCGAAGGGCTGCTCGCTGGTATATTCCAACATTGTATTGATGCAGCAATTGATGAAAGTCGTGAGAAGGGGTATGAAGCAGATCATCTAGGATGTATTATTAGCAGCGAGTTACTCGAACATGATGTGTGGATCCCTATTAGACAACTTAATGATAACACTGTCGATTCTATTTTAAACCAATTCCTAAAAGTTGGTCAAAGTAAAAAACAGCAAGGAACAACACTGTGGGGAAAACCCTTTGATGTAAAAATAACTACACTTGATATGAAAAATTTACCAGAACGACAAAAGACGCTTGGAGGTCGTAAAAACGCTACTACACATCACCGAATTAATAATCAATGTTTGATTAAGGTAGGATAATAAAAGAATAATTTAAATATAAATATCCTTTAGATCAATAACATTGACGGCAAAAATCATTGCCTTTTCTTCGCATTACAAGCGACACTTGTTTACAACATTGGAGGACTCTCCCGTTCACAATTTTACGATTATTTACACAGCCGCTATGGATCTAGAAATAAATTTAAGAAGGAAACTTATGAACTTATAAAAGAAGTTGGAGCTACTTTTGGTTTAAAAGAATATGCGGCAGAGGACTGGGTTGGACCAGTTGTTGATTATTGGAACAACAAATATAATGGCAAATCTACATTTAAAGTTTTTATTTTTGGATCATCTGGAAATTACAAGCCAAAGTATAAATATGGCCCCGAAATCTTTGATACATCGATAATTCTCTATTACGACAACAAGCACTTTGATGGTGTTCAAAAAGTTGGGAATATTTTTGGTCAACCTTATTGTCTTTCATGCGAAGTGGTTTACAGTCATCCTCAAGCCCACAGTACTAAATGTTGTTCCCGCTGCTTAAAATGTTCTCAAATTGGACCAAAGTTCCCATGTAAAAATGAACACTTTAATAGGTATTTTAATTAACTAATTTTTATTAATAAATTTTAAAATAACAGGAAGTGTCTTGATTGCTGCAAAACTTTTGAAAATATTGATTGCTACTTACATCACTTAAACAGTGGCTTCTGCAAAAATTCTAAACAATGTGAAAAATGTGGTGAAATTTACAACGTTCATGATAACAACAGAAATGGGCGCAAAGGGCATGTTTGTTTTGAAAAATATTGCGGGAAATGCGGGGATTACCATGATCCAAAAAGAGGATGCTACATCAAGCCTTTAAAACCTAAACAACGGGATCTATATCGATTAGTGGCATTTGACCTAGAGACAATGCAGCACAAAATTACAAATCCTGCTAAACAACAAAGAATTCATGAGACAAACTTCATTGCAGCAAAGATTGTCTGTCCGAAATGTATTACAACAGGGGAATGGAAAAGAAGTTTAAAAAATAAAATCTGCAAAGTGTGCGGCCCCCACCGTACCATTACGTTTTCACAGCAGCCTTACAACGATACAACTACAGATCATAAAATTATTTCACAAAATCCTCTAGAAGCTTTTGCACTATGGGTACTATACGACCTTCCAAACAACTATGACACCTACATCTACTCCCACTTTGGTGGACGTTTCGATATGGTTCTGGTCTTTGAAAAATTATACAATCAAAATTTAAATCCCGAATTAATTATGAAAGGCAACAAACTTTATGAAATGAAAGTAGCAAAGCGACCAAATTCAAATCCCAATATTGTATTTCGTGACTCCTATAATTTAATGCCTATGGCTCTAGCAGCGCTGGTCCCAACATTTGGCTTAGAAGTAGAAGACAAGCCATTTTTCCCGCATTTATCAAACCGACCAGAGAACTATGGAAAAAGGTTATTCCCAACAAAAGAAGATTATTTGGCTGATGGAATGATGCCCGCTAAAAGAAGAGAATTTGATATTTGGTACGAAGAAAATAAAAACACTCCCTTCTTATTGGATGAAGCGCTAGCAAGCTACTGTACTAATGATGTTGAAATATTAATGTGTGCGCTTATTGCCTTTAGAAATGAATTTTTTGAAACAACAAAGAGAGCTTCGCATAATGGAATTGATGCTTTGAGGGAGTGTATGACTATTGCAAGTGCGTGTATGAAGCATTTCCGCACAAACCATTTACAAAAGGAACATCTGGCAATAGTACCTGAAAGAGGATATGAAAATGTGGATAACCAAAGTCTTTTGGCATTGAAGTTCTTCCAGTGGTACAGAGAGGAAAACAACATAGAAATTCAAACAGCACACTGGAAAGGGGAAAAGGTGATTGGAAAATATAAATTAGATGGGTGGATAGAAGAAGAACAATTGGGAATAGAAGTTAATGGGTGCGCCTGGCACGGATGTAAAGATTGTTATCCACGCGACAACATGATTTTACCTAATGGATTAACTGCAGGAAAGAAGCGACAAAAAGATAAAGAAAGAATGGAATATATTTTGACCCAAGTAAAAGAAGTTAAAGTATTTTGGCAATGTGAAATAGAAAAGATGTTAAGAAGAGATAGGGATATGAAGAAGAAATTTGATAATTATTTGGATGAAGGACCACTGGAAATTAGAGATTGCTTTTTTGGAGGGCGCACTGGACCACTTAAATTATTCCATGAAGCTAAAGAAGGAGAAAAAATATCCTATTATGATGTAACTTCGCTTTACCCATTCACTAATTTTATTACAAACTACCCTATTGGACACCCTATTGTCCACAATTTAAATGAAGAAGTTAATTGGACAACATCGACAGACAACAAATATCAGCTGGCACTCTTGAAAGTATTTGTTATTCCACCAAAAACTATTGATATTCCTATACTTCCTGTGAAATTAGATGAAGAAAGACTTCTCTTTCCGCTGTGTGCCAAATGTGCCAAAATGTTCCCAAACGGAGGAAGAAATGAAGAATATAATTGTCAACATAGCGATAGACAACGAGGATGGGTCAGCACGTGCACCTCTATTGAATTAAATGCAGCATTGGACGAAGGATATATTGTCACCAAAATATATCGTGTATTAGAATATCAACAGTCAGACAACGAGCTTTTCCGTCCTTATATGCGGGAATTCCTTGCCCATAAAATCCACGCTTCAGGCTTTGATGAGAAAATAAAAGGAAATAGAGAAGAAGAAGAGAAATTTGTGAAAGAGTGTTGGGAAATGTTTGAAATGAAGATAGAAAGGGAAAAGATGATACCAAATAAAGGAAAGAGGGCAATTGCAAAGCTAGCTGTAAATAACCTGTGGGGGCGCTTTTCATTGAGAAATCAAGGCTTTACTCAAACGCACATCACCGACGAACTAGCTGAGCTTGGAGAGTATATTCACAACAATTCTATAGAAGTTGCGGCAATTGAAGAATTAAACAGCGAAACATTGATGATACGCTATTCAAAGAAGAAGGAATGGATTGAAGAACATGACAGCTCAAATGTGGTGATATCTTTGTGGACAACATCAGCTGCAAGGTTGCACTTATTGAGGCTCATGCAAAAAGTGATACGAACGCCTGGCTGTTCACTACTTTACACTGGTATTTTTTCTTAATCTTTTTCAAAATATATTTTTATTCTTCAGATACTGACTCCTTGATTTTCGCCCACCCCGAGAACAACAATCCACTAGAACTCGGGCCACATCTTGGCGACCTGACAGATGAATACCCACAGCACGACATTCTTGAATATTGCAGTGGAGGGGCAAAACAATATGGATTGAAATTGAGAAGGAAGAATGGAAGTGGAGAAAATGAATATGTACTAAAGGTGAGAGGGATGACACTTAACTATGATGTTATGAACAACCAAAATCTAAGATATGAAACCTTTAAAGATACTGTTATTAATTTTGTTAAAAATGGTGATCGTGACCCTATATTTGTAATCTACCCCAATTTTTTACGCCCTTCAGTTGTAAATAGTTCCGTTACCTCCCAACCCTTTCATAAAATGTATAAACCTTTTGTCGGCAAGGGCATCATACGCCCGAGCGACTTCTCTGTATTAAATTTCGGCTATGTATCACAATAATCTCTAATTTTTATTTTGTACACTCTACCTATTTCAACTTATATTGTCTCTTTCTATTTCGAATTATATTTTTATTTATTATTTTTCTTGCCTATATATTCTATCTTTTCACTTTATTTAGAAAATTTTTCAATATTTCATAATATTTATTTATTTTTAAATAAAAATTTTACAAATGGAAAATACTTTTTTGAAAAAATTAAGGAATGGAAAATACTTTTTTGAAAAAATTAAGGATTAGAAGATACTATTTCGAAAAAATTAAGGAATCGAAGATACCTATTTTAGGGGTAAAAACACATAATTAGTGAATAGAAGATACTATTTTGAAAAAATTAAGGATTAGAAGATACTATTTCGAAAAAATTAAGCAAGAGAAGATACTATTTTGAAAAAATTAAGAAATAGAAGATACAACTTATTTTGGTAAATTAAAATTAAGATAAGGGAAATACTATTTTGAAAAAATTAACAAATGGAAGATAGCAGTTTTAGGGGTAAAAAAGCATAATGGATAGAAGATACAATTTTGAAAAAATTAAGAAAAAGAAGATGAATTTTACTGTTTTTTGGTGTTTTTTAGTAAAAAATATCAAAAAGTGGTAGAAAATGCATGTATGCACGTGTTTAATATGCGCGTTTTATAAGGGCGTGTGTTTTGTATGCACGCATTTTGCATGCGCGAACCTTATGGATATAATCTAAGTCATTGATTAATTCTAGTCGTATCCGAGTTGAAATAGAGAAGAAAAATGCAAAACACAAGTATAAATTTTAATCGTATCTTGCCTTAGCCTTATATATTCAAAATTTTTACGTTTAGGACCAATTTTTATATACCATTTACACAACCCTTAAGGAAAAATAGATATACTACATCAAAACTTTTTCATAAAAAAATATAAACTTCAAAGTTGCCTAGTATCTTAAACCTATAGATTTAATTACCTAACTCTTGATTAGCTAACTTTCTTTTGTTAGTTAACAGTGTTGCCTTAATTAAATTATTATATCGTTACACGTTAGTCCAATAAATCTTCAAAAATTTCATAATATTTATTTATTTTTAAATAAAATTTTACAATTTGAAAATACTTTTTTGAAAAAATTAAGCAATGGAAAATAATTTTTTGAAAAAATTAAGGAATGGAAAATACTTTTTTGAAAAAATTAAGGAAAGGAAGATATCGATTTTAGGGGTAAAAAAGCATAATTAGTGATCAGAAGATACAATTTTTAAAAAATTAGTGAATAGAAGATACTATTTTGAAAAAATTAATGAAAAGAAGATACAAATTTAATTTAAGAAATCAAAATTAAGAAAAAGGAAATACTATTTTGAAAAAATTAACAAGTGGAAGATATCGATTTATGGGTAAAATAGCATAATTAGTGGATAGAAGATACAATTTTGAAAAAATTAAGGAAAAGAAGATAAAATTTACTGTTTTTTGGTGTTTTTTAATAAAAAATAGACAAAAAAGTGGTAAAAATGTATATATGCGCGTGTAAATTGTACACGCGTGTATTTCCTACGTGTATAAAATCACCATCCTTGCATGTATTCAAAATCATCTACCGATTGACTAAATTTTCTTCCTCCATAACAAAGATTATCATCGTAGTCGGAAAGAGGTACAGGTGATGCTACATCAAAATCTTTTTCAGATTGTTGTGAAGTTGACTGAGTTGTTTTATCGATAAAAATATTTGCCATCCACCCTGATAATGGTTCTTCCTCCGCTAATTCTAATAATTCCAAAGGGTAATATCTATCTTCATGAGTATTTTTCTGGACTACACACAGATGATATGGATGATTAAGTCTTATGCGATGACGAGCATAAAAATGTGCTGCAACATTAATATTAAAAGGTGAAGAAAGTCGTCCATAAGCGAGAATACTATTTGCCCCATTTCTACTCAAGTCGTCAAAAAATATAGTTTTACTCATCCCATTATTGTCCAAATAAGTTGTTTTTAGTTTCTTTCCCTTTAGTTGTTTTAAAACTTTCTCACGATTTGTAGGGTGAATAAGTTGATAGCGCAATGAGTTAACACTGCATTTTAAAATTCTAGCTATCTCATCAATCAGGAGAACCATTTTTATTGTATAGAGAATAATTCAAATATTAGAAAATTTTTAAAATGATTTTGGAAAAATGAAAGGATTGAAAAACCCTTCCTACCCCTTACCCCTACAATACAGACATACACCATCCGATTCCTCCCCCTACCCCCGACAATCTTAGCTTTATTTGACTTCCACTAAAATATTAAAATCATTTAGAAATTTTTCAAAAAATAATGAGCCAAATTATTCCTGAATTTAATCCTACCATTCCTCCTCCTGCTCTTCCTTTGAAGACAATGATGGAACAACCATCACCAACTACTGCTCTTCCTCTGAAAACAGTGACGGAACAACCATCACCACCTCAGACTGTTCCTTTAAAGACAGTTATGAAACAAACATCCCCACCTCCGACTCTTCCTATGAATACAGAGAAAATGGTACAACCACCAACAGCTTTTCCAGAAAACCTTCTTTGGAAACTTGTAAAAGGGAAAACTGTTCTGCAATATCACCTTTGCTATGGTTATTTATTATTTTATATATGAATTTTAATTTAAAATTTTAGGGTGTCAAAATCGACTCTTCAATTCAAAAGATAAAATAGTATGCAATGGTGATAGAGTGATCATAAAGATTGAATTATGCGACAACTGTGTCATAGAAAATTGTGATGCAACTGACTTACTATCGAACAAAAAGAGGAAAATTGTAAAGAAAACTTAAAATTTTTAGAAATCACTTGAAAATTAAACTTTGTAATTTTAACTTTAATTTTAGTAAATATTTTAAATTAATTTATTTATATATTTTTTATTAGTTGACCCCTCATTTCTTAGTTTTATTACTTTACCATTTGTATCCCCTTTCATAAACATAGGTTTATTTTCACATTTCTCACTCTAAATACATAATTATAGGTCAAGTCTAGAGGTATAAGAAATAAAATGAATAAAATATCTCTTTTAAGTATTAACAATTTTTGCAGTTCTCTGAAGAAATCATAGGTCAAGATTGAATAAATAGAGAAATATATAAAAAATATAAATTTTAAACATCTGGCTTTGTTTGCATAGTTGTTTCTATATATAATTAATAGGTCATGACTTACTGGGGAATTACAATAAAAAATAATTTCTTTTAAAACATGTCAAGTTAACATATTTCGTGATAGAAAATAAAATAGGACATGGTCGATAGAAAGAAAAAAATATTTTTTGAACATCTGTCATTGTTTTGGAGTAACTATTGGTTGAGTATGAAAAAGGGAAGACTATTTTAAAAAAATATTTTAAAACTTGTTTTGGTTACATAGTACTCACTTAAAAAGGATTAGAATGATCAATAGTATTTAAAAGTACTTTATATTGAATAAAATAATCAAATTTTTAATTAAATAAATTATTAAAAATAAACAAAATAATTTTAAAACTTATTTTCCTTTTTAA